GTCCTGCACCAATCCATGCTGTTTTCTGTATACATCGTATCCTACCAAGCCTTCGACACGTTCCCAAGTTCTGATACCTCGTCCAACACGGGAACCCTGATCATACACAAACCAACGTAGACGCAATCCAGATATGAACGCATATGTACTTAGAAATGCAGAGGCGAGGGACAAAGAATTCCCCAGTGGATCATATCATGCTCGTATCCGCAGAACAACACTTGTCCAGACGCCAAGTAGGGTTCCAGACTCCCCAGACACCAGTTACCGATTCCTAGCCCTGCTTACGTGCATGGCCCAGTGGGCAGATTCGTCGGATGGGCATTGAATGGCCGCCTTGTTTCGAATCTGTCTGGGCTGTCACCCTCATGTACCTGTGGGAATTTGGTATATCTGAGCCCTGTTATTGCGTTCAGAGTCACAGTGCAGGTGCATGGGTGAGCTTGGGATTTGTTGTTTGTTCTGAGCCCCGAGTGATGGGGCGGCTTATCACGGTCTATAAGGAGGGCTTGGGACCCTCGTTAGAGTGAATTGTGCTACACATATCATATTTTGTCAGAGTTTTTTTCTTTGGGATTGTGCTCGTGTTGACTGCGGAGCATACGGATGATATCTCGCTAGGGTTGGATGTAGTATTGTTTGTTCTCACGGAGTCAGCATTGCTCGTGAACGATCCGAGGGTCTTGATATCGGACCATGATGTCTTGGGTATTTTCACCCGAGTGTGAGACCTGTTCTGTTGATTTCTCAAGATCCGATGTCATATGATGATCTTGAGTATCCATCTCCAAGTCAACGAACCATTGCCCCGTGTCCAGAGCAATTCAAACCCGGGTGGACATGAGATCTACTGCCGAAATTTGATTAACAAAGGCAAACTACATTGATTGGTGCTTTGATCATACCAATCTACATCACAGAAGACGTCTAATAATCAGACGACCTCGGAATCATTTCTTGACCTACATTGTACTCATGCTGACGTTTTGAGGCTCTGGCCATCCAAGTCAAGATCACTTCTATTCGTGGAAACAATATTACGTCACGATACATTCCCTACTATTCTTGGAAGTGACTTCATCAACAGAAAACAAGTATGTACGAGGACCCGACGATAAGACGAAAAAGCGTCGGCAACGTTATCCACTCGACGAGCCCGAGCTGTGATCGGAAGTGCCGATTGACGAGCAGAATCGGACTTGACGACCGATCACAGGCCGATTTTGACCGAGTCTTTGTGTTCTCCGTGCTCATGCTTGCGATGGAAGAAACCGGACCAGTGATGAAAGTGGAGCTTTCAACTTCCCCAGATTTTATGACCGGACATAGACAGCTTCAATAACGTGTGTCATGGATTCCCACTCATCCGACTGGAGAGAGCAGAGTGCGGGACAGCTGTGTGCGGGTAATCCCGGCTAAAAGTCGGGGAAGGTCGTATGCCGTAGGGCTGGGCACAAAAGGGGGCATAATTCTGGTTATGAACGCCAATTGGAGTCGAATATCATGAGGATGAAGAGGTGCAACCCATCGTAACTCTTCGCCAAATAGTAGACTGCTAGACTATCTTATGTAGGTAGGTCGGTGAGAATGCGGAAAAAAAAGAGGGAGGGGGCAGTTCTCAGCGGTTAATTGTCTCCTCACCGGGGGAATTGCCCCCCCCTTCAGTTCTCCAATTTGAATTTTTTCTGCTGGATTTTTTTGGCTTGTGATTAAGCTATTAAGCGGTTATCCCGTTATGGCTTTGCCGGGCAACAGTCAATGAATTGGTCAACATAGCGACTGATTGTAAAACAATTGATATAAATCCCGATTGATTTGGCAGAAAAAGGAGCCATAGAAGTAGAGAATACCTGGCTTCATTGCAAGGAGCACGCCATCAGTGAAGTACTTGATACATAGAGACTGAGGCCCCCGGTCACACCGATTCGCCTAAAACAGCAACGTGATGTTGGAGCTTATCAAATCTTTTTTTCCCCTGCGTTTAAATTATTGAGTCACCCTTGATCCTCTGTTTCATCTTCATCTCCTTTGCTACCTCTGGTGCACCCTCTCACAATGGCTGGCAGTAAGCTAGCAATTCGCAAGATGGCTCCGTCCATCATGCAGCTGTCATCGATGTCGCGCAGGTCGATTTCGACATCGCAGCTGGCCCTTCGGGCAAAGCCGCTTCGCTCTACCAATGTGTCCCAGTCTGTGTCGCGTGTTGCTCGCCGCAACTACGCCGATGCTGCTCCCAAGCCTGCCCCCAAGCCCAAGCGCTTCAGAGCTCTGCGTTGGGCCTGGCGGTTGACCTGGCTCTCCACCCTTGCTCTGACTGGTACTGTCGCATACAGCATCTTCGAGCTCCGCCAACCCCCAGAGCAATCCCCACCCGACCCATCAAAGAAGACTTTGGTCATTCTCGGTATGTATCGGTCGCGAATCGCCGATCCCCCTACAGCTAAGCTAACGCGACTGTGTTCATTCAGGAACTGGTTGGGGCTCCGTCTCCCTGCTGAAGAAAATTGATACTGAAAACTACAACGTCATCGTCGTCTCCCCCCGTAACTACTTCCTTTTCACTCCCCTGCTGCCCTCATGTACTACCGGTTTGATCGAGCACCGCTCGATCATGGAGCCTATTCGCAACATTCTACGCCACAAGAAGGCCAGTGTTCAGTTCTACGAAGCCGAGGCTACCAAGATCGACTACGAGAAGCGCATTGTGTACATCAGCGACGATTCGGAAGTTAAGGGTGATATCTCACACACCGAGGTTCCCTTCGACATGCTTGTGATCGGTGTTGGCGCCGAGAACGCGACTTTTGGTACGATCCCCTTTCGCATCTCAATAGATGCACTGTGTGCTAATTTGGTGGCATACAGGTATTCCCGGTGTTCGCGAGAACTCCTGCTTCCTGAAGGAAGTTGGTGATGCCCAGAACATTCGTAAACGTATTATGGACTGTATCGAGACTGCCTGTTTCAAGGACCAGACCGAGGAAGAGGTCAAGCGCCTGCTGCACATGGTTGTGGTTGGCGGTGGCCCCACTGGTGTCGAGTTCGCCGGTGAACTGCAGGACTTCTTCAACGATGACTTGAAGAAGTGGATTCCCGAAATTAAGGACAACTTCCACGTTACTCTCGTCGAGGCTCTACCCAACGTTCTGCCCATGTTCTCGAAGCAACTGATTGACTACACCGAATCGACTTTCAAGGAGGAGGAGATTTCCATCCGCACCAAGACCATGGTCAAGAATGTTACCGATAAGTTCATCGAGGCCGAGGTGACCAAGCCTGATGGAACCAAGGAGCTCGAGACCATCCCCTACGGCCTTCTCGTCTGGGCCACCGGTAATGCTATCCGCAGTGTCGTCCGCGACCTCATGTCCCAACTCCCCGCCCAAGCCAACTCCCGCCGCGGTCTCGCCGTTAACGAGTACCTCGTCGTGAACGGTACCGACAACATCTGGGCCGTCGGCGACTGCGCCATTGCCAACTACGCCCCGACCGCCCAGGTTGCCAGCCAGGAGGGTGCCTTCTTGGGTCGTCTCTTCAACACCATGGCCAAGGCCGAGGCTCTCGAGCAGGAGCTGGAGCACCTCTCCGAGCGCCAGTCCCTGGCCAAGAACGACGAGGAGCGCAACCAGATCTTCGACGAGATCCGCGAGCGCCAGAAGCAGCTTCGCCGCAACAAGCAGATCGGTCCCTTCCAGTACTCGCACCAGGGTTCCCTGGCCTACATCGGCAAGGAGCGCGCCGTGGCCGATATCAGCTGGCTGAGCGGCAACATTGCCAGCGGTGGTACCATGACCTACCTCTTCTGGCGCAGTGCCTACCTGAGCATGTGCTTCAGCAGTAAGTTTCCCCAATTCCCATCAAAACATCGAACCCCCTTACTAACCCATCCTCCAGCTCGCAACCGTGTTCTTGTCTGCGTCGACTGGGTCAAGGCCCGTCTCTTCGGCCGTGACGTCTCCCGCGAGTAAACATCTCGCCCAAAGACAGTGTAATATTGCCAACCATGCTGCATTTATCCTTTGGATACATGTAATCAATGCCTCCCTTTGACATATTATCCCCATATTATGTCTTGCTATGCCCCCCTTATGCCACCCTACCAATCTTTACCCCCATTTCTTTATCCCTGTGACCGTGATAGACATCTATTTCCCATCGTCTTCTGATGACCCTGTTGGTGCTTTGATTCGTTCCTCCCACGCCCAGAGGACAAAAAAGCATTAATTTCTGCCTTTGTTTCGCTTACGGTTTTTTTTTTCTGTCGCTGGGGATGATTGTACACTATAGGAATATATAGACTTGGTTTGGGATATATATTGAACCTATTACTTTCATCTGTGGACTGGGAAGCTTTTCATATTAGGTTGATAACCTCCGGTAAACCCATGGCGGGGCTTGGATGTTACATCCGTGGATAATGCCACTCAGCTCAAGGCTCGAAGGGGTGGGAGACCTTTGACGAAATACAGAGATGTGAGTAGATGGTCCTAATAGCAGAAACTGAATGAAGAAGGCGATTCTAAGCTCCTTCTCGCCCTTTCATCTCTGGGATTTCCCTCGAATTTTATAGCTGCAAGCCTCACGCCGGGCGGGTAATACAGAACTACCTACCATGTAGGTAGGCAATGTCTATCGTGGTCGAGACAAGGGCATATGATAGTCAGAGAGTGGAAAAGAAAACGTAAGGGCAGGCTGAATATGAAGTGATTACCAGCAAAACCCCGGGGGATAGCTAAGGTTTTACAGTGTCTGAGAAGTGGGAGCATATGGTCCATGAACAATGGGAGATAGGTTATGTACAATGAGTTGATATCAAAAAAATACATATTAACCCGAGAAAAGCAAGAGGAGGCGAGGGAAGGTTTTTAAAGATGATAAGTGGGCAAGGTAGGAACACTAGCGGAGAAGGTATCGAAAAACTCCAGATCGAGAAGAGAAACAGGTGTATCGCACAGAAAGCAGGGGAAAAACAGGATGACAAAGCCCACATATCACATCTTCTAAAAGATGTTCCAACGGCTCCGCGTTTCCTTTCCAATAGGCGCACGCTCTGGTTTGCGGGCGCGGCCGTCAAGCTGTCGAATGCTTTCGATCTTTTGCAGAGCCAGCTCCAGCAGCTCCTTCTTGCGGATGATGTCCAGGTGACGACGGATGCGGGGATCCTCGCGGGCAAAGCGCTCGACCTCGGCGTCGGAGAGGTGACGTCCAAGTCTGGAATCAAGCTCGCGGGGGAAATTATAGTAGAACTCAGATAGAAGCTCGACGTTAAGGAATAGCACGGCCGTGGAGGTGAGCTTGTCCGCCACAACATCCAGGAAGATCTCTGGGCAGTGGTACTTGTTCTTTTGCGTCGCGCATTGCTTGGAACGGACGGCAAGAAGTCTCATCCTGAGGATATCTGCTCTATCCCGGAGGAAGAGGCCCTCTCGTCCTAGAAAATAAGATTAGTTTCTTGAAATAGAAGAGAAAGAGGGAAACCAACCTTTCTCCAATAAGGCAGCGCTGAAGCCACCCGCGCCTCCCTCGCCATTGCCCTCTAATACCACATCGCCCTTTCGTACTCTATCGATAAACGCAATCACGTCTTTGAGTTTTCGCTTTCCAATGGCGTCTTCCACGTGCTTCATGGCTGATTCGCACGCCCTTAGCTCTTCCTTTAGATTTTTGCCCACATTGTCTCTGCCTTTGGCCCATTCAGTGTCTTCGAGTTCGATCTCATACTTATACGGCTTGATACAATTCTCGACTTGGTCGCTGGTGCTGAAGAACCTGTCGTTCAAGATACTGGTGCACGCATCAGTAATCTGTTTGTGAGCACCAGGGTGTGATGCGAATGTAGAGGAGGCTAAAAGCGATTCCACATGGTTGTTGAGAGCATTGGCAACCACAGTTGTAGCCAATCGACCGATTCCAAGCTTAGTTAATGACGAGGTAGAGGCATCAAGCTTCCGATGCCAATACAGCGACTCTGGATCGGCTCTGGGGAGATCCTTGAGGGGATCTAATTCCAGCATTGGAGGATCTAAGTCATCGACTGGCTTGTTCCAGTAACGCTGCGCCAGGATATCCATGACCCGTTGGTCCAATTCTGATTTGAGCATCTCCCGAACCTGGGGTCGACCGAAACTTTCCGCAAATGCCTTGAATGAGTGCTTGAAACCATCAAGGCTCTCAGCCAAGTGGGATTCCGCGCTTAAGGGTCGGTCATTATATTGAACTTTAAACTCGTATGTCGCCTCTTCAAGCTCTTGGCTGATGGCGTCCCTGGTACCGGACAGGCTTGATGCCATAGTTTGCTCAAGGACATGCATCAGCGTCTTACGCAGTTTCGAAATACCAACTGAGACTTCGGATTGAGCCCCAAATTCACTTGGATGCGCAGAAAAGTAGGCATGTTCGTTCTTGAGGATGGCGCTTGTGATGTTTCCGCTACCTCTAGAGAACAGAGCTGTGCTCTGAGGAATGCGGCTAACAACACCCACGTATCCTAGCCGAAGGGGATATTTCTTATCAGAGAGGACATCGCGGCCACGTTCAGGACTGACAAGGTCCATCTTTGTAATCACACCGATAGTCCGTTCGCCCCGGGGGTCTACCCGACGACTAGCCCGGAGGGCTGCCGAGTTTGCTAGGTCCACATCGGCGGCCGAGATTGCCAAAATAACATTTGGCGGTTGAATGTATTTATCGCAAAGATCAACAATCTTTTGCTTGAGTTCAGGTGGCTGATCACGACCTGCAACTTGTATGTATCCTGGTAAGTCAATCAAGGACAGATCTGGAACGTTTGGAGAATATATGGTAAGCTGAATGGGATCGTCTGTGACGCAGTCCTTTTCAGAGACAGCAAGGTTCAAATCTGTGAGTGTGCGCTGGACTTGAGCAAAATCGGTGATCTTTCCGAGACCCAAGGCTGGGAATTCGCCATATTCTGACTGGGCATTGGGGGTGTTGACCAATGTGAGCTCGATGGGCCGCCGAGTCACCATATTGGAGCCCTTGGGCAAGAACTCATGGCCGACGATAGCCTCGAGAACCGAACTCTTGCCCGAGGATTGGGATCCAATCACAACGATCGAGGGAAGGGTAAGCGTGCCGGACTGGCCGATAGTCTGGAGAATGTTTCGGATTTCGATCATTTTGCGTGTGAGAAGCATCATTTGATCATCTGCTGCAACATCCTTCTCCGGCCGTGAATCTTCCTCTCCAAACTGATCGTAGCCGAATGCAGTGGTTGTCGCAGCAGCACCAGCAGCCACTCCCCGACTTTGTTTTGGATCCTTCCCCCCATTGCCTGACGAGTTCCCCTTTCGAGACTCGGACTCCTCGTCGAGACGGAGTATCTTTTGTAACCATTCAGGCACTTCAATATCTTCGGTCGTTTTATTCCACCCACGTTGTGTCTGATCCGCCATGTTCTGCAGTCCCTGGAATAAACTTGATGCTGTGTTCCCCGCCGTGTCCGAGGCTTGCTTGAAGATATCCATCGCATAATTTCCGGCCTCTATAATATCAAATTAGCTTGAAATTCTGCTTGGATTGAGAGTGATCCATGAGAAACATACGAGTTGCTTGATATTGGAAATACGCCAGACCCGCGACTGTTGCTCCGCCAAACATAGCTGGAACCTTGATGAGCTTCATTGCCAGCTTTGGAAGCATTCGGGCAAACGAGATCGATCGAACTGCAGGGACATTGTGGATAGAATTTGCGCCCACCGGCCATGCGCGTCCTCTAAGAGCAGCGCCACCATTTGCGCGTAGAAGGCCCCCGGTCCTTGAGCCTGCATTATGAATATGGCGAGCGAAGTGACCGTTCCGCAAAAGCGGACCCAGTCTATGGGAGAGAATCCTCCCACTCATTATTGTTGTGATTGCATTCAATAAGAGGCGGAAAGAAAAGTGGTTAATCTTGTAGATTGTCGGACCACTGACATCAAGGATAACAGCCTGGTTCCGAGGTCCCCGTGACTTGCATAAGTGGCCGCACCGCTCCCCGTAATAACACAGATCACGTGAGATATGACGTGCTGTGCGAGGGAGGTGACATTGTTCTTCTGTGTTGATTTGGGTCAAAACATTCTACTTTCTAGTAATCCGCGCAATATCTCTATTCAAATCCCTTTACTGTTGGGCGTTAAGATTGTGGTTGGACTTTGGGCATCTCACCGGTTCCCAACTGTCGGTGACTCTTTAACCCCCGACCCCACGAAACCCAATCTATTGAGAAATCTCCTTTGATCACAAGTACGACATTGCTTGGGCTATAAGCTTGACGCAACCTGCATTCTACCTGGACGTGGAATCTCAGAAGGTTTTGTCTATTTCACTCGCTTTTGATCATTTGATTGAGACCAAACATGTGTCGATTCTTGGTAAGGTTCGTCCCACAAAGTTGTGGCCTAAAACTGATATCTTGACTAGATCTATAAAGGGCGAAATGAGATCCGTCTCAGCAAACTCATTACTGAGCCGAGCCATTCAATTCTTACACAATCCTACGATTCACGTCTGAGACTGGTATGTCCTTCTCGCTGGATGTACTATAGCTAGTACACGTGGCTAGTATGGTATGTGGTACAAATCCACTAACATGGAATGTCAAGGACAATCGTCGTCCAGTGAACGGCGATGGATTTGGCGTGGGCTTCTACACAGATCCCAAATTGGGACCAGAGCCTTGCATCTTTACTTCGACCCTTCCCGCTTGGAATTGTGAGAATCTAGAGCGACTCGCTGCGAAGACATGTTCAGATTTGATTTTTGCTCATGTGCGTGCAACAACCGAGGGCGCTCTTGCCGAAAATAACTGCCACCCATTTCAACACCAGTCCCTGATGTGGATGCACAATGGCGGTATCGGCGGATGGAGCTATATCAAGCGTACGCTGGGAAGCTCACTCGCCGACAAGTGGTACCTGGGTGTGAAGGGTGGCACTGATAGTGAATGGGCATTTGCTCTATTCCTTGATCTTCTTGAAAAGGAAGGCGTAGATCCAAGCTCTGATCCCGGTCCCGAGGGCTTTGGACAAGCTCTTCTACGTCGTGTTTTGATGAAAACAATTGCTCGAATCAATGAGATGGTTCGGGAGATTCCCGAAAAGTACAATGTCACCGGAGTTGAGACACGCAGTCTGTTGAACTTCGCCGTGACAGATGGCCACACCGTTGTGTGCACTCGGTATATCAGTAGTAAAACAGACGAGCCTGCCAGCTTGTATTTTTCTTCTGGCACCAAGTGGAAGGAAGGTGAAACGCAGGGACACTTCAAGATGGAGCGACATGATAAAGGTGCTGATATCGTCCTTGTGGCCAGCGAGCCTATCACCTTTGAGCGACGTGAGTCTCTCCATTTACAGTATCTACAGACGGTTGCTAATCTAATTCACAGACAATTGGGTGTCAGTTCCAACCAACTCAGTCGTCACCATTCACAAGCAAACCGTGATGCTTCACCCAATCCTTGATGAATTCTATGGCGAGAACCTCACTCACGACCGCTCCTCCTGCTTTGCTGTGTCCAAGGGTCTGGTTAGTAATGCCCCAGGCACAACTATCTCACCTCAGAATTCAAAGGAGCCTTGCGCACCATGCACGCCTTCGACAACGAGCAATGCCATTGGAAATACCAATAGCGGCATGGAAAGCCTACGCTCCGGCCACGCTATCGAATGTGCTGTATCACACTAAATTTGATATCGAACCCATTTTTATAGAGTCATCTCTGAGGCTCAGCCGCAAAGTTAAAAGCATTGTCTTAATACGGCGTTGGGCACGAGGCAATTATGCAGGATATCCGGATCAGATTGGAGTCTATTGGTTGGATGCAAGCGTTTGGGTTGATCCTTGAGGTATTTCGGGAGATATAATTTGCAACATTGGCAGAGTTATTAAATGAAAGTTTCAATTTGCGAGAGACATCTCTCCTAACTGCATAACCTCTGTAATCTACATGCTTCGATATCAATTCGGAAAAGCTTATCCACAGTCTTCTTCTGCATGGTTCCTTCTCTCAGGAAGAACTATACGCAATACTTCTATCAACTAACATTCATATTCGTGCTTTTATCTTTACATTTATCAAGAAGATTGTGCTTCGGCGAGTTCAAGGGACTATAACGACATGGAATGTACCTTATTTTCTACATGTAGATGCTATATAACCACGTGATTGATATATGACGTAAGTCACAATCAGTGAGGTCCCCGTCCATAGGTGGGGACTCTGAGTTGGGTCTCGGCTTCTTCGCATCCTCTGCTTGGACAAACCACTCCTCATGTTTACTGTATGAGAACGGATTGCCTTTTGAACAATTCAAAATGAGGAAGACTTTGCTACTCGTTTTCATTCACGGCTTCAAGGTACGCTGGTTCTAAACACCTACTACTGAAAGCTTGGTGTTCCGAATAATTTCAGAACTCGGCTCAAGGAGACTTATGTGGTCCAGTGGTATATCAACTAATCATAGATTATAGGGTGGCGATGACACTTTCGGCACATTTCCTGAACATTTACGCGTCCTAGCCAGCAAGGCATTACCTGCAGTTGAGGTTGTCACTGCTGTCTATCCCAAGTATGAGACCAAAGGTGACCTGAAGCAATGCGTCGCGAAGTTGCGAGATTGGTGAGGCCTGCTCCAGTCTTCCGTATAAATCCAAGGTTTGCTGAATGATGATATCTCTATGTAGGCTACAAGACACTGTGATCGATCTGGAAGTTGCCAACCATACCGCATCACCCACCGTCGACCCTTCGGTCCACGTCGTTCTAATAGGTCACTCAATGGGAGGGATAGTAGGAGCAGACACTCTCCTTCTGCTGGCAGCAGAGCAGCCAATTTCTCGAAATCCGACTCCCAGCATACATCCTGAGTCCACATATGGCACGGAGCCTATCGTGGAGCCGGGTACTTTCATGTTCCCTCATGTCCAAGGAGTCCTTGCATTTGACACCCCGTTCTTGGGAATAGCTCCCGGTGTCGTGTCATATGGCGCAGAAGGGCACTATCGGAATGCTGCGACCGCTTTCGACACCTTCTCTGAGGTCGCAGGATTGTTCGGTTACGGTGGAAAGAGCAATGCATCCAAAAAGGGAGCCACTCCAGCTCCGCCTGAGGCCCAAAAAAGTTTGCCTCCCACACCTGACGCCGCCGCAACACCTTCTTGGGAAAGGTGGGGTAAATATGCTATGTTCGCCGGCGCCGCTGGTGCTGTTGCTGCTGGTAGTGCAGCCATGTACACGCAGCGCCAAAGGCTCGGTGAAGGATTTGGATGGGTATCATCGCACCTTGAGTTTGTTGGTTGCCTTGCTCGTGCCTCTGAATTGCAACAGCGTCTTGCTCGCTTATCAATTGTGAAAGAGGAACGTGGAATCGGGTGTATGAACTTCTTCACATGCCTCGGAAATGGCGCAACGAACCTGGTGGAGAATACATCAGGAAACAAAACCTCCTTTAGCCAAAGGATCATTCGGTCCAAGAACAGGACTTTCTGTTCGTTACCAGAGGAGGTGGAAAACGGGCAGCAATCTCAAAGTCCAGGACTCTTATGGACTAGGGCTGTTAATGATCGCGCTACTGATGAGACTAGTGCGCATGTTACAATGTTCCTTCCCAAACAGAACCCTGCGTTTTTCAAATTGCTCACCGAAGCATGCGAAGTCTTGGTCAAGTCGATAGATAAAGGCTGGTATCATTCGTCCACTGGATCGACCAAGGAAAGCGCTACCAAACAACGAAACGCAAAGCAAGAGACAGAAACCAAAACAAACACAAACTTCATGGATGCCGATGACGTTGTCATCGTCGGCTGAAAAGGCAAACCCTGATCCATTGAGCATCCCGCCCCAAAATCTACCCCTGTTTCATTATCACGAGTTTGGAAGATTCTACTCCGTATCTAAAAGCGTTCTACAACGAGACCACTCCTCCCCTGATCGGCAGACGACTTACTAGGATGCTGGCCCGCGTGCACTGCACGCCAACATACAGCGAATAACATACACAGAATCTCTATTCCTGTCGTATGAAGATTTATTCTCCGCAAACAAGGCAATTCCCAACTGGCCTTGATCGTCTTGCAATGTCCAGAACAAGGTGTCGCTGCTGTGTTCGCTCTGCCCAGTCATTCCGGGCGGCCATGGCCGGGATCATCATGGCGCCTTCTTTCTTCGTTAGAAGATGCGACCGACAGTGCTGATCCTGCGACTTTTTTCACTCTACTCCGTATTGACGATCACCTTGGCTAAAGGTCGCACCCTGAGCTAGTGTGACGTGGCCCTAAAATGATCGGGGTTTGGCTCGGGCCATTTTTCACCGCTGTACTCCGTTCTCCGTACGGAATACGGAGTACTCCGTAAAATGAAAGGAAGGATGCATGATAGCACTTCCAGGTTCAATTAGGCTTTCTACGTTGCCTGCAATCTTTTGCTGTGCACGATGGCGCCGAGGGTCTAGAGCCCTCAAAGCCGGATCACAGGCGGAAGAGCCACGGCTCTTCCTAAATGAACTTAGCGCTGGCTCGAAGTAGCATAAGCCAAGCCTGAGACATTCCGTATCTATGCTCTAGAGTATTTTGGACAAAGGCTACAGAGTGCCATTTACATGGTTGATCGTGACATGGACAATACCTTGCAAAACGCGATCACAACGCAATCCTTTGCGATTTTACGATTGGCTGTTACTCGAGGAGTACGTCTCTAGGGATGGAGTACGACACTCTCCGTTCTAGACCTTGTTTTGCTGAGGAGAATGCGGTTAGAAATACATGAGTCGTACCATTTTCGAGTCTTGAACTCCTTGTCTTTATTATTCTGGGTTGATGTGACCTATATACATTCCTGAAACGATGTTTTAGCGCGCTAAAATAAATGGGAACATTTCAATATTCACGAAAAGGAGAGATAACTAAGATATCATGAAGTCAATAGTCACATATACAGCGCTGGAAGAAAGAAGAGAGAGAAAAAACATTCAATGATTAGGGTGGCCATATGTCGAAGAGCGGTGATGGTGCACACTACCAGCATATTCCGAGTTATTGTCAGGGTAGACCGTAGCTCGGCGATCTTCCTCGGTGAGCAACTCTTTGACCTCCCAAGTGTTTGGCTTGACACCAACAGAAAATTCCAGGTCCTCCTTGGTGATCGAGTCCCAAAACTAAAGAAAATGTTAACAAAATCCACCACATAAGATTGAAACATGAACTTGCCTTATAGATCATCATGACAGCAAGGAGATTGCAGAACGTGGCGAAGAACAGACCATCAAGATAATGCTGCACATTGTTGCAAATAATGTCGCTGAATTGATACAAAAGAACTTGGCCAATGATGAAGACCAGCACACCAAAGGAGATGTGGCCCAGCGGCCAGCGGTCATCCAATGTGTTTGCAACTAGAAGAAGTTGCATGGCCAGATACACAGCGATGCTAATGGCATTCAGCAGGTAGAGCACCACGAATAAGCCCGTGGTATTTTGGGGACCCATTGAGCCCCATGACTTGAAAGTAGCCAGTGAAATCACAAAGGACAATGCGAACATCGCCGCAGAGGGGACTCGGATCAGCCACACTGAGAGGGCTGTGCCGTCTTCGTAGAGCTGGAAGCCCACGAAGCCGTTAACGAGAAGGCAGGTGCATAGCGCGGATATCAAGCCATTCTGCACGGCCACGAAATACGGGAACGGGCCACTCCCCGGAGGAACGACACCTGCATCAATGAGAAGAGAAAACAGAGTCAATGCTAGGTAGATATAGAAGAACGTGATGATCTCTTTACGGCCTATTGATAGTAGAAAGGTTAGTTGATTCACGCCGAGTCTTAGCAGGAAAGGTGTAAGACGGACCGACAGCAGTAAATTTGGACCTGACGTGTAGGATCATGATTACAGTCATGCTGAGCGCCATGATATGCATAAAGGATGCGGCGCCCTGAAAAATAATAGTGTTTGCAAGCTCAATATTTCGCGCATAGCAATTGGATATGATCCCCGTGGACCCGGAGATTGTCGAAGCCGGGCCCACCAAGGAGCACAAAGGCACCGGCGCCTTTTCACATATTGTGTCGAACTGACCGAATCCCATGATGCCTTTTCACTGAGATGCTGAAAGGTGCAACAACAAACAATCGGAATTCCCAGTTGCAGTGGGGGAGGGTGGACGGGTGGTCTCCACAACGACGGAGTGGGACGGTGGAGGAAATGACGGTATTTCAGTCCCCAACAGCAGCGTGTCTTTTTCTGCACGCCAGCTGTACAGTTTCACTGCGCCGATAGCCCCTGATAGCGAATGTCGATGGTAGGATCACCCCTGTCTGAATGATACGAGGGGGAAGTGTCTCAGTTCTCGACTTCAAGGTCACGAGATTAGGAGAAAGGGTAAATTGTTTTTCCGTTGCCAGGCCTAGCGTGGTTGCTAGGCTCTTTCATGGTCCATCGGGAGCACTAGAGCCAAAGAGGACTAGTGCGGAGTACTCATGTGACTCACGAGTTCGGTTCCGAGCTCGGCCCCAGCCGAACTATTAAAGAGAAGGTTAGTAGAACAACACACTCCGTACTCCGTACTTCCGTTGAGATTAATTAAAAAAGATTGCTTATAGTCTTGGCTGCACACTAATCAAGGTGTACTCCGTACCGGAATCTACGTTGTACGGCAATATATCAGTTATACATATCCGTACTGACTCCGTACATTGTACTCCGTATTGTACATGTAGCTACTGGTACCAATCGGTCTCCACAACCCGATGGGCTTGTCCTAGGATAAGACTCGGACCATCCATTGCACAGCCAGGGCCAATCGTATTGGACTACGGAGTGTGTGGGATAGACTAATCATCAGTCGGAGATTTGATGGGATTGAGCTTATTTTAGGCTGGCCGTCTTACCTGTGTTTTACTACCACACTTTTTCTTTTGTTTATGTTGTACTCCGTATTCTTTTTCTGTGTATAGTAAAGCCGACTACCCGCGCTAGGCATGATTTGTAAGGGTACGGAGTACGGAGCACGGAGTATAGATTATCGAATCAAACCTCCAGGGCAGCATGTGGACTGACCTCTTGTCTCCACGCAATCTGCTGGGTAGTTGTCGCACCATCGCTTTGCGGTTGCTCCTGGGGTTGGTCAATCTAAGGCCTCTTGACAAACAATCTATTTTGTGTAGATCTATTTGCTCTTCAGATCAACCTGCCCCATTTGGCAGATTGCTGTTTCCCACTAACACGGTCCTGCAGAGTGTGGATTTGATCTGACCACTCTGTACGGAGTACGGAGTAGAATCGTTCCTATTAGCAAGGCGCCTATTCCGTCACGGATAGTGGGTCTCACCAAGAGCACCCTTATGTGCACGGAGTACATGTGGCATGTGTGTACAAAGTTTATGTAGTGAGGTAAATAGAACATACATGGAACATACATATTGTACGGAGAGAGGTATTTCTTCGGATCAAACGATAGTGGGTCGGCTTCCGAGCTCTTCGGGATCTAATTGAAAGGTGTTCCCATATGTCTAGGTCGTAAGGGGCATTCCTACTGGGTCCTTCTTTTGGTCCTGGAGAATCAAAATCAAAAGAGAAAGCGCTCTGACCTTATGCGAAACCCCATTTCCCATTTGAGGATTGATACACGAAGCATAAATATCACGAGCACGGCGAAAACGCAAAGCCGCTTCCCTCATACCACAGATCGGAGACTTTTCTTCCGATCATTTAGTCTGCTGCCATCCACGCTACTACCTTGAACAACCTTGATCGGCCAATCTCTTTCCTGAACTAGGGTAAGATCTTCTTCATCTACACGACTTGGCTTCCTGTATTCAAATTATAGTCTGGTTCTTCGGACAAGTTCTAGGACCAGCCATGAAATGCTACAACGTACGACATCGGAGAGAGAGTTTGGACTCCAGATAAATTGTACTTTGGTGGCGATTATGCTTCAAGGTCAATTTTCCTGTGGCACAGAGGCTGAGACGCAAACCTCCTGGGTTAAAATTCCCAAAAAAAAATACATCGGCTTAGATGGAGCCTATCGCCCGGACAGCCTGACACGTCCTTCCTCCGATTGCCAACAGGCCACCCGGGCATCTTATATGCATGATGTAACCGCTGTCACCAGACGTTCTCTGCCAACGGGAGAAATCCTCCATGTTCGTCTGACTAGTTCAAACGAAGTACTGCCAAGATTCAGGCTAGTACGGAGTAACCTGATCTAACTTCTTACACGGGATTTAAAAGACTGCCGGATGTTGTTTTTCTCATGCATGAAGATCCCGACTAGCGCCACGTGTGAGTTGAAGAAGCATCAACGGCTGCGAGGAACCATGTCGATCTCCCATCTACCCGATGTTTCGTGATGCCGCGTCATCGGCTCCCTAATAAGCTAAGAGAAAGAAAATAGATATTAAGATCATGGAAAATAACGAAAAAGAATAAAAAAAAGAATAAAAAGAACATGCCGGGTCCTAACGGTCATACATCCAGATTAAATCACTTCATGCAGGACCCGCTTTCTGGACAAGGATTTTAGGGGGGTAAGGATGATGGTGGGGGACGATGCCGTGCAGTATACAGCAGTACTGTATACTGCATATTTACCAGCTCCCTCAGTGGGATTATTAAAACTTTTTTTTCCCTCAAGGCTTCTACCTCAATGCCCAGATGTTTCCATTTAATTTCCATTTAATCTTTTTCTCGCGTTTTACCTGTTCCCACCTCGCCCTGAGGCCTGCTTCGGCATCCACTCTAGAAAGCAAACCTCTCTACTTTATCAAGCCTCTGCGCATCTATATTCTTCTCATATTCCTTTCATCCTTGATCAAATTCCACACCTCTGACGCAACTCGATTTGTTACACGGCCTGCTTTCCATTGACTTTTGCCGTTATATCTTCATCTCGCCATCACAGCTGGCCAGCTTCACAACCTATCCCCCTGGTGGGATCGAAATGTGCAACCTTTTCAAGAATTTCTACATATACTCCACCTGCTCCAATCCTGCCGCCCACTTCCTGCGCACCGAAATCGAGGGAATCAAAGACAATAGCACTTGCAAAGACAGTCCACACGACCGATTCATTGTCGTGGTGGGAAAATGTCTACTTTGCGCGTCCGCTCGGTGACCCCCATTGGAATCGACACTTTGGCCCTTCGAAATAATAAAAAAAAAATTAATCACACCTGAAACTCGGACAACGGCTTTTTCTCAAACTTTCTCTCTTTCCCTCCCGCTTCTCCTGCCCCGTCGCTCTTGGCGTGGAAGACTCCATCGCCGACTATTCGGCTACAACCGACACTCCGCATGGGAACGCGATTCTCTGGGAATATTCCAAATCATTTTATGCGGCCATGATGAGCATTGCTCCAAAAATCACGTTCTTTTATTCGAATTCGTGGGGGCAGACCGCGCTGGTTTAAACTTTTCTTTGAGACTGCATTTTCCGATATTCTGGAATATTGGCGGGTTTATCTCCATGTCTATTGGCCTCAGGATGGACCGATGTCTTCCGGTTTTATTGTATTTTGTTTTCCATTGTCTTTCCTAGCGTCTGCTTCTTTGGTTCGGCGTTTGGGGGTATTCCATCTTGGAGTCATAGACGAGTGAACTGATTTTTGGGCTACCCAATTTGGGGATTTGTGTTTTTATGGATCACTTCAAACCGCTTGTTCTACTTTTAGATTGCCTGTATTATTATGACCCCATGAACTCTTTGCTTCAGGATGAACAGGAAAAGTACACACATCACCAATGGGACATTGGTTTTTTTGAAAAAAAATATAGTTCTAGGATCACATGCATGGAGACCGCATCCACACGAAACGGTTTTTTTTTCCTTCTCTTCGAGTGGTTTCGGATAATAGAAAAATTCGGATCCGAAACTCGACAACTAAGCAATTAAATCGATTAGACCTAGGTCTTCACTGCGCGACGTGGTTGTTCTCTTCTCCAATCCCGCTATGTCTAGGTAGGCCAAGGGGGAAAGGGGGGTTGCCCCCAACGCAACGCGGAACAAAAAAGAGAACGACTCCAAAAAAATTAAAAAAAAGGGAACATAAAACATACAAAAGTATGACAACCAAGAGACTTGAGCAGTACCTACGGTGTATGTCCTATATTCGACCGTTAAATGCAGCACTGACGTAGCTTCGTAGTAAAAAAAAGTCACTATCTACTAAAGCAACCTCTCGTGCAGCTTCGGCTGACCCTCCAACGGTTGGATATCCTCCCCGATCGAGCCCGTTCTATGCGATAGGACGCTCGGGAGTATAAAGGATAAGATTCCTTTTTTGCGATTTGCTGGAAGCAACGCAATTAATCTAAGGGACTAACATTCCGTTAAAGAAAAAGCCGAGGCGCATTTATGCAATTCCACGCAATCTCGCAATCTCCGTGCGCTCCGGGGCCACCGATCCAGAAGTAGAGCTTCAACGATGTGCACACTCCTCTCCATGCAGGGATACTGGTACCCTCCCAAGGTGCTTTTTTATAAAAATCCCCGAGTCAGCTTCCGCTTTCGTCTAGACTTGCAGGGTCGGATTTTACCTTATATCCTCCCCCCCTTATTTAAACGCCAATTGTTATAAATTATTGCTGAAATTATAGTCCAATATAAATACATGGTGCCATATGAAACTATGGCAGCCTAGGTTTAGCACAGGTCTTACATAGCCCCCCAACCACTACCTCCAAGTAAGCAGTTTAGGGCTCCCCGGGGCTTCCTGGGCGTCCCAAGGTCACCCGAAGAACCCGAGGTGATACGGCTGGTAGATGGCCTTCCGAAACAGGGACCCGCGGTCCGTGGTAACTCGATTATTCCTTTCGATTGTTTGGAACGCTAATTCCTGGTCGATTCGACTATAGCATAGAAGCCAAGCTTGGAAGCCTGAAGTGGTGCTCAGTCCCCTTCGCACATGCCGGGTTATCCCCCTCTCCACCGAGACCCCCCACTCATACCCTAGTTACTTCGTAGAAGGAATGGAATGATTATTTAAATTACCTTTTGTTTTTAATTCCCGCGTAAGGCTGCGCATGTTCCAATCAACGTTCTAATATCATAGCTATTGCGTAAATCCATCGCAATTGGTTAGGAATCCCATAAATGAACACGGAAAATAGTTTGGTGGTCAGTGTTGAATGAAGATTGGATGGCGTGTCAAGCGCGGATTGGAAACCGAATCAAGCAAATCACGGACTAGAATATAGAATGCTGATGTGATGAGAGCTATGAGCACGCTTGCCAGAAGCCAGTTCTTATTATGCCACCCCTGAAGATTGTGGAAGCCATGCCGGCGGCTGGATCGGGTAAGTGGCACGGATAATGATCTGTAGAGGCTAAGCCGGGGTAAGGGGTACTTTGTTCGATATATACATGTAGCTTGATACTTTTTATTTGCTGTGCTTGGAATCTTAAGCAAAAATTACCGACTCCAATGCCGTTTTATATTATGGCTGCGTCCCTGGTAGCAAATTAAAGGTGCACGGTCCCTGCATACATGTAGAGAATCATGTACCTTGATGTACTACATGTAGAATGAACCCTGATATCTCTCTATGGAGGACCGAGTGCTCCGTAAAAGCTTTTCTGTTAAGCAACTATGGGCTGATTATTGCACATGTCCATCACTGCCATAGGTCATCAGTTCGATGTGCGGATATTTACGGACGGGCTCGGGGCTCTGTGCTTGTCAGTAGCCACGATTGTGATACTGGCGGCATATATCCAAGGCCATCACCCGGGGGCCTGATCCTTCGGAGAAATCACGCATCTAGGCCTTCATGACTCGCTGGTATCTGAGAGCTTCGTTGATTCGGCAGAGTCGAACATTCAAACCAAACGAATATGTAATGAGTATATTGAAAGGGGTTGCGCACACTTGTCCCTACTTCATTTGTCGTCGAGCTTCACCGGATATTGTGGCGGCAACAAGATTAGTTGAGCCTGGAAGCCTTGCGATTCGTTAATATAACCAGTCAAATGAATATTTCTTATTGGATCGTTCTTCCCTTCTTTCCCCCCTCCTTTGACTCTTAAAAGTCATACCCAGGTTCTAATATAACCACCCCCAGTGCCTAGCGGGGGCTGCTGATCATTTGCTTGATTTGATTTCTAGCTCCCAACCCTGTCGGAGTACTCCGTGATAGGTCTCGTGTATATATGCACGGGAGGGAGACAACAACCGTGTTTCGAAGTCCAACAGCTAGGATGCCTTTTGAGGGCAAGTAGATACATACGAAGTACTCCGTACATGTATCGTTTAGGAATGTGTACTCCCAGCAACCCAACATCTCCAACCTAAACCCCACTCACGGCCCTACCTAGGTAGTTGACCACGTGTGTTCACTCGTCCGTGACTCCACGTTTCGAACTTTGGGCAGGAGATGTGACATAAACCCTGTTCACAACGTCAATCCCAGCAACACTCCAGACATGATCAAAATCCAACCCCAGACACTTCAATCCAAAACAATATCACTCAAAGGCACTGTCTACCTACAAAGTAGGTACAGTTTGTGCCTCCTTCGAGAATTTTTCGGGTGGAGTCCCGAAGCCACAGCCGGCTATCCACCTTCCCAAGAGGGTCTTGCCCGAGATAGGTACGTAACTTCCAGATCGATACTCCCTATGGGGCATTGATAGAAGCGACCGATCGGCAGTAGAAGCAAATCCCGGTACTTCGATCAGCCGCTGGGTGAAACTTTGTGTTTCAGGCTGTACGGGCTGTCGAGCTCAACGTGAATATCAATTGTCTTGTCCAGCACGGAGATAGGCCCGTCTATGATATCTACACATTGTATCATAGCACATGACATGGACGAATCTAACCCTGTAAAGTATGTGATCGCTTCCCAGTCGATCGGCATTATATCTCGAAATGTGTGCTGTCGCGTGGAGATCGAAGTCGACGTTCGTGTCGGTCCCCACACTTCCCGTCCTCGTGGAGCCACAATCCCGCCAAGTGAACAGACTATAATATCAGCATAGAGCATGTTTGACCTGCCAGATATCGCAGCGACTCCGGAAGCGATATTGATGTAGCTGTACATATAGTCGACTCAGTCACATAACGATGTTAAACAGATACAGCCGCCTCCATGGGAAATCCCATTGCCGGGATTCCGCTTGACACCCACCTATCCACGCCAAGTGAAAGATCTGATGACCCAAGACAAAGCCCCGGATCTCATTGCTTGGAAATGAATGCCGAATCGTTAGCCCTCGTAGCCCGACGATCCGCTCCCTTTTCGCAAATTAATTCCGCGAGGGTGGGGCTCGTTTTGGGTTTTATGCAGGGGCTTTAAGGTGTGTGTGGGATACCATGTGTCTCGAGGGTTGGCGTCGAAGAACAGGTTTTTTTCCAGAGGAATCATGACTATGTTGCGTTGAGCTTAGGGTCTTTGGTGGACTCCGGTACATACAAGGTTGTGCAGCATGCATATAACATGCCATAGTATTCTGTATAATATATGAATTATGGGTATGTACGGAGTTCTGTGGTAGATATAACCCCATGAAGTATATGGAGTGCATACCGAAATTTATAGTTGTAAACAGTGATTGATGTCTAATAAAACAAGTAATACTGGCATTCCAATACCAAGCAACAGACGACAAATAATAGTTCCTCCTTGGATATCTCAAAGTAAACGTACCGATTAAAACGAAAACAACCCCATATATATACAAATTCCAATTTGCACAACAGCCGAAGAATCCACAAGTCACTCACGTTCAAATCTCTAGAACCGCACTTCTGGTCGAATAGCAAGCCGTTTGTGCACAACTGGAGGAGGAAGAGGAGTATATCTCGGCGAAGGTTTGCACGAGACCTTCCGTGTCGAAGAAAACGGCAAAGGGGGTAGATCACCAAGATGCAAGCTCAGAATCGAAGATGCCCGTTTCCTATCGAAGATTTGACTTTGACGATTCTCTGATCTGGAACCAAGCGTGGAGGCTGATGATGTTGGAGTATGGCCTGATTTGTGCTGTGGTAGGCAGGAGATCGTTATCAGACTGTGAAGGTGGTAGAATGATTCTTCTTCTTGTTCTTCTTTCCGCTGCTCGGGCAGGGGGTTGAGCGTTTGTGGCTGGGATTCGGCTTTGAGGACAGGCGTAGATAGCGGAGTGATGCTGCTCGATTTATGGCTCAAGGAAGCTGCAAGGGCAGCTAATTGGTCCACGATCATATCTGTGTCGTCGTATCGGGATGCAGTGGCCATGGTCATGTCTGGTATATGTGACTCTATCTCTTCAAACTCGAGGTCTTGGAGGGTAGATGTCGAATTTGATGTTTCTTCTGCGTCGGATCTTCGTCGTCGGATCCACAGCTTGCGTAACAACAGGAGAAACATGATGGCTATTGATATAATGCCCGCTAAAGAACGAGAATCAGGATATTTGTTCCTTAGGATTGTTCGAGGAAAACTCACAACTCAAAAAATTGTCAATATAATGATCTTAAAAGTGTGACTTGATAGCATTCGCTTTATCAGGTCTCTCACTGCGAATTGAATATCAAATAGATGTGAGAGTGCCATCCCAGCCACTGATATATATGTGTTGCGATCAAGGCATACGATCTGGTACAACCATTCAGTTCCTATGGAGCACGAACCCGAAAACCCCGTGCCATATTCAAACCAGACTGAAGCTGAAACATCATCCTGTATCCGAGCTGAACATTATTTTCCCAAAAAATTAGACCATCGAAACTCCAGCTATTACAGGTATGACTAGAAATTTGTACAAGGTAAGCTTAGAGATTACTACCTCGTCGAGGCGCAGCAAATCCGCAAAAGAATACATACAATCGTCTTCAATAAGCCCAAAATCCGAATGAAGTTTTGTAGATACATCATTTCCTAGGTCGGACATTTGCAAACGGATGTATGAGTTGATTCAACGCATTACTTGAGAATCGATCCAGTACCAACCCTATTGTTGTGTTAACGTTTGAGTGAATTCGAGTGATCTTCTTATTCCGTTTGTGAGCTGAGGGATGTGTGGATCGGAGCGTTGAGACCAGTTTACAATGGGACTGGGGATTAAGATTGCGCATCCGGAAGATTTAGTTCACTTTTAGGGATGTTGTCTGGAATTGAATCTGTCCATATGCTAAATCAAATCTCACTGCGGTCGGATCCATGGCATACTCGGATATTGCCCTGGGCCACAATTCAATGTGACTCCAAACCAAATCTGCAAAACAGAAATAAGATCAAATAGGCAATCACTCCATTTTCGGATCCCGCACCATGCAGTATAACTATCAGCAATTAGCAACAGCATCCAACCGAATCCAACCCCGGTTCAAACACCACGACATCGAAATGGGACGTACCATGCAAGCATCCTCTCCATCCCGACAATCCATCTCCTTACTCATATGGAAGCCCATACGCTCATAGATCGCTACATTGGGCACATTCTTCGAGCTCTCGAGATAACACTTCACGCCCTCACGATCCGCCTGTTTCGTGACAGCCTCAAACAACAACCTCCCGACACCCTTCCCCTGCACCTCGGGGCTGACTGCAACAATGTTGCAGAAATAGTATCCGCGCGGATCATCCCAGATAGCAGCCTGTGCCTCGGCCTGTCGCTGCTTCCAGATCCAATATCGGTTCGTGCGCAGCCCACCGCGACCCAGGTACCGGATGTTGTTGAACAGCTGGTTGAAGGAGAGTACCCAGGATTGGTACCAGGAGTACCAGCTCTCTGGTTGCGCGGGTGGGTGAGGCGCAAGCCAGCAGGAGACACCGAGGATTGGAGCTGGGTTTGGTGAGGTGTTCAGTGTCTTTGAGTCTGGTACTTGGGTTTCCTTGGCAACCTGGAAGATTGCATTCTTGATTCCCCAGTGGCAGCGTGCTGCAAGGGAATCGTAATTTCTTTGCTTGTTGAACTATACGTGGATTATCTCTCGACAGATGTAACTGTCGGTCCAGTTGACCGCGTTACGAGAGAGATCGATGTTAGTCCGGTGATGACGAGAATGTGGGTATATTCTATTTTTTCACTTGTTTTTCCGTACTTATCTTTCAACATACCGTGGATGAATCGAAAACCCACTGGGAATAGGGATCGTCTGCAAATGCCCGCTGAATTACCTCGATGGCGCCGGGGATATCGGCCTCCGTAAGAGGTACAACTTCGATAGTCATGGTCGCGCTTTGTGGAGCTGATTGGAGGGGAGAGACTTCAGATGCGAAGGATCGGATGTAGCCCTACGCCCCGCTTTGTCGAAGTATTGATGATGGCGCTGTGAGGATGGACCCGAATATAGTGAGGTCGATTTGTCTTTTTCACCAAGCTTTTTCAGCAAGACTGATATCAGAACTGCTCTTTGCTTGACTGCATCTGGTATACGATGAACGCTTAACTCACCGAACCAATCAGTGGACTCCGTACTCTGTCTCAAAGTCCCGTAGGCTAGGAGCGCAGGATCTAGCTTTGTAAGTCTCTGGAAGATTGACTCAATTATTGCAAATGCTCTAATAGCAGACCAAATCGAAGAGATAGAAAAGGAAGAAGATCTGGGCAGTTGGAGAACTAGATGTGGGGAGAGCTAAACCACGCAGGGCAGTTGGATCCCGTGGAACGATGACACATCAGGCGTATCAGCCCCAACACAACATGGACATGGCATATACGGTGTACTATGCAAGCATTCTCAATCATGCCCATCAATTCCATTTGGTCATTTATCGTTGGCCAGGTTCAATACTCGGGATACCGCATGCTTCATATATTAAGTACTTGAATAATCATAGTTCAGTGCTATAGCATGTATCAATACAAAATAATGCGAAGATATGACCTATTTCGCCTTTCACCCCCCATCAACCTAAGAAAAAGTAAGAATATCAACAACGACCAATAAATATAGGACAACCGGTCCTGCATAAATCATGACAAAAAAAAGCTGGTGAGTAGAGAACATCCGTTACCAAATATGACTCCAGAAAGAAGGAAAAGAGAAGGGAGAGCCGGGTCTAAAGGACAGTATCGCTGTAAAACATGTGCCTGACACCAATCCCGATATGAACAGTCGCGTAATTTCATGATTCAAACATCGTGATAGATTTTAGGTAAAACAATATCACTGGAAATGATCTTCCAGTCGCACCCATTCGCGAGGCACGTCCATACTGCGGTTGATGCGTCCACCCGGTGTGAGGGGTACATCAACGCGGCCACGGCCACGGTCATCGTCCTCGTTTTCTTCGTAGAAAGATAATCGCGAGAAGTAATCTTCGAGGACGGCCTCGCGGTCGTCACCGACAATGGTATCGTACTCTGGGGGCGGAGTGACGAGCGGCGGTGCGGGAGGAACATCTTCAAAAGCAGGTGGAGCATATGAGGGTGCGCGGAGCAGATGCATTGGGCGGGGCGGGGTGGGGGTATTGCGGTCGTGTGGTGGCGTTGCGAGGTGTGCTTGTGGGGGTCGGGCGAGGCCACCGGAGCCGTTGGTGAAACTGCGCGAGAAGGCGTGGCCCGTTGAGTCATGGCGACCTAGAGATGCCAGAGGAGAGTTGCCGTCTTCACGATCAGATGACGCTAGGGAGACCGCTTGCTCTCCGGGTGCGAGAGGGGCACCGGGACATCCGCATTCGAATTCTTGAGCTGGAGGGACGGGGTCCTCGGCCGGCGTTGTATAAGCCGGCAGGTAGATATTGGCCTGGGTGGCCTTACAGGAGAGGATGTGGAAAGGTGAATCGATGGAGATTTCGAAGTGTCTTCGTTTTGTGGGGTCCCTCTCGTCAACCTTGGATAGACGGAGGACAATCTGCGTGATTCGGTTAGTATAAGTAGAGCCCGAGAAGCAAGATATTTAACGTACTTTGATCCAGTGATTGATCTGGATATTCTCATATGTGGTATCGAAATGCAGCCGCTGGCTCTCGTCCCGGCCCTTCATTTCGTGGCAGCTAGGCAGCTGCACATTGAATTCCATTTCAGTTGGACCGACACCAGAATCATTTGACAAGTTGCCCAGCAAATTCGTCCGATTCCGATTCACGATCTCCTGCCCTCTTGCGGCAGCGGCGCGGTGATCCCAATCGATGCCACCACCTGCGGTAACACGCATGGAACTGCCAGGATATGTGCTCACACTATTGGAGTCTGCCCGTTTTTCGAAAAGCAATACTTTTTTCGCTGGCTGCAACCGGTGTACGCTCTTGTCTGCCGTCCAATGCTGGATGTTCTCCGTCACATAGACCTTGATTCGGTGGCACTCCACTTTTGCTAATGGAGTCAATTTGAATGCAATCGGGATCTGTGAGCCGAGCGGGAAGGATTTCCCCGAGATGACGATATCATAGTGAAGTTGGTCTTCCCAATTCCGTGAAATCGCAATCGGTTCGACTTGCTCTAGTGAGCCCTCAGCGGGAGTACGAATGACGGGAATCTCCATGGTGCCGAGAAGATTGGGTCGGAATGCACCTGATCGTTCCACCATTGCCTCCAGATCATATCTGACAGAGCCTAGATCGGTCTTGATCGTCTCTGGTAATGACCCATCGATTGGGAACTCAAAGCTGTACAAATAATCGCCCACGGGGAACATGCGGTAGTTGCGCTGGGGTTGGTTTTGGGTGGTCGGGGGCTCGTTTTTGCTGAAGCTGCGCGAATGACCGCGATTGGCTTGCAAAGAGAGGCGTTTGACTTCGCGAGTGGTGGGTGGGGCGAGGGTGGCTGTGGAGTTGCGATTTGAAAATAGCTCTCGGGTTGTCATCGTGACTCCCTCCTTGCCTGGTGCGGATGAAATCGGTTTGGCGTGTTGGTAATAATGCGCACCATAATCATTTTGCATGAGCGCAGTATCACCGTGGTTGAAATAAACCACTCCATGGGTAAAAAGGTCCTTTTTGTCGTGGAAGTGAATCTTCTTAGGCGGGATACCTGGGGGTACATTAGTTCATATTGGAGATATACCGGAGTTTCGGTGAAGATTCGCACCATCTGGCCAGTCGGTCTGAGCATGGCCGCGGAAGCAGACCGAGATCTTTTTGATCTTTACACATTTGGTAACTTTCAAATGTATCTGTCCCCGCAAGATCGCGGACTTTTTACTGCTCGGGTCATGTTGATCATAGCCTTGCAAGTAAAGAACCGGCTCTGTAAGGGCGATACCAACAGAGATACCACTCCCTGTGGCGACAATCTTCTCATTTCGCAGCGGAGCAAATGGAATGGTCGCATCGACCGTTGAAATATGGTGCTCCGGTACGGGTTGAGGCAGTACCTCTGTAGACGAGGACTCGAATCGCATCTCGTCCAAATGGGCCGATGTCGGCGACAGTATAATCTCCGAGACTGGTCGTGCACGACGCGGAGCCGGACGTTGCAAAGGCGTCTGGATTCCAGACGACCGCAAGCGAAGGAATCGCTTCGCGTTCTCACGTGAGCCTGCCAGCTTTCTTAATAATGAGCCTCGGCGACTCCGTTTAGACTTCTCCTGCTCGCGCCTTGCTATACACACTGTTTGGCGACAAGCCGACCGTGTGATCCAATTGGATATCGATACTCCTAATGACGGAGGTCCTGTGAACTCCGAATGCGGGGTGGGGTTACTAGAGGCCGACCGCGAGGATAACTGCGCCGGCAGAGGAAGGATGTTAGCATGTATCATGGTGACACTTGGTTTGTCCGGTTGCCCATTGGGCATTGGGAAGAAGTTCAATAATTAAATCTCTGTATCCTTTGGAATGTTGCAGTCGCCGAATTGGGCAACCATGGAGGCAACGAGGCTCAAACAGATCTCCCACAAGAAAGGGAATACAGAGCGCAGAGAATGTGTAGGACAGGCTCAACATACCTTCGATCTTTGATCTTTTGTGACACTGGGGTTCTAATCCCTTGAGTCCCTTCAATGCACGCAAGGAGAATCAATCTTTGCCGGATGGAATTCTTGGGGGTGCTGACTTCATAAGCAGTCCTCCACTCCGATCATCGTGCAGATCTTTATTTCGGCGTTTGAGATTGGCTGCGAAGGGGGCCGAATTGTGGTTCCTTTCCTTTTTTTTTCCCTGATCTCTATGATTCGGCTCCGCTGGCAAGGCGTAATGTGGCGTCGCCAGGTGATCCCTGAGAATACAGAGTAGATCGGTGAATATAGTTAATGGATAATAGAGGCGAGCTACTGGAGCGGGACAAAAAGGTAAATGAACCCTGATCCACGGAGAAAAGAACGAGAACAAGCGAAAAGGAAAAGAAAAGCCTAAGCTACCTCGTCCATCTTAAATCGATGACAACACGATTGAGCAAGCCCGGGGGCGCTCATATCCGGCGATCCGGCCCATACGTCTCTACGGTTGACGCTCGACAGTTTACGCTTTACGGGGTTGGTTCGGCATTTTTGTACCAGTTGCTTTCCAATTGGATTCATCCGTGGAGAAACATTCCTTAAAAGGCCTCGCGGCCTCGCGAGCTTCGCTGTCTATAACTGGTCCCACGGCTTCACGGCATTGGCAGTAGGGCAGTGCTAACGCCTAGGTCTTGGTGGATCGGGTATCTCGGACTTCCTGATCTAGAACGAGAGACCGGGCTTGAATGCGGGGGCTTATGCCCCATGTGAGAGTCTCGCACTCTCTATATGACCTTTTCACTTTTGAGGGCTTTTTTTGTAGGTCCATACCCAAATCCCGTGCTTGCTTGTATAAAATGCTCGTGACACCCGAGCAGACCTTGATCTAGATCGCGAGTGAACCTTGGAAGATTTCCGTTTCTGGTGCCAATAGTCTCTATCTCCATACTATATGTTGTATCGACCACATACTACCTACTACCTACATGTGGGTACAATATATGTACGTTGTACTCCGTATTGCGGTTCACTGCACGGATCGGGTAACTGGGACATGAATGGTCGGAAAACAGGCCCTGCGGAGAAAACTGGCGAGTGCTAGCTCGTCACCATCACTTATGATATACGCACATTCAAGGACATTGATGTAAATAAGAATATTATTAGCATGACGACAAGGTGCGACCGCTGGCATTTTGACTCAAAGGAAGCGGGTCCGTGCCGGTGACAGTTATGACCTCATCAGCCTAGACCCCTACGACTGAAAGAGACCATGGCGTCCGGAGTATACCAACGGGCATATGGCAGATCTATTTCAGGATCAGAACGTGTTTTTTGGCTTTCTCCGGGGGGATCGCCCTGATGAGGTGGACTTTTTCCTGATTCACTGATCCACGTTGATCCCGACCTCAGGTCCGAGATGTCCTACGTCACCACTATACTTACGAACCACTCCAGCGATCTACAGGGTACAACGGATGTACAACGGATGTACAGCATAGATATGCCCCTTTAATTTATGTGGACAGAATTTATTCAATGAAATAAGAGGGGAATTTCCAGGTACCGAGGAACACGCTTCCTTCTCTCTTGCGCCGTGACCCTGTCGCACAATGAGCTCTGTGACACTGCTGGATGGGTTCATGCATTCAGTAGAGGCTGTCTAGTGGCTAGGAAGCCGATTGCTTTAATGTGGGTTTCACTATTGATCTTCTTTGGCAGCCCTAGCTCCGCAGAGCTATCGGGACTTACGCCAAATATGAGTTACCTAGGTAACCACATGTACCTAGTCGGTCAAAGATATTGATTTTTTTTTTGATATACACCCGTTGGATCACAACTCTACCTAGGCTAGATCAGAAAGGTACTGAAAAACTATTGAATGCTGTATCTCGTCGTGTTCCACAACCCCTTCCCAGCCAGAGGCCTTGAGTTTGAGGAATAAAAGATCGCGTACGAGGTAGGAGTACAGGGTAGTGTCGAGACAATAGTCTATGCCTGCAGTCCGAGATCCAGGGCATATGTCATATATAGGTATAAATCTATGCTTAGCACCACTAGTGTCCAATGCGCATGCAGATCATAGGATAATCTTTCCCATGATTCACCCCACTGGCCATTGCGCCTCGGACCGCACACGTTCCGCCAGGCTGAACCCCTTCTTTCATTTTTATTAGTTAAACCAATTATCATCTAGCTCATTGACATTCATCAGGCTGTCCCCCTCCAGCTGATTGAAGTCCCCACCATTCTCTCCGAAATTATCAGTGTCCATGAACAGATCATCGAAATTTGATTCGGCCGGGCCCATGAAATCATCCCCAGAATTGCCCTGTAGGAAGTTCCCATCATCTCCCTCAGTCTTCTGCAACTCTACGTCAAATGCTCCACCTCCAGCAGGGACATTTGGAGGATTCTCCTCGGGTTGGGTTGTGTTTAGCTTGTCGGCCCCACCAGCATTACCAGTAGCTGTGAAATTTGACCCCGAGAGGAAAGCTTGATTGCCCATATCGTCATCGTTAAAGTCCAAACTGAGGCCAAAGTCATTGGTACCGCCAGTGTCATTGAGGACCGAATCGAACGTGAGATCTTCATTGGCCCCAGAGAAAGATGGGTCGGGGGCAGCATTGTTGTCCTGATCATTTTTGATAGGTACATCGTCACCTGATTGGGTCTCGGGTTTGATGTGTGCGGGAATTGGCTGACCCGCAGAGACAGCTCCTTTTGATTTGGACACAGGCTCAACTTCTGTGTCAATCTCAATTTTCTCAACCGGGGAAGGCTGGGTTTCCAGCTTAGCCTGTTGGTTCACATCGCTCATTGCCACATCTTCAATGGGCTGGGGGTAGCGCTACTGGCTTTGAGGGCCTCGTAATCCCTTTCCAGAAAGGCTTTCGCGATGAACTGCGGGCTGTCAGAAAAGCAAGAATAAATAGGGGAGGGGAGAAAAAAAGCAAATATTGATCCTTTCTCGATCATCTGCACGGTGGCTAGAAACGTACAATCTGTTCTGATAGATTATCCAGGGCATTTTGGAAACTGTCATGATACAAGGGGAGGGATCGCTGCAGGTGGGTTCTCGATGGCATGGAGCCAGATTTGCGGAACAAACGACCCGTATCAATAAGCTAGAGGCAGTCAGAGACGGTGCCAAGAGATAGCATGTTCCAGAGCCAGCGCTTACCGTCCGCTCTATTATGCTGGAGAGCTCCGTGAGCGACTCCGGGTTTGAATAGCTGGCCGAATAGCTGGCCATGGTGCCAGAACCGTGACTGGATAGAGGAAGAAAGTATGCAGAAACCACCGCTCAAGCCCAGGAGTCCAAAAACAAGCTATTGGGGCTAGCTGAGGCGGAATGGTGATACTTTGCAAGATTGAATGTTGTACACGCGTGAAGTAGCGAGCGAAGCGGCTAAACCCTTTGGGGTAAAGTGTCCTCCCCCCACCCCTAGCGGTTAACTCTTCCTCCCTTTACTTTGCTGTTCTGTTCTTCTGTTCTCCAGTTCTTTTTTCTTTCTATCTCCTCCTCGACTTCTTTTTTTTTCCTTTTCCTTTTCCCTTTTCTTTTTCTTTAGTGTTTGGCTCTCCCGCACGGGACTTGCATGCTTTGGTTTCTTTGAGCTTTCTCGGCCTATTTCTGTTGGGCTTTCTACCGTCCACTGCGCTTTGTATCGCCATCTCCGACCGTATCAGCTTTATCAGGTCACAGAAACATCTGCCTAGCTGCCTAGCTAGTTCATCGGAGATAGCTTGATCGAAAAATCCTCCGGTGCCATTTCGGTGTCTCTTTTACCAGCACTGTTTATACCCGGTGCTCTTTGTTTCCCATCTTAAGGTCTTGCTTATTGGACTTCTTCCACCCTGGTCCCTCACGCTTCCTATACTACATATACTTTCCAGTCTCATTTGCGATTGTGGCTTCCAGCGACGCTCTGCATTGTCTCAAATCACAAATTTGACAGATTTCTCACTGGCCTCCCCCAGTCGGACATTTAACTTCCAACATCCACATCGCCCGCTTGCTCTGATCGCCTTAGGAATATAACACTATTTATTCAAAAGCATCCATAATGGCCGAAAACACTCAAGCCTCGACTCCCTCGTCCCTCCCCTCTGCGCCCCAGCCCGCTGTTGGTCAAACCCAACAGTACGATGCCCCCCAAGGCAATGGCCAGGGCAACCAGTCCCACATGCCCCCGCCCCCGCGCCCTCCTGTGGTCATTCCCCAGAATACCAATCCGATTCCCACGGCTATGACCTCCCCTATGTCTGGAGTTGCCATGATGTCTCCTACAAACACGGGTGGATACGTCCGCCGAGCGGCTCCTGAACCAAACAAGAGAGCCTTGTATGTGGGCGGATTGGATCCCAGGGTCACTGAGGACATCCTCAAACAGATTTTCGAAACCACCGGCCACGTGGTCAGCGTGAAGATCATTCCTGACAAGAACGTGAGTAATTCTGACAGTTTCCCCCCCCTGCATATGTATCAGCCTCCCCCTTGGGCCGTTGGTCATGAAATATGAAGCTGCCACGAGTATTGATTGTGCGCCTTGATTACTTATGGAAATGTTGTCAGCTGACAATCTCACTCCAGGGACAATTCACTACCAAGGGACACAACTACGGATTTGTTGAGTTTGATGACCCAGGTGCGGCCGAAAGGGCCATGCAAACCCTAAATGGGCGCAGGATTCACCAATCGGTAGGCACTTTTGTATTCTTGAATCCCGTACATGTATCTAATTGTCTTAGGAAATTCGTGTCAACTGGGCATACCAGTCAAACAGCACCAACAAGGAGGATACCTCTAACCATTTCCATATCTTCGTTGGCGATTTGAGCAACGAAGTTAACGACGAGGTGCTGACCCAGGCATTTTCTGCCTTCGGTTCTGTCTCCGAGGCACGTGTGATGTGGGATATGAAGACTGGTCGATCCCGTGGATACGGCTTTGTCGCCTTCCGCGACCGTGCAGAGGCAGACAAGGCCCTCAACTCGATGGATGGTGAATGGCTTGGCTCTCGTGCTATCCGCTGCAACTGGGCCAACCAAAAGGGCCAGCCCTCGATTTCCCAGCAGCAGGCTCTGGTTGCTATGGGCATGACACCCACAACTCCTTTCGGCCATCACCACTTCCCTACCCACGGCATCCAGAGCTACGATATGGTTGCCCAGCAGACCCCTCAGTGGCAGACTACTTGCTACGTGGGCAACCTAACCCCTTACACTACTCAGAATGATCTAGTTCCCCTGTTCCAGAACTTTGGCTATGTTCTTGAAACTCGCCTTCAGGCCGACCGTGGCTTTGCATTCGTGAAGATGGATTCACACGAGAATGCTGCCTCTGCGATCTGCCAGCTGAATGGTTACAACGTCAATGGCCGTCCTCTGAAGTGTAGCGTGAGTTATTCCAGCCCTGGGATTTCCAGCTTATTTGGCTGTTTACTAACCTGACGCAGTGGGGTAAGGACCGTCCTCCGACCGGTCAGTTCGACAGCTTTTCTCCCCAGCAGGGTAACGCCGCTCCCTTCAATAACAGCCCTGCTGGTTTCTTCCCTCAATACGGTGGTCCTGCCAACCCTATGAACCAAGGTAGGCCTGGCATCCATGTCTCTCGGGAACACCCTACTTACTAACTATATAGGTCCTGCCCCTGCTGGTCGAGGCTGGGATCAACAAGCTAACAACTTCAACGGACCTGCCATGGCTGGCCAAGGCTACGCCCAGGCAGGTAATGCCGGAGGTTACGGCCGTGGCCAACCCATGTCCCCGTCCGGCAACTGGGACCAATCCAACAACTTCAACGGAGGCTACCAGGCGTAGCTCGGTTCTGCGTGACAGTCTTCAATCGGTTTGGTGACATACGACACTGCCGGCTTTTGCTCACAGAACCAAGTTGTCTTAACATCCTTTCTGTGTTTCTTTCCATAGCACCCCTCTACAATTCCCCCTCACCGTTGATATTTTCTTTCTTTGATTCTGATTGAGTGGATTTTCAAGCGAGCAAGTTGCTTTTGTCTGAAACGGAATTTGTGTGTTGCGCACCAATACCCCAAGTCCACTGTATTGATTCGGTCTTTTTCTTCTCTTCTTTCCTTTTTCTTCATTAAGCATGCCTCGAAATCAAGGGTTCTCTGAACTTTTGGCTCTGTCACGCTCCCAAATAAAAGCGACTTCCCTACTCTTTACCCGCGTATTTGGACTGTTGCAATTTTGTTAATCTCTCTCATTTCTCTAGCTGTGTTATCACTTGAGTACATGTATCAAATTTGCTTCCCTTTCTTTTTCTTAGGCTTGCTTTCTCTGTTTTATACTCATTTGCGCTACTCAAAGATGCTTCTCATGGACTGCCATGGACTTCTCGGTTGGCATATTGGTCTGGGCATACGAGTATCCGTATATGATGTGATGAATTTCCTTGGAGCGTGCAACACCATTGATCTTTTCCTAAGTATCTACCCTGCTGGCGTTCTAGTCCAGATACCAATTTGTCTTTTTTTTTGCTGCATTTTGCATCATTTTTTCTATTTCTCTAGACACATTGCCAGTGGCACTTGCCCTCTTTGTTTATTTGTTGTATATGATATATGATAGATAGAGCAGACGGCGGATTGTATCATAGGTAGATATGGGGTTGTTTTTCGCTCATAGGCCACAGGCCAAACAAAATATGTTATGTGATGGCTCTACGGGGCATTAAGATTCAAACTGATTCTGGAATCATCTCAGTCGACATCTAGTGTTGGCATTATTTGATTGGCAAACCACAGACCTTTGTCCTCTGCACATATATATGCAGTGTGATGTTCAGAATTCCAGTGAGAGATAAACAGTGGACAGGACCTCATATAGCCCCCTTTACTGCAAATATGAATCTCCTAAGCGGTTCCTGATCGTTTACTTCTCAGCTTGTATCCATGAATCCATGGATAATAGGGCCTATTGGTAGATAGTTGTAATATCTTCGTCCCCGATATATTTACGAAAAAAACAACTGATATGATATGTACATGTAGGTAGTCAGGTTTCTATAGAACCTCTCAAGTCCTCACACTCGTTTTTATTTCTTCTCTCTTCTTCTCTCTGCCTTCTCCCTACCTTCTACTCTGCGCCACTGTCGACTATAGCTCCTTTCATTTATAACAAGACCAACCTTCCTCCCAACGGCCTTTTTCCAATTTACTATGTTATCGCTAGATGACTGGACTACAGAGCCTGGCTCGAAGATAAAGAAGACAGATGTTGACCAATTTTGAAATCTTGTTTTCTTGATATACAAGCAAACCCCATCGCCTGCTAGGACCGTCCTCTTCGTGCTTTCCAGAAAATTCCGAATATATACTCCCAAAGGGCATTCCATATTTGTTAAAACGTTAGGTACCTCACAAGAACATCAAGTTCTTCTTTGTACTGCTTTTCTCACATTCTAAATCTAAAAACATACAATACAAGGCCGTTTGAGCACCTACGCAGATGTCGATTCGTATACAGTGAGTTTCTGGTTGGTGCCTGATTTTGAAGGCTGCAAGAGTACTCCTTTAGAGCCTCCAGTCGCTATGCAGGAAGCATACCTCTCGATGTGAACGAAACCATTTCTGAACAGAAAATAGGGATAACGGCGAGAGCGATGAACACAAGTGGATAGACCCACGAGCCGACGTCCCATCCTCCGGTTCCACTCGCGCCAATGGACGATGACGAGAGACCCGCGGAGTTCGCGGTCCACGACCTATCCCCTCGCACGCGATCAGGCAGCGCAAGCAGCCACAAACGAAGCCTTTCCGGTTCCCTCCTCTCGAAACTTTCCTTTCTCCGCATGAGCCAGGGAGGACACATCTCCCCGGACCAACATCACCTAGAGATGGACCACGATGACAACAGCGAGGACTTCCGGTCCCGCATACCGCAGAGCATAAGCAAAGGAGGAACAGCTAGTAGCCGGGCAATGTCCGCCGCTCTCGCACAAAATCGAACGCGCCGGCGCCGTGGATCCCTTCGCAAGACCGCACTGCTAGGAACTAGGCTCGAATCGCGCGACAAAAGAGCCACCGCCAAAGCCGCCGAAGCTCTTGAAGCCCTCCGCGCAGAACCCAGCCGAATTCCCGCCGATCTACAAGAGCCTATAATATCACAAACCCAAATTTCTCCTAGTAATGGACTTCCACCACACCCACCGCGCAAGAGTGAGGTCTTCGACGACGATGGCGATGTCGCCCAACAGCCGACCTGGTTCCACACAGCAACTATCCAGAAACCCGTCCGACCACCAATAACTCGCCGGCGCCAGGGTTTCACACAGCACAATCACCATGGTCAACACTTAGCCATCGATAACGAAGATCTCGTCTCCTTCCCTCGTCTCCACGCGAGCTCACACTCCACAGCAGCCGGCCCAGGCACCAGCCCCAAAATGAGCACCTCAGCTGGCTTGCATATCTCTCGGCCATCCTCCACCTCGGGCTCTTTCTACTCGCTCCAACCACAGCCCGAACCGGCATACATGCCCGTGCACCGACACAAATCCTCGCCCCTGGTTACACACCCGGTCGAGATGAAGAGTAGTCCGGACGTAGATGTGGACTACTCCGAGACCGAGTGGTGGGGCTGGATTATACTGATTGTAACGTGGCTTGTGTTTGTTGTGGGAATCGGAAGCTGCTTTGGGGTCTGGAGCTGGGCTTGGGACGTTGGAGAGACGCCGTATGCACCGCCTGAGTTGGAAGATGACCCTACTTTGCCCATTGTTGGGTATTACCCTGCACTTATCATTCTCACAGCCGTTATGTCTTGGGTGTGGGTTGTTGTTGCCTGGGTTGGTATGAAGTACTTCAAACATGCCAACATATCCGGGGACGATATTTGATTTCTGTTCTTTGTTTTAGCGTTTATCATATTATAATACCCTTCTTCCGTGAGCGCTACATGGCATATGTTTCTATGATCACATAGAATCCCCAGGATAGACTATGTAATGACACTATTCGATGGCCATTTTGTGAAGTGAATGAGGTACAACTATATCGCTTTTATGAGGTAGGGTACTTGAGTATAAATAATGAATAGGGCAAAATATCTTAGACTTTATCCATAGCGGATGCCCTCGATGTGATGATCTTAGCTATACGGTTCTCTAGTGTCTAAATTATATACAAGGAACCTCCACACATCACAAATTTGCAGCGTCTAACTTCCTTAAGCGCAACAAACTGTCCTGCAAGGAAGTCGCCAGCAAAGTCCCATCGGGGCTCCAAAGATGGCTCTCATGAACTGCCCGATTCTCTGCAGCCCGAGGCGTCCATCCTTCCTGCACAAACCACTTCATAGGCAATTCACTCCCATTCCCAGCATCATCATCACTAACTCTATCCCAATCAATCATCCGCAGAGCCTCCCCATGCTGATGCACGATGACCGTAAGTGTAAGGCTCGCCATCTCAGTCCAATGCTTGATTCCCAGCGCGCGGGGAATCAGAAGAAGCGAGTTCTTATCACTGGAATACATATGCGCACAGGCATACAAATTATCATATTCCCCAGCTTCTTCTCTCTGTCGAATCTGTGCCAAGCTCGCAGAAGCATTACCATCCGGTGATCCTATCATCCGATACTGCGTTAGCTGGCGATATCGCTCAGGATGCTGCTTGACCTCCTCGGCGTGGTTGTAACCAATCATATCAGTCTTGCGCACATCCAGACCGGGGAATTCGTGTTCAGCAATATTTCCCTGGCGAACATTCTCAATCCACCATTCCGCGTCCACACTGGGACTGGAAGACTGGTCTTCTGGTCGTTTTGCGGAGAGGATTGAATCGAAGCGCGTTTGTGCCGATGTTGGCTGGTGATGGAAGGGACGCTGCTTTTCATCTCTCTTGAAAGAGCATATACACGAGAAGCAGATCTTGCCTGCTTGCCGTGCGTCAACGGCTCGTGTGCTGTACATGAGTCCATCGCGGATGTGACGTACTGTGTACACGTATGGCACGTCCAGTCGTCCTCCTCGGATAAATGAGCCGGTCATATCCTGCGGTTCGTCAGTTTGGGCTTCCTTTTGGGGGTGCATTCCATATTAAGACTCACATGAATCACTAATCCTTGGCTGACGGTTTTGGACGCCGCATATGCTGATTGCGCATAGACATGTCCGCCGAATGAGCGTGTACCCCCGCCGGGGTTATAAGGTGTTGACAGGGAACGAAATCTCTCAATCCTTTCTGGTTTTGTTGCATCAGGATGCGTGATCACAATTTCCTCAAGTCGCTCCAAGGCCATCAAGCTAACGAATGAACGCGGGGACGTGGCTTCGTCCCCATCATTGTCCGGGGCCCCGCGTTGCGGAGACATATTGCAGAAGAAGGGAGCACGAACACGTTTTTGGTCTGAGATTTTGTCTATGTTTATTAATTAATCCCAACGAACCAAGTTCTGCAAGGCAGATTCTTGTTATGGAACAACGTGCTCAGGGGATCTGTTTCGCGGGCCGATGTGCCTTTCCGATCAATAATCCGGGCCCCCGAGTCGGATGGTGGCCCTCTGCAGCAATATGGTAGATAGAACAGCCCTTAAATTGGAGCTTTGCATAGAAAATCTGCTAATGCCAACCCAGTGGGATTGTGCTGTGTGAAGTTGATAAAATTATTAGGGATGTATGGAGATTGTACCCCGGACTAAGTGATGGGCCCGGCCGTTGCAAAATTACCTCGGCACGTTGACTTGACAGTCACGCGCGACTAAGGCCCTAGAATGGTGGGAATGTAGTGGACTTAGATCTATTTCAAAGTTCTTTGGATACCGTTCTTTTGATTGATTACAATATCTCCACCGTCTAGGGATGATCGGGTGCGCAATCCACATTTCGTTGTAAGACTTCGATGTCCCAGTCTTATGCATGGATTGGAAGTACATGTAGGTGACCAAAGGCTGCGACCTCAGCACACATTGACAGGAGGGATATAGAAAACGGGCTTGACGGTAGAATGGCAACAGTGATTTTGCTCCCCCTAGCCACACTCCTATATAGAAGATCGAGAAGTAAAGAAAATAGGAGACATAGTAACAGCCACAAAATAGACTTGTATATCAAACTGGTATTTTGTACATTTATGCGCCGATTGTGCTGATAGGCTCGAGTGGCAGTTCCCAATGCCGATGCCATAATAATACAAAGAACAAAAAGAAAAGTGCTGAAATCCAAATCCACGCTCCTAAACTTGATATCGATAATCGATTAGACCTTCATCGAGGCTATTGCGATGTCGATTTGATCTGCTCGGCAATGGTGGAAATGTTGTTCCACTCGACCTTGCCGTTGATATCCTTGATCTCCTCAAGCTTGTCGCCGAGTTTGACCACAGAGAAGTTGATCATACGGGGATCGAGACCAAGAGTGCGGCGGATAGATGACTGAACAGAGCCAGAGGAGTCGAAACGCATGATGAAGTGGTGACCATCAGTGTATCGGGCCTGGTGTTTCGTGGTGACCTTGGGCAGGCGGAAGGAACCCCAGTTGGTGTAGCCGCGGACGACGCCGCCGGAGCGGATGACCTGGGTACCGGCATTACGGGCGATTCTGAAGTAAAGATGTTTAGTATTCAATAGGGTCCGGAGATCGCAGCGATGATGTTTATTTAGACGTACTCTCGCACCTCGTTGAGGCTGCCCGGACGGACCTGTCAGCAAAAGGGTTAGCAAGTTCAGTCATATAATTTCAAGTGATTGGAACAATTCCAATGAGTCCAAAACGTACAATGGCAATCAGCTCGTACAACATGGCATCGAGGGGTGGCGCGCACTAGAGACAAAAATGGGGTCGATGAACATTGAAGCCAGCAAAATCCGACGAGGTTAGCGCGTTGCTTATCGGAGTCTTGGCATTTCGTTATCGGGGAAATGCCGTCAACGAGACTCCGCCGGGGAAGGGTGTCGTCTTCTTTCCCTTCTACTTAAACTCTCTCCTCTTCCCAATTCACCTCCCACACTTCTATTTTTCCCCTCCTATACCCCAAAATGTCTTCCGTCGCTCGCGCCATCCGCCCCTTTGCTTCCCGGGTGCTCACCCAGAAGCCTTTGGCTTCCGTCTGCCAGGCTACACCTGCTTTCCGTTTCCCGCGGGGAACACGAAGCTTCTCCCAGAGCCCTCTCTGTGAGTGCCCCGAACCCCCCAAATGCTCTTTCATGCCGTCCAGTACATTATACAAAGTGTTTGGACTGGCATTGAAGCACCATAATGCCTCAAACATGCTTCCCGGAGCTCTATGATGTCACATTTTACTGACTATACATCTATTCGCAATTCCAGCCCAGTTGAAGAAATACACCGAGTCGCACGAATGGATTGAGCTTGCTGAGGATGGAAAGACTGGTTAGTGCATTGTCGCCCCGATCAATTGATCCCATAGACCCGCCGTCGACTCATTGAACCGATGTGCCGGGTGTATATGGTGCTCTATGATACGGAATGAGTATAGTAGTGGGGTAGCTAACCCAGTCTCCAGCCAAGATCGGTATCACCGAGTACGCCGCCCATTCTCTGGGTGATGTCGTCTACGTCGAACTCCCTGAGGAAGACCTCGAGATCTCTGCCGGTGAGCCCGTCGGAGCTGTCGAGTCCGTCAAGTCTGCTTCCGATGTCCTCTCACCTGTCGCCGGCAAGGTCATCAAGGGTAACAGCATCCTCGAGGACAAGGCTAAGACTATTAACGAGAGCCCCGAGGGTGAGGGCTGGATTGCTGAGATCGAGGTTTCTGATGTTGCTGAGATCGATGCCCTGCTCGACAAGGCTGCCTACCAGCAGACCATTGATGCTTAGACGTAAATGTATAGATTGAGACTGAGTGGTTTATAACTGCCTACTTGTGCTTGAATATGGTGGTTTCCTTTTTCTTTGCCTGTGATGTTTTATTATCGAGTATGCCCAAAGGCGACCGATTTCCTTCAACGAAAGCGTTTAGACTCGTCGATCTATCCAAGGATCGACATACTGTTCAACAAGAATTCTGTATTGCAAATACTTTAATTTCTGTCTCTTTGTAGGAGCTCATCGTCAATATATCCATGTGGATATGTATTCAAAGATAGATCACACAGTCTTCAGGAATGGAGGGCTGTGTACAGGATAATGATGTCATATATGAAAATGATCGCAGAAGTCGCTATACAGGAGGGATGGAATCACGACAGATTGGACACTGAAGGCGAAGCCTCATCCAACTTTCCAGACAGGCCGTATGGAAGATATGCCGACAAGGAGTAACCATGTATAACCGGCGACTCAAAATGCTTGATGCTCCGTCGGCGACACTGCTGCCACCCGAGGCAGAGGGCGGCGGAAGGACGGGCACCTCGATATCTTGCATGCAAATAGCACAATCAAACAATGCCATCTTGCGGTCCTTCTGTTGCTTATCGTCATCCTTGGAGTCACTGACCAAGTCTCGTTCATCGCCCCGCAGGGACGCAATAGATAGATCGCCACCACCAGCTTCCAGATCCTCGTCCGTTCCGGACAAATCACGGAGTGTAGGATGGTAATCATATGCATGCGGTGCCCAGCCACGAGGTACAAAGAAGCGTGGGCCGAGAACATCCTGGCTGACTAGGATCCATGCCTGAATCCATACCCATCCAGTCATGATGGATGCGCTTGTGTAATCGGGGCGTATGAACAACACGTTTCCACGGGCAGTGAGAAAATATAAAAATGGAAATAGTCGAAGAATACTCTGACCAGCAACAAAGTCCCATCGAAGGGCCTTGCGGCAATTTCGCACTACGTTGCGGTAGATCTGTGGAGTCCAGAAGGAGAGATAAACTGCGGCCAACAACCGGGTGTAGATTGAACCCAGCCGTCTTGGCAGGAGGAAGGCCCAAACTGATAGAATGAACATGCCAAACAGCGCGAGATAGAATCGTGCATACATCGCTCCGACATCGCTGCGGATTTGCCTTGGAGTTGGAGGTGCGGTTCGGGTGGCTGGCGGCGGCTCATCCATCTCATCGTCGGGGGCATCTTGATCGGGTGACAAGATGATTGGGGTGGCTCCCGAGTCCCGTATTGCAGGAGTTGTGGCAGGCAAAGGCAAAGTTGCAGGGTGAGGAGTTGCTGTCGGTGGGTTTTGCGGACGATCTTGCTCGCGTCTTTCTGGTTCTTGCACTGCCCATATTTCCATCATAAACTTCATTCCAATATAACTCACTGACAGGAACGCCAAAAATGATGCAGTAGTCAAAACCAAGAATGAAACAGCTGCATATAGTTCCAACACAATGAATGTTAAAACGAACGCATCGCCGAGCGCCATCAATGCGATGGTATAGAAGCTGACTCTACTGCGTGTTGAAGGAGTCGAGGCCTCTTTGATCTGTCGCAGAAGCAAGGTAATTTGTGCAACAAAAACACCGGAAACCACGAAAATGAGACGGGCTGCGTATTTACTGTACTCTTCACGCTTAGGCCCAGTCACATATAACGAATCAGAAGGAGGGAAATCGGGAGTTCCTTTTGTTTTGAGTATGTATCCGCAGTCTGGAGAGAAGACAACAGCGGACATGACCATAAGAGGAGGATCTGGAATTGGCGCCCCCATGGGATATCTGAGCTCTTGCTCCATACGCTCCAGTAGCAATCGATCAGCAGCGGCATCTCCAATCATGACAGGATGCTGCTGCAAATAGATGATATGTTCGCATTTAGGCGCAGGGAACTCCATTTGCTCTGTTCCTGCCAGAGAGGACCAGGGGAACAACGAATGGGGGCCAGCCTGCTTCTCCGAAATGCTATCCGATAGCGACTTCAGAAGAAGCTCATGGGACAGTTCATACATGTCGGAAGATAGCATGAAATGCGGCAAAGAGAAAATTCCACCGAACTTCTCGCTAGAAGTACTTAGAACGATACTTCCGGTGTCTGGGAAGTGTACGCCAAACAACGAGAGATACCAAGTACTTCCCCAGAAATCGTCGCCCTCGACCGTCAAACTCGCTCGCATTTCTCTTGCAATGCCACCACCCACCTGGAGCTCTTGGCCGCCTCCCTCCTCGAGATCAAAGTAAAAAGTGCCGCCATTGCCGGTGATGTTGTGGCTAAACTCATGGGTAAAGTATTCATGCTCTTCGACAATGGCGGTCGTATTCAGTGGTTCACGGCGATTAGCCCCTTCGATTTGTCGAACCCAGTCTCCCCGGAGTTTTCCAGTTGTATTGCGGTATAAAGGAAGCAGGAGCTTGGTCAAGTTCAATGCGGGCGCAAGAGTGGAGTCTTCTAGACCATCCGGGGGTTCTAATCCCGCGTTTGAGACTGCTGATTGTAACTGGTGGCGAGCAAGGCTTTTGACCTGCGGGAAAAGGTCCCAAGCATAGCTATCATTACTTCTTAATCCCGAAAAAGGAAGCCATCGATTGGTGGGCGGATCGAAGTCGCCATATGTTGATCCATTTAACAGCCGAAGGACCTGTCGCTCATGGTCAAGCTGGCGCTGCCGTGCTCGATCCTGGTCGATCAACGGAGGTCGAGACTGTGAGCTAAGGAGAAGGTAGAACACCAACAAAAAGAAGAAAAAGGAACCGCGGTTATCCATCTATGCCACGGGGTCTCGGCATCGGACTCTTCCTCAAAGACAGACGGGGAGCATCGCGATAAAAAGAAACGGAAGACCTGGAGATGGCCAGAAAATTTGACTAAGTTACAGAGACACCAAATTAAAATGAACAAATGAATGACGAGCGCAGTATAGGTAGTTGTCTACTGGAGGCGGAGTTAATGATGTACTCGACCCCGGGGAGCCTGCCCGCCGGGCGCCGAGTCCTTGCTGACTCATGACGCCTCAGATGGGCCGATATCAACCTTGGAACCCTCTACTGTGCATTCCGGGATTTATACTCCGTAGAATTGAGGGGGATTTATGCAATCTGAAGGTTTGATTCCTAGCAGAATTTTGAAGAACGAACCAAAGAGATAAGAAATGCCAATACATCCGTGGCAACAATTGCCTACTAGATGCTAAGACCCGAATGCTGATATCAAACCGGTTGAATTTTAGTACAAATAGAAAAACGCACACCCCCAATGACCATTGCAATCATCATAGTTCTTTGCTTTATGATGCAGCAGCCAGGACACCACCCTCGGGCTTCTCGTCCCGCCGCCGACGCTTCTCGAGAATGGCCTCACGGCGCTGTGCAAGCATCTTCAATTGTCTGCTCTCAACACCCTGGAGCCAGTAGCCAAAGCTTCCACCAACACCGGCGAAAAGAGGGTAGACCCAAAGGGATTCTTTGGCGAGGATCGGACGCATCTCGATACCGAGTTGCCAGAGGCGGACGGCAATGCCTGTGGGTTGAATGTGGTTAGCTCCAATGGCCAAAAAAACAACGAGCTTAACAGTAGTTTCAAGCAGCATGATATTTTAGTGAATTGAGAGCCAAGGGGGAATATGGTCACGCACCGAAGCCGCTCCAGAAGAGCACCTTGTGAACCATGATCGCGGTCGGACGCGGGGTTGTGGTTGTGGATCGAGAACAGGAGGAGATCCGGAGAAAATAACAGAGGAGGTCGATAGGCTGATTGGGTAGATCAACACCACAGAGACCGGAATGAATGGAGGCGGAGTTGGATGTTGCCGTCGCAATAGTCCAGGAGAGACGAGGTTGAAGCAAATCAGCGGGCCGCAGTTCCCAATCACGGAACAATCATTTATCCGGCCATACATGTTATCGCTTATCGCTTGCGCGCGACTTTGAATCTCTCTCTTGTCCAGCCTCAGTCGTTTTGATATGGCTTCTAATGAGGCAATGGACGATCCTCAGGCCATGGAGGATGTCCAGCCTACGAACCAACGACCTATCAATATTGAGAGCGTGAAGTGCAAGAAGTTCAAGACCGATGACCTTCCCTTGACTGCCGCGCAACACGGAGTCATCGACAAACTCTTACATTCCTTCAAAAAGAAAGGTGGCTTTGATAGTGTTCGCAAACAGATATGGGCAGAATTTAACGATGGGGTATGACGGTCCAGAAATAGCGCCTGGGATATTATTTATATGTCATTCTGTGCATCGTTGCTAATTGTATCTGAACAGGAACCTCGAACCGATTTTACCAATCAATTGATTGCACTTGCGGAATCAGAGATCGATCGTGAACCAGCACTCCTCTCCCGCGAGAGGGGAAAAGCAGCGACGCTCATTGAGGGTGCTGTTGACCGCGGTGATGTCTACAAGAGCGTGGAAGACTCTATCGACCGACTGGCCTCTAAACACCTGGATTTCATCCTCGAATCTGTTCGTGAGATCCGGCGCCAGGATGTCGGAGAAGATGTGGCTGCGCGTGAACTTGCGCTAGGTAATAAAACCGATGCCGATTACGACGCCCACGTCAGCGCCCAGCGTGAGGAGCGGGAAAAGGTGTGGCGTGAAGAGGAGCGCAAACAAAGGGAGCTTGAAGAAGAGGAAAAGCGCGTCAGGGATGAGGAACGCAAGAAAAAACGTGAAATTGAGCGTCAGAAGGACGAGGAGGACCGGGCCCGAAGAAAGGAACTTGAAGAACAGAGACGGGCTGATCGTGAACGTCAACGTGAAGAACAACGGGCTCTTGACGATCTACGAGAACGGGAACGAGACGAAAGATATGAACGACGAAGGCGGGAAGATAGGGAGCGATATCGAGGCTGGGACCGCGACGGCAGTCGAACTCGAGACCGTTTCCGCGATCGCTCCCCAGCCTATCGCTCCGATCGTGGCTTGTCCCCTCGGCCTCGTGACTCGAAATATGAGAAGTCTTCCACTTCCAATGCTCCTACGCCTGTGCCAGCGCCTCCCGTGGACGAGAAGTCACTGGAGGAGGCTGCTTTACAAATGCTCTTGAAAGAAGGCGAAGAACTTGCAGCCAAGGCTCGACAGAAACCCGAGTTTGACTTTGAGGAGGCCGAGGCTATTGAGAATGGATTGAAACCGCCGGGGTCAACATCAGCGCCAGGCAGGAGCGCCAACGGTTCCAGATATTCGACTAGAGCGGGCAGCCCATCCCGAGATTCCGAGGCAAGACGTGGCTCACTTGCAGACCGGGGTGATCGGTCTCGAAATTTGACCCGGGATCGAAGCTGTAGTCGACCTCGCCGACGGCGCACATCTCGTCCTGACGCGGATCGTCGCCGTGAACGGTCCCGGGATACTTCTGTGAGGTCTTGGGACCGCGATATGGATGCGCGCCGTGGTTACCGCGACTTCCGGGATGACCGAGGAGGTGGAAGCTATCGACCAAACCGTCGCAGCCGCAGTCGATCCGTCATCCGGCGTGACCGGGACCGCAGTCACGTTAGAGACCGAGAGTATGACAATTATCGCCCTCGGCGCAGTCGGCCCTCCCGCTCGCCTGTACGCCGACGTTCGCGTAGCCGCTCGCGCTCACGAATCCGTCGTGACCGCCCTCGATCACGTTCTCGATCCACTCGGCGACGATCTAGGTCTCGGCGTCGCTCGCCTTCGCCCACTTTAGATATTGATCGCTACGTGCCCTCCACCAGCAACCGGAGCAAGTCACCCCGGCGTCGGATTCGATCTCCTGAAAGAGAGCGAGAGCAGCGACCCCGATTAGCCGACATAGACCGTTACAAGCCTCATTCTGATCGAGATAAGGATTCGACCCAAGCAAAAGAAGGAGAGCCTGAAGTTGGCACAGACAAGGAAAAGGAAAAAGAAAAAGAAAGCGAGAAGGACACAGATGATCGCCGACCCCGGCGACGTTCCCCTAGTCGTCGAAGAAGCCGCAGCCGACGAAGGAGTCGGAGTCGGCGAGGAAGTCCAAGTCGACGAAGTCGCAGTCGCAGCCGCAGAAGGAACCGGAGCCGATGATTTTTGCGGAAGTATTTTACCGTATATGAACGGTAAAAGGCCTAGGCAAGCTTATTCGATCTGCCCACAATTGTTTAATAACACCTCAATAATACCATGTATGATTAGAGAAATAATGACCAGTTGCGTCTAGAAATCAACATTGATATAGATCACATGCTTCGATAAACCGATAAGCTTATCCGCTATCAGTTTCTCCACCCAAAAAAGTTGAAACTGCCCGGCCTGAAATCAGACTCAGTAACTTCCACTCTCCCAAGACGCAGACAAAATCCTGGACTATCAAATCCTGGAATACAATTTTCTCGTCCAGAATTCATCATAAATTCTTTCAAAAACTCGTTCTATCACGAGATACCCCTTGGCGCATCATAATTTTCTGTGACACCCAGCAAACCACACACCTCGAACACTGAAGATATGCCAAAAGCAACGACATCGGCAGAGGCTGCTGCGAGCAATCCCCCTCCCCAAACTATGAACCTCACAGACCGGACTGCGCCTCGCCAGCTGCGCGCTCATTCCGCCCAATTGTCCGACTCCGACCCAACCTCTTCCTCGGGCTCATCCTCAGAGGATGATAGCGAGAGCGAAGACGAAGAGCACTCTGACCATGCAATGAACGGCACCGGTACCTCAAACACACGTACAAATGCCACCGATTCCTCCTCATTACCTCACATCGCTGGTCGCCCCAAACCACGCATACATCGCTTGAAAGGCGACTCGGGACTTTTGTCTCGCCTCAACGCCTTCTTACCGCAGATGAAAGTTGCCAATGAGGATTTGGAACGGCAGATTGCGGCCGGGAAAGCTGGAGATTTGATTCTCGATAATGCGGATGAAAGTGGGGAGCAGTATATTGAAATGGTATGGTTTATTGGTCTTGTCTTTGGTGATCTAAATGGGGTTTGCTAACGGATGTTAGGATCTTGGCCTTGGGGTCCTGGAAGAGAAACGGGATGGGGAGTCCTCGAGTGAAGATGAGAGCGAGGTTGAAGGGCCTAATGGTACCAATGATGCTGGAAAGAAGTCTCAAGATATGAATGACTCGGATATCATTGGGAAACTCATGGGAGGCAAGGGCAAGAAATCAACTACGGACAAGCCCTCTATTGAGGAGATGGCCGAGTAGGCTCTTACCCGGTCTTGTGGTTGCTCGCATTCTATATGGCATTTGATTGAGATATTTGGTTTTGATTCAATCATGGCGATTTTCTGGTTTGACATTTACTTGCATATCGTGGGCTCCGTGTTATCATTTAGCGTCTAATCATTTTTGCCTTTCCCACTTATGGAAATGGCACCAAATCAATTGCATGCATGTATAACATCCGTATATTCCTATGCCTTATGCAACTCGTCAGAAACCAAATCTAGGTAAACGACAAAAAGAAAATGTAAAACAAAACACGGACAAATCGTGAACCTCTATACATGCATGAACCCATCATACACTATGACCGAATGACATTATTAAAAATTGATAATTTTGCGTTTTGCCGTCTTCACATTCAAACAACTTCCTTGATGCGGCAGGTCCAGCCAGATTCCTGGCTCAAGAGAGGCAAGCTGCAATACGTCAGTATATTGATTCGACAAAAGAAAAACTAGAGAGGACTGAACTAACCTTGCACCAAGACACCAGCCCAGCTCGTTGTTCTTGATCTTCTTAGCGATCTTCACCTCTCGGGACAGAGGCATTTCGTAACCAGTGTGTAGCAGACCCATCATGAAGCTAAGGTCCATACACCATTCGGGACGGCCACGAAGCTCTGCGAGTGCATTCCCAACATTTTCAAAGGAACCCCATTCGCTCTCACCGGCACAGACAGTGGAGGTCAGCTGTTGAAGCTCTTCCAAAGTGAAAGACTCGGGCATGCCAAGAGGAGCAGTGCGATCGAAGAAGTAGGAGAAAATGTACACGTCTTCCCGAGAGAAGGTTTTTGCGAGAGACGGCTGATGAATACCATTGAAAGAACAGGGTGCAAGCTTGCAATCTTCGTTCTTCTTCAGGATCTTCTCGGCGAGAGCACGGCACTGAGGGGCCATTGATTTGTCCTTCGGGCCGACCATAACGAATTTGATAGGACCTGGTCCCAGGGGATGATTGGCGGGGAATTCAAGTTTAACTTCAGTCTGCATTCCAGGACCAATGCAGGGGTTAGAGATGGGCTGCCCGACCCAGGATAAGTCCTGAGGGCTGTGAGCTAGCTTCGCCTCCACGACAATGTGATGCATGGCTTTGCGGGCAGACATAAGACCATATCCAAGATGAGAGTGCTGGTACAGCTCAAAGTCGCGGCCACCGAAGTTAAGTTCGTACTTGTGGTCACCAGCGGCAAGGTGCTCCGGCATACCACCAGCCTTGCTCTGCTCAAAAGTAGGCTGGAAGACAATCTGAGTGGAACCACCACCCAAGTCAAAGATGGCGGCCGTAGGAGTCTCATCGGGTCCACCGATCTTGCCCAACAAGTAGTTGGTCGTGATCCAGGCATAGACACCTTCGTCCGAACCGTCCATAATTTGGACGCCACCCTTCTCCTTGGAGACAACGGGGAAGGGGTAGGAGGTCTCTAAGCGGTGTCTAACAGCTTCCAAAATCTTGTCACTTATTTCAGGACCTAGAAAACGAAGTCCAGCTGTGGCTTTGACGGCAACTGGAGAGCACGACCTGTACTCCTCTGGAACCGATTTCAAGGCAACTTCCATAAGAGGGTCCAGACTCCGGGCTGCACCCTCAGCATCCTCCCGATAAGAACTGAGACCGGATCCTGGATCACTCTTTATCTCGGTTTGTTCGAATACTTCGTTCTCGAGTTCTGGGGTAGAGCCGCAATTGTTGAAACGGTACACATGAATCCGAGACCCGGTGCTGCCGGCATCGATCATGAGGACATACTGGATGAGAGGCTTGGAGGAATCAAATGGCTTGGTACATTTCGCGGAACCTGATGCGCCACTGCTTGAAGGTGGTTGCTCTGCTAGATGATCAGTTCTGCAAAGTCGCAGTGCGCATAAGGGAGGACAAACGATTGATACCACTTGGGACACTCGGCTTAGAAGGGGAAAGCCACATCAAGACCATAAAAATGAAGGCAATGATTGCGCCCGTCTTCAAGTATCGGGATCGTTGTGTTTGTGCCATGTTGACAGGTTGTTTGTTCGAGACTTGACTCGACTCGACCGGCCGTGAAATAACAGATTCGTCAACACGTGAAATAGAACGATGGCGAGGAATTGAAGCTAGATCGTCGAGTTTGCTATTTTCGTTTTGATCGGCCACTCCAGTCGACATCCGAGCAGTAGTCGAATTGGAAGGTTCAGTGACAGGTGGCGTTTGTCGCTGGCGCAAGGATGATTGAACGATCGTCCGGGTTTAAGAGGAAGAGGATAACAAGTAAGGTAAGTGAACAACCATTGATCCTGGATTTCCCCGGCAAAAAAAACACCAAGCCAATCCAGAGGAGAAAAAAGTGGATAGGAGTAAAGAGATAAAATTGACAGGAGAGAAAGGAGTTTCTGGGTTTCAGGGTTGTGGCGCAGATGTGGCGTTCTGAATGCAGCAGTACAACATAGTACGGAGTACATACTCCGTACAGATGCCAATACACATACCTATATGTAGGTTAGGTAGCTACCTATATACCTATCCATTTCTATATACTCCGTACAGATGATGATAATTTGCAAAGCCACAACAACTAAAGATGTTAGGATAGGTTTTGATAAATGACACCTGTCCATTTACTCGGTGTAAGATATTCTTGGGAACCCCGAGGAGTTGAGTCCAGACAAAGCGCCATAAAGGAAATTTTTTTCGCCTCTTGTCGTTTGGGTATTCCCATCCAGTCAACGACGATAACTAGGTAGTCAAGGATAGCTTAAACACAAAAAACAGGAGAACAATATTAAAATGGACCATAAATAGCATACATTGTGCTTTTGTACGGATCATTTATTGCCACTATGACCCGACTTCGATCATGTCACCGCTTAAACCTCCAAGCCAGATGCATGATATCCTCGCTGTATACCTTGTAGCCAGACTATACTGATTGTTACTCTATGTATAGATATAGATGCAGTTGACTTACCAATTGCTATTCTTCGCTCAATCTAAGGTTACATGTAGAGATGGAATACCAGGTTCTCTGTTTGTCGGGTTTGCATCGAATCCCGTTTCAGGTGACTTCCCCATATTTAGCCGCGCATCGACTGCTCAGTTTGAAACCCGCTGCATTCTATCATTCCTAAGCACATACATAACCGCTATTTCTTGCTCTTTTTTGCCCCCTCCATAGAGGAGCATCAATCCCAGCAATCTTGCGTTGGATTTTCTTGTACTAGCCAACAACATGAACCACACACGAGGTCTTGTATCATCTGCCCAAGCTCTACGCCATATCTTCATCGCACCCATCCACACCTCCAGAGTCGGCATTCTTCGGGTCAACCCTCTTCAAAATGGCAATCAAGCTCGCTTTTTTCAACAATCCCGCCGTCTAGAGTTGCGAGAATACCGGCCACCTGTGGACTCACCTCCGATCAACGGAGCTATCCGTGCATCATTTGTTCAAGTTGTGAACGATGAAGGCAACCTAGATCCTCCGACCAGATTAGAGGATGTTCTTGAATCTTTCGACCAAGACAAGTTTTTCCTTCTGCAGGTGCAGGAAGGGGACCATAACAACCCGCCGGTCTGCAAGGTCTACAACAAGAAAGAGGTCAGGGCACATGAGAAAGCCAAAGCAAAGTCAGCTCGCTCGTCCAAAGTTGCGCTCAAACAAATTGAGTTGAACTGGGCAATTGATGCCCATGACCTGTCACACCGCCTAAAACAGCTCTCGACCTTTCTGGAGAAAGGCCGGAGGGTGGAAGTTCTGTTGACCACCAAGAAGCGCAAGCGCAGTCCCACGGTGGATGAGATCAAACAAGTTATGCAGAGTGTTTTGGACACCATCAGAGAGGCTGGTGGAACTCAGACCAAGGCAATGGAGGGAGAACCAGGGAAGCAACTTAAGATCACTGCCCAGAAATCTTGAAATTTGCTAACGGAAAATACTGGGCACATGTATATGATGAACCTTGGACTGCGCACCATGGCTTCCGTTATATAGATCTGTTTGTTATTACTTCGAAGGTTCTATTTCATCGATTACAAGCCGTTACAAGTGATTTCACCATGCCTTCATCTGAAAAGCTTTATCAGCCTCCTGGGTGGAGAAATCTAATATCAAATTTCCCTAAGCGCCATATATCACTATAAAGGTTTAACCATGTGTCATGTTCCATATCTCACGATGTTACGATGTATCCATTTGCCCAGGTTGAACCTCCGCAATTCGAGGCCCGTGATTGGCTGATGACTAAGCCTGTTTGAGGACGGGTCAGCCCCGGAAGGCATGTTAGTAAAAAATTTGGTGTTGATCTGGGCTTCTCCTCTCTCATCCTTACTACACTTTTTTAATCTTTCTTTTTTGTTCTCGTTCCATCGTTTTTGTTTCGATTGAACCAAGATGTCGAGCATCTCTCGTTCATTGAACCTCCTGGCGCGCACCAGCCGGTCATCCCTGCTGCGTCCGACTACCGTCAACCCCGTTCACCATGTCTTCAGCAACAAGGTGACCGGCCGTGGATTGGCCACTGCTTTCGAGCGTACCAAGCCCCATGTTAACATTGGTAAGGCTTCATCACTCATATATCATCAATTCCAATACTAAAAGTGTTCCTTCAGGTACCATTGGTCACGTCGATCACGGCAAGGTAAGCTGCTCGCGACTTCTTCCGACATCTCCGCCATCCGAACACCGATTCTAATCCACGCTATAGACCACCCTGACCGCCGCTATCACCAAGAACCAAGCCTCCAAGGGTCTTGCCAACTTCCTCGACTATGCCTCCATTGATAAAGCCCCTGAGGAGCGCAAGCGTGGTATTACCATCTCGACCGCCCACATTGAGTTCTCGACTGAGGACCGTCACTACGCTCACGTTGACTGCCCCGGTCACGCCGATTACATTAAGAACATGATTACTGGTGCTGCCAACATGGATGGTGCCATTGTTGTCGTTGCTGCCTCCGACGGTCAGATGTACGTGTCACAGTCTGGACAATCGGTTCGAACAGTCTGCTAACGCAAGTTGCACAATAGGCCCCAGACCCGTGAGCACTTGCTGCTTGCTCGTCAGGTCGGTGTTCAGAAGATCGTTGTGTTCGTCAACAAGGTCGACGCTGTTGAGGACCCTGAGATGCTTGAGCTCGTCGAGCTCGAGATGCGTGAGCTGCTTTCCTCCTACGGATTCGAGGGCGAGGAGACTCCTATCGTTTTCGGCTCTGCCCTCTGCGCCCTGGAGGACCGCCGCCCCGACATTGGTACTGAGCAGATTGATAAGCTTATGAAGGCTGTCGACACCTGGATCCCCACCCCCGAGCGTGATATGGACAAGCCTTTCCTTATGTCCGTTGAGGAGGTCTTCTCCATTCCTGGCCGTGGTACTGTCGTATCTGGACGTGTCGAGCGTGGTCTCCTGAAGAAGGATACCGAGGTTGAGATTGTTGGTGCCACCGACTCTGGCAACCCCATCAAGACCAAGGTCACCGACATTGAGACTTTCAAGAAGTCCTGTGACGAGTCCCGTGCTGGTGACAACTCCGGTCTCCTGCTCCGTGGTATTCGCCGCGAGGATGTCCGCCGTGGCATGGTCGTCGCTGCCCCTAACAGCACCAAGGCTAACAACAAGTTCCTTGTGTCCATGTACGTTTTGACTGAGGCTGAGGGTGGTCGCCGTACTGGCTTCGGCGCCAACTACCGCCCCCAGGTCTACATTCGCACTGCCGGTAAGTTCAATATTCACCGATCTAATCTCATTTCAACTCGATATATGGGATGCTAACTATGTTCTAGATGAGGCTGGCGATCTTAGCTTCCCCGATGGCGATCTCAACAAGCGTGTCCAGCCCGGTGACAACGTCGAGATGATCCTCAAGACCCACCACCCCGTTGCTGCTGAGCCCGGCCAGCGCTTCAACATTCGTGAGGGTGGCCGCACCGTCGCCACTGGTCTGATCACTCGTGTCGTCGAGTAAATCGACCGCTCACACCCATGATTCGACAGGTAGACCTGTCTGATCCTTGTATTATGAACCCCCTTTTCCTTTTACATCTTGTTTGTTTTGGCAATTTATATTCCACAGCGCGGGAACCATCGATCGGCACGAGGAATCCGGGGGTAAACCGGAGTTTTCGATTGAAACTTATCCATGTACCTCTACTATCTCGATGTAGTCGGATTTCCTTTTTTTTTCCCACTCCCGTGAAAATGTATTCAGACCAATTCCTTTGAGTTACCATATAATCCAAGTCTAGATTCGAATTGAGGTACATGTTAATGACGACAGTGGGGAAAAGGCGTCTAGCAGTAAGGGCAATGAAGTCTAGATGATTTGGCCCATCTCCGGCGTGCCTATGGAGTAGGTAACTCCGGTCACTATGAGACAGATCATCAGATAACGCACATCTCCATATCTTTGCTGTTTGGTAATCGTTCGAGCTCTAGGTACTAGCACAACCGTCGAAGATGTCCTCATCTGCTTCGCGATTGGTGCAGGAATCCCCTTGGATATGATGGCCGTATCCGATCGGCTCCGTCGGCAATCGGGAACCATTGCGTAAAATCAAGTCCTCATTGTGTTCAACACATGTAAATCTGTCAATGCAGATGTTGTTTTTACGGAGTTGGCACGTCTAAACCTCGATACGCTGTATGGAGATTCAAGGCACACTGCCGCGTGGTCTGCGCCAACCTCACCGGCTTTGGTATTAGAATCGATGAACCTCGGGAAGTCTATGCATTTGTATTTATCTGGAATCAGCCGATTCTTGACGCGCCTTTAATACGGAGTACCTACGTCGCTACCCCACTGTACCATGTAACGATACGACTTCACCATTTCTGTCTTCATAGAGACACTCTTATCGGAGCTGGCCAAGGGTGACCAACTTCTGTACTTCAAAGCTTATACCCTATGGACTGTATGTCTCGAGACTTTCTAGCTCACTGACACTGAGCATATTCTCCAGGATATCAGAATTGTACCGTACAGAGCAGGCATAGTGTTAGGGTAGGCCCTGCCAACTGTCAACTCCAGTGCATAGAATGGAGGGATTCACTTTGACCATCTCCCCCATACGTATAGCCCGACTCATCCATGTCCGGGGTAGTGGGGCATATAATTACCGTATGTACAGTATCACGGATCTCTCCTCTCCGGTGCAGGGTTGTAGAGAGCAGACATAGTGTTCATTCGGATTCCTACTATACGTCTTGCTCATAACTCAGGCAAGAGCAAACTGATATATTATCAAAGTTCGCTGGGGCAGTCTGCCTCCATGCTAAGGTGACAGTTAATTCTCCGCAAAGCATTCCGGAGAAATGGTCACTCGTAAACAAAGCACGCTATCAGATAAATTAAAAATGGCCCCCATACGAGTTCCGGATAAATGGAGACCAAGGGCTAGTATATAAGGGAAGTGCTGTGACAGATTGTAGAGTCCGATTTCTTGGGGAATTTTCTTTCCTTCTCAGATTGCGAGGACACTCTACATCGCATATAAATTCTATAGCATTATGAAGAGTCGAGACGACATTGGTCTTGTGACCGGCGCTGGAGGCGCTGGGACAGTCGCTGCGACTCCCTTGCAAAATGATGCTGCAACCACATATTTCTTTACATTGTAAGACACAAAGTTGGTCATCTATGGTTTGGATCCCGAGAAGCTAAACAGCTTGTACAGCGGAGATTCCTACACTCAAACCGAATTCTCTATCGATGGCACACAGCCATCTGCTGAAAATCCAATAGGAAACCCGACATTAGGTGAGTCATATGAACCCAAGCCTAGAGAGTTCTATCCTTCCAATTTTGATTCAGACTTGAGATGCTCATTCTTACCTTTAGGGACCGGTACAACGAGTGGTGGCACCAACTATGTCGGATACCTTACCACTTTATACAACACCTCACCTGTACTCAGCTATAACTTTGCCGTTGGAGGGGCGACAATCGACAATAGAATTGTCGATACCAAGGTCAAGGATGTGACAACCCAAGTCGGAGAGTTCGAGTTGGCATATGGCAAGAGGCCTGCATCTACACCGTGGACTTCGGAAAACGCCGTGTTCGGATTCTGGATTGGCATTAATGAGTATCGTATCCCAAGACCCCTTGCTAAAATATATACTAATGAGTTGGATTTGTAGTATCGGCTGGGGTTACTCTGGCACACAGCCTGGTGTCTTGGTTCCGACATTGATGGCTCAGTACAAGTTCCTCATTGAAAGACTATATGCAGCTGGTGGACGGAAATTCCTTTTCCTCAATGTCCCACCTACAAATCGCACTCCCATGATCATCAAAGAGGGACCGGATGCAGTCAAGACCTATACCACATGGGTAAAGGCCTATAACGACGGTCTTGAATCAATGATCGATGACTTCGAGTCAACCCACACTGGAGTATGTTCATTTCCATCCATTCATTTTCTGAGCAAAGTTGACCTTCTTGCAGACTACTATCGTTCGCTACGATACTTGGTCCTTTATGCCGAAGATCCTGGACGACCCTCAGGCATATGGATTCCCAAATGCCACTTGCTACAATGAGAATGGCACCTCCTGCATTTGGTGGAATCACTACCACCCCGGTCAGAACTACCATAAATTACAGGCAGCAGATATGAAACAGTATTTGCAACCCCTTGGTGCCTGGTAGGGTCTGGAAGGGTTCATGGAGATATCAGAATGTGTGATGAATGCGAGGATAGCACATTGAAACCAGAGCTGGGGGCTATGTTTCTATGAAATTTAGTTAATTCAATCACTGTAATAGATCTGGATGGGAAGGTTATTGAAAAATATCGCATAGAATCAATAGCATTCGCTCGGGCCTATACTACCTAGTACGGGCTAAAAGCGTAATCAATCAACAAGAATAGGTCGACATTATGTATGAGTAAGGTTCACAGCGCTGCTTCTTGATGGTGTATTTCCTTGCACAGTGAAGCTCTTTCATGTTTATATTGCGATTGTCGACAATGGAAATGGTTGACAGACTCAAACGGGGAGGTGGTTACGTCTGATTGGCTCGGACGAAGTTTTGACCGCACCACTTCGGACGAACTTGACGGACGAGCAGCTGGGCATCTATGAGACGACTCCCGACTCCGTAGCTACTCCGTAGCTACTCCGGACTTACACATAAGCGACTCTGGAAGGTTCTATTTTCCAAAGGTTTTTCCCTAGGCTTACGTAGGATTGCAGCTGCCTTGAGCGGTTGCTTCCTGTCCCACTCCGCAAAGTCATCTTCACTAAAGCACAATGGAGAATAGCCTACAGGAAGCAGTCATGTCCTGACCAGCTTCTTTAGCAACACAACATCAATATCAACAAACGGTTCTGCTATCTTCACTTTACGAAGTAAAATGAATTCCTGGTTAGATTCAGACGAGCCGGCGCGGAAGAGGATGAGGAAAGGGACCAGGAGTTGCGCAGAGTGTATGAGTTGACAGAACGCCATTGGCCATGATTGCGCTAATGGGGCTTGATCATAGGTCGGCGACGCAAGATAAGATGCACATTTCATCCAGATCGCCCCGGAGCATGCACTGAGTGTCGGTCAAGAGGCATGAAATGTGTTGATCAAGAACATACACTTACTCCCCCTCCGTTATCTAGCAATCGACGGGGCAACCAGCGGAGCATTCAACTCGGGGAGCAGCCATACAGTCTCCGCGAACGGGTCGCTCACCTGGAGAATATTGTTGAGGGACTTGTCAAACGACTAGATCAAAGAGACAACACTACACCACCGTATGAGCGACATGAGATCAATCAATGTTGGTATTTCTCGGAAAGGTATGGACTGATGTTGCATAGCTAACATTGACTAGTCGGCGCAAGCCCACTCATCAATGAACCAGACGAATTAGGTCCATCCAGTGACCAGATTCGGAATGCCCCAGTCTTACAGTTGTTTGACAATTATCTTGTCAGTCGCCAAGAGGACTCGTCAAACAATGATAGATTCGCTGGTGTCAAGGACATGTCGCCCAAGGCAGAAGCGGTGCGCACAGAACTTATGGCTCTCATGCCTCCCATAGATGATATGAACAAGATCATCAATGCATCCAATCATTGCTTCGTGTGGCAAGATCATTTCCCGGATCTGTTCGATCGACATGACAGCAAAATCATCATTGGTGAACGTTGCAGCGACGCTTTGGTGGCTCCCGCCGAAATTGCTAAGGCACTCTTGTGTCTGTGTATTAGTGCGATTCATGCTACATCTGATTTTGACTTTGATGCTTTGATTAAACCGCTGGAGCCTCGAAAGTTCCATGATCAATGTATTGATACCGTGGACCGTTTGATTGTCCGTGACGACGACTTCGCGGCTACCTTGCCCGGTATAGAATGCCAGATGTTATTACAGAAGATTCATTTGGCTGAGGGCCGACTCCGTAAAGGTTGGCTGGTGACCCGTCGGGCAATTGAGTTCGCCCATTTGGCTGGTATGCACCTGTCCACCAAGGTTCCCAGGCCAAATGACTCGCTCTATGAGCGGCGTCTGAAGATTTGGTGTTCTCTGGCAACCTCGGATCGTTTACTGAGCTTGATCCTTGGTCTGCCTTATGGTATCGCCGATGCATTCTTTTCGCCACAGATGGAGCAGCGCCTCAATTCGGATCTGTCAGCCCCCGAGGAATACTTACTGCGCATTGGCATCATTTCAGGACACATGGTGGACCGAAACCACGACCCATCCAAGATGACACTCGCAGCAACTTTACAACTAGACCAAGAGCTGCAGGATGCCTGGAAACATATGCCAAATCACTTCCAAGCCGCAGAACCGTGTCAAGATGAAAAATGGGAGCACTACATAGAGAGGGTCCCGCTGCAGTTCATGCTTAAGCTACTTCGTGCTTTCCTTCATCTCCCCTCGATGCTACAGTCCCTCCACGATCCTCAATTTCGTCCCTGTCATAGGATTGCGCTCGAGTCTGCAAGAGAAGGCCTTGTGCTATACAGGGTTCTCCGGTCCACTACTAAACCCTATTTGTGTAAAATGATCGACTTTATGGCATTTACGCTATGTCTTCTCTTAATAACCCATTTGCAAGGCTTTTCCGATGAGACACCAGATTACAGCAAAGAGCAAGATGAGCAAGACTGGGGTTTGGTAAAGAAGGTCGTTGAGACACTCCGTCAGTCGGCAACAGAGCTTGGAGGCTCGGTTGCTGCAGAGTCCGCAAACATTCTCGGTGCAATCTCCGACTCCAAAGACTCCAAAGAGGAATGGAACTGTGCCACAAGTTGCAAAATTACAGTGCCATACTTCGGGACAATTACAGTCGGTGCCGGCACCAAGTTCTCCAAGGGTTCTTCCAAAAACAAAGAGCAAACTTCCACAGTATTGGAAACGCCGGAGACAGAAGCCTCTTGCTCGGCTCAATATCCTGGTCAACTCTATACGCCGCCCATGTCTGACCCCGAAAGTGCATCAACTACGAACTCTAATGCTTTGAATGGTAGCCACACAACATCCACCATGGGGCCCGGTTATCCAGATGAATCGTGGCTTCCGAGGAACGAGACAGCGCCTAGCTCACTGGTTGGGTTAGAGGTAAATGCGTTCAGTGGATTGTTTGATGACTTCGGCCAGTATATGTGGCCGACCCCCGTTGTGGACCTTGGACTGGATCAGGGCTGGAATCTGAACTGGTTCGATGGTGTTCCACCATCATGAATCTTGATACCTTTTTGTTTTAGAAGTAAGGGATTCGGGATATACTGTACATTAAATGAGTGCGTCAATTTGATCTCCTATCTCTTTATTGGCTTTAGGCGCTTCCCTTTGCCTTTCTTGGCCTTTTCACTCGTCTCGTGTTGCCCCATCGCTTTACTCTTCCTCTATGGAGTTTTAGAGTGCCTTCTCCGAAGTATACTTTGCTTATATATAGTGGACAGGCTCAGCTCCACTAGATGACTATTGAGAGGACTCGTGATCTATCGCTTACTGTTTTCTTTGTTGTCATTAAAGGACTATGTCTTTCATCTGATCGCCGGATTATGGACACATTGAATTTGCCAGACAGGGGAAAATGATTAGAGAATAGCGTTATTTTCCTAAGAGGTCAATAACAGGCTTCAGAGCGTGATCTTTGTTGGATGCCCATTTCAAGATGAGTTGTAGAAAACAAAAACAGCTCCCAGGTCCAGAGTGGTCTACGGGTCCAGAAAGTGACGTTGCCGTGGCTAAGGGGTTTATGTAAGACTTCCCCGACACGGGACCTCTGACCATCTTAATGAACCCGTGAAACGCCCGTGTGATCCCTGAATCTTCCAATATCCTCTTCGATTAATCTGTTGTGTTTCCCGTTCTTTGCATGGTTCATTAGACTCTTCCCCATCTCTGCTCTTTCAGTTGCGCTCTTGTCTCGACTCTTTCCCCCCACATACACAGAGCACAAACAGCATAAACATGGCCGAACGACGCCCCTCGGGGTTGGAAAGGAGTCCAACTGCGCCATCAATCTTGTCGAATGGCCACTTTGCTTCGGTCGGTGCCGAGAGTGATACTGCCTCCTACGAGCACGGCGTGCAGGTGATCGATGAGAATAAGGAGTTCAAGTACGACCAGCTTCCTTTACCCCCGGATGCTCTCACATGCGCTTGGCTATTGTCGCCCTGACTATGAGTTTTGAACGCTAATCGCATCGTTATAGTCCCAACCTGTCCAAGTATTTGACTCTGGAAAATGTCACGCCATCTGGTTTCAACTATCATCTCATCTCCGTGTTCGGTTCGCAATCCACCGGAAAGTCCACACTGCTCAACCACTTGTTCGGCACCAAGTTCTCCGTCATGTCGGAGTTAGAGAGACGACAAACGACCAAGGGTATATGGCTGTCGAACAACAAGAAGCAGGGCGAGGTTGGCGCAACAGAGCGCATGGCGGATAACATCTTGGTCATGGACGTGGAGGGAACCGATGGTCGTGAGAGAGGTGAGGATCAGGACTTTGAGCGCAAGAGCGCACTGTTTGCGATTGCGACAAGTGAGGTCCTCATTGTCAACATCTGGGAACACCAGGTTGGGTTGTACCAGGGAGCCAACATGGGATTGTTGAAGACCGTGTTTGAGGTTAACCTACAACTGTTCCTAAAGGATAGACAGTATGTATCCTGTAATCTTCCCCTGAACTATGCGCCTCGATCTAACGTTAATGTCTCTACAGTACTACCCACCGCTCTCTCCTATTTTTCGTCATCCGCGATTTTATCGGCACCACACCACTCAAAAACCTGCAGAGGACATTATTGGAAGATCTTTCCCGTATGTGGGACACGCTCTCAAAACCAGCTGGCTTAGAAAAGTCGACGATTCATGACTACTTTGATTTCCAATTCTTTGGCCTTCCACACAAGGGTTATCAGCCTGATCAGTTTGTGACGGAAGCTAAGAAGCTTGGTCTTCGTTTCCGCGAAGGCCATCGCGACCCGAAGAGAGATGCACTCAGGGGTGAATTCTCGGAAGGAGGTGTCTTCTTGCCTGAGTACCATCGCCGCATCCCGGCGGACGGATTCGCTCACTATGCGGAGGGAATTTGGGATCAAATTGTCAACAATAAAGACTTGGACTTGCCTACACAGCAAGAGCTGCTTGCGCAATTCCGTTGCGACGAAATTATGCGCGAAGTGATGATTGGGTTCGACGAGGCGATAGTCGCATTTGAAGATAAGCAGGCCGAGGCAGTGCGTCTTGGTGAACCCGAGGTTCTTGGGGGACTAGGTGCTGCCATGCGTACTGCACGCATCAAGACCCTGAAAAACTTTGAGACGGAAGCCAGCCGATATCACAAAGGTGTTTACCAACGGAAAAACGCCGAGCTCCAGGGCAAGGTGGACACTCGTCTCAAGGCACTGTTCCACGGGCAGCTTTCGGCAGCCCACAAGTCAGGGATCCGCGACTTCACTGATTCGGTCAGTGGCGCTGTGAAAGATGGCCAGAAGAAGGGCGGTAGCTACGATTTTGCCGAAATCGTTTCCAAGGAAGCCCAGTCTTCCCTGGAGAAGTTCGAGGAGGTTGCTCGCTCGACACTGGTGGAAGGAGCCTCTTGGAGCAATTACAAGCAAGAGCTTAATTTGTATCAGAAAGAGTTGGCTGAGGTCAGTTCCCGACTGCGCCGCGATGAAATGAGACGTTTGGCTACCCGCGTTGAGCGTTGGGTCCAGTCTCGTCTGGGTGAATCAATCGGTCTCGAGTTCAATGCTCTCGGGTCGGGAAGAGCTGGTGGGGCTGCTCCTGAGAACGGAGATAAGCCTACCGAGAAGGACTTCTGGGATCGGATTTGGAACTTGTTTGAAGAGACTGTTCTTGATGCTGAACGGAGATTCACAGACCGGGCGAGTAGCTTCGATGCTAGCATTGATGAGGTCGATGTTGGTCTTTGGCGCCTGCGCCGTAAGTCTTGGGGCGTGCTTCGCGCAAAGATCGACGAGGAGATGATCGAGGGCAACCTGCTTCTTAAACTCCGGGAAAATTTCGAGGACAAGTTCCGCTACGATGAGGCCGGTGTACCACGCATCTGGCGCCCAACTGACGACATCGAGGGTATTTACACCCGTGCTCGCGAGTCTACTCTGACAGTGATTCCTCTTTTGTCTCGATTCCGCCTAGACCGGACTACTGCACCACCCCCACTTGACCGGTGGATCGGACACACTCCCAGCACTGCAACATCTGCAGACGAGGAAGATTTAGCGCCCATCGGGGGTGTGGATGAGCATGAGGGCAAGAGTTTGGAAGAGGAGATGACAATTCTTAGCGATTCAAAGCGCCAAGAGCTCACCGTGCGATTCAAGAAGGCCGCAGACGGTGTTTATGTCGAAGCCAAGCGCAGTGCCATTGGCGGTATGACACAGGTTCCCTTGTATTTCTACGGATTGTTGCTGGCCCTGGGCTGGAACGAAATCTGGGCTGGTAAGTTTTCCCTATCGTGGAACATGCATTTTGGTATCTATACTGACAACCCAACCCTCCAGTCTTGCGTAACCCAGCTTACTTTATTCTGTTATTTGTGTGTGCCGTTGGCGCGTATATTACCTATCAGCTCAACCTGTGGGGTCCTATGTTGAAGATGACCGAGGCTGCCTCTCAGCAAGCTCTGGAAGAAGGTAAGCGCCGCTTGCGCGATTTCCTCGAATCATCCGACACTGGTCGTCAGGCGATTGCTATGTCGGCTGGTGAGCGGTCTGGGTCGAGCCGAACGGAAGAGTACGAGATGTCGGATATGCGGAAGGGTGGCTCAAATGCCAATGAGGAGCTGGATGACATGTAAATTTTTTGTTGCTGTGCTCTCCTGGCGATCACCCTGTACTTTACTTTCCTTTGTTCTTATATGCATACTATGCTAGCTTTTGGCTTTGAATTGTTGAGTAAAAAAGAAGATCGCACTGTCATAGCAACCTCATTTAGAGAGGTCTCTGGGCGTGGGTTTCTGAGACTCTATATAGTAGGACACCTGCCGAACGTCCCTTCCCAAAGACCTGACCGATGACATCAGGTTTTTGCTAGTATTTCGATTTATAGACTTGCAATAGAGTCTCTGAGATGCGCACTTGATGTACATACCCAAACCAAGCCACAGAAATTGCGTTGTCTTGCTGGTACTAGTATCGGATCCTCAAGCGTTCAAAAAGACCCTCTGGGATCTTTGATTTAGTAGCAACTCTCGTTGCGGGGTCATACCCACGTCAAGAGACCGGACTTTCTCCGAAGTGAGGGGTATATAGCGGTGCCAGTCATTCTTGTTTTGTTGCGTTGAGCCTACCATTAGACTCAGCTGCCAGAAACCGAGTTTTGGATTACTCGCCTCGTTCGAATCCCCTTTGTATACACCTTCCACCCGTGATCATGTCTGGCATACCCAATCTTCCAGAAACATTCGATGATCTGCCCGATAAGCGTCGCTTCTGGCCCGGTGTCGCAGGCTCAGAGGAAGAAGGACTGGGAATGCTCCGTCTCCTAACGCCAGGCCTGGTTGCGCAAGCCGCGCGAACACAAATCCAAACTGGCGAGCGGGTGTGCTTGAATTGGGATATGGAGAATTTAAGTCCGCCAGGTACAGCAATAATCACCCGAAGTCACACAAAGAGTAACAGCAAGACTCACAATGCTTAATGCACTAGGATTCGGCCGCAAGCCATTCGAGCACCATGTCAAATGGGTCGTCGAGGGGGTTGCCTTCGACGACGAGTATCACTTCAATCCACAACAGTCTTCCCAGTGGGACGGTCTCCGACACCATAATGCGCCAGCGCCAGCGCCAGAAGACAAGGATCGACGTCTTTTCTATGGCGGGACGACTGCGGAAGAAATCCTCGACGAGAAATGCCCGCGCATCGGTATTGGGTTTTGGGCGAAGAAGGGCATTGCTGGGCGCGGCGTGCTGATTGACTATGTCTCTTACGCGGAAAAGAAGGGTATTAGCGTCAATGCGCTAAGCCGGCAGATGGTGTCGCTGGATGAAGTGCAGGAGATTGCGAGGGAATGCAACATCGAGTTCCAAAAGGGCGATATCTTTTTCTTGCGGGTTGGCTTGCCTGGAACGTGGAAGGGGATGTCAACTGAGCAGCGGGTGGGTTATAGTCAGCAAGGGACGCCAGAGCATGCTGGGATTGAGCAGAGTGAGCGAGTGTTGCGCTTTTTGTGGGATAATCATTTTGCGGCTGTTGCGTCTGATGCGGTTAGTTTTGAGGTTTTTCCGCCTCTGAACCCGGAGTTTGATTTGCATCACCATCTTCTTGCTGGTTGGGGGGGTGCCTATTGGGGAGATGTTTGACTTGGAGGAATTGGCTGCGACGTGTAAGCGGTTGGGTCGTTGGAGTTTCTTTGTTTCGAGTAGTCCGTTGAATTGCTCTCGTGGAGTGTCTAGTCCACCTAACTGTATGGCTATTTTCTAGTGTTATATATAAGGGATGTCAATCTGAGGGGGCAGATTTGAACTATATGTATGAATCAGTTTATATTTCTTCTTGGAGATATGTCGAGTATAAGCAAATAAGCGGCACTTTTGCCTTATATCCTGGATTTAGGGCTACATATTTTGCGAAGTTGCAGGAGTGTACGGCGTAGAGTCTCACCCTAACTATATCCCTTGGGCATAGCATAGCCTTGATCACCCACCAAACAGGATGCCCTTCGGATTAGCAGGGATCCCCAGAGAGTGATATCATCTATTCGGCCCTTGATTGCCCTGTGCCCTATTCTTGGGAGAGATCAACATTGACAACCCACCAAGACCATTTGATCTGAGTTGAGAGGCATTCCAACCCTTTCCGCTCCCCTCGGGACTCTATGTCAGATGCCAGTTCCTACATATCACATGCCTGAAAAGGCTGCGATGTTGTCAATCAGACGCCATGTTTACCCAGCTACAATGATCAGCGAGCACCATTAATTCTACTCCGTGGGGATCTACTACTTAAATACGATGAGACGCAACCTTCAACAGCCAACATATTCCCCCAACGCCACTCTCTTTAAACGTATTTCCTAGCCAAACAACCACTCTCTTTACCAACCAACTACAATCATTTATCAAGATGCACTTCTCTAAGGTAGCTGCCCGTTCATCAACCCCAGCATTGCAACCGGCTAACCCGGTCTAGACCCTCATCACCGCGGCCACCTTCGCCATGACTGCCTACGCCGGCCTCCCCGTCGCCAGCATCGAGTTCCTGTCCTGGGAGCAGTGCAACGTCGGCCACTCCGCCCACGGCGAGGCCAAATTCTCCGCCGATGTGGCCGCCAATCCTTTAACTTGCGAAAAGACCACCATCAACTCCGACTGGAGCATTGACAGCTACTCCTTCCGCGCCCGCCTCGACACCAAGGACGCTGCCCTCTGCCACGGTGTCGCCGTCTGGAACAATGACGACTGCACTGGCAAGCCCGTGCACTTCCAGCCCTTCCACCACGGCCCCTTGACTGAGGGCCGATGTATTCCCGATATCCTCGAACCTGGATTCGTCTCCTTCAAGCTTGCGTGCCCCGGTTTCCCCGGACATTAGTAAATTTGATGCCTATACGAAGCTGACTGGGATTGTCGCTTGATGCTCTGGGATTGGCAGGGGATATACCTACATTCTTTTGGTGTTCGTTTTCTCTTTTGTTTACTTTATATCTAATCTCCGGATCTTCCTATGGTCTGTTCTAGGACTTGCTGGGGTATAATTTACCAGACATGATACCTCATGGCATAATGTTATCCTGCCATTGCGAAACTACACGACTGCATTCTTGTGCTTGAAGCCCATATTTTGCAAATCAACTCTCTTTCCTCAAATCAGCTGTCTTTTCATCTAAAGGGATAGGTTTATATTCTGGGCAAAAGCTCTTGAACCGTTTCCTCCAAACTAGTTCTTTCGGGGGTCCCTTACTCAACCTTATGCCTATCCAAGAGGGTATGTATGAGGTAGGTTACTCTCGGTGTTGGGCCTATCATCGTGCACAGGATCTCCTCAAAGGGCGAAGAAGCAAGGCAAATATATGTAAGGGAGGCTACAGAATAGGCATTCATAATATACAGGGGTATCCTGGAGAATGAATCGGGGTGCTGAGAAGGTTACACAGACAAGACATCACGCTATTGAATTTGGAAGAAAACATGAAAACACCATGACAATATTATGCCCGCTCAATCGTGAATTGCAGAGAAACCTCCCATCTTTGGCCTCCTGTGCCATATCCGCCACCCAGTCGGTTGCGGATCAAGCTGGAGATCTTCTCTCTCAGCCGGGACAGATTCTCCTCAGAACCCGTGACTCGAAGCTTGAGCTTTGCCATGCATAGCCCATAATGGACCTGCCAAAATCGAGCGTCATCGATGCCAAACACAGAAGGGTCGGCCTCGATATCCTTAATCACATCAGATACTCCTTGGCCAGAGTAGGACATGAGAAGCATAGAACCCAGGGTTTTCACCAAGCGCGTGCCTAGGAAGCACATCGAGAAGGCGACGGTGCCAGATAAGACTTTATCGAGCCAATCATAGATCCGGATCGAGACCAGAGGCAAAAGCAGCAGCAGCGTCGAGCAGGAGAGAGTAAGAAAGTGGGATGGGTTGCTCAAGATCGATGGAAGAGACTGGATATATCCGAACCGAATAGCCTTTCCGATACGAGCATGGTTCTTGAGTCCAATTGCCGACACAAGCGTCGACGAAATAGCAAGAACGGCAGTCACATCTACACTACCCAGAGAAACGCGATCATGCCCATGTGGGCGGTGGGGCTCGTGACCAGCCTTCTCGAGGAAATGTTGCAGATTGTGAGAGATCAGGTCCATGCCCATGAACAAAAGAAGCACAGCCATGGCAAACCCGGCTAGAACTTCTGCACGTTCAAGGCCAAATGGGTGGCGGATACTCGATCTCTTCCAGACCTCGAAGTTGCTCAACACGTCAACCGCAACACACAGGAGGGCACCGAGGGAATCGAATAGAATCAGATGCGATAATGCCGTCATGGCTAGAGATCCATGCGCGGTCCAGAGTGTGTACGCCGCAATGCACATGTGGCATAGACTCCACCAGAAGCGGGTCTTTTGATCCTTGGACATGCTGGATCGGCATTCTTTGAATGTTGGTATAGGGAGCGAGTTTGGGAGGGCAAGAGGAGCGCGAGGAGTAGGTTCGAGGAAGATCTGGTGAGAGATACTACTGTGTTTGTATTTGTGGCCCCGACGTTGTCCCATGTTCTGCAAGGAGAGAATGTGTTAGCATCACTGCCATTACAGGCATTTCAAGCGACCCAACTCACCGATCTAATCACTGGACTCTTCGCCATAACAGTAGTATCGAAGTTGAATGGCCCCGCAGGGGACATGTCGCCAGAGCCATTGCCAATCGGGGTTTCCGAATGCTCAGGCGGAGGTGCTAAGTTGGAAGAGGATGTTGTGGGGCTCAGCTTGTCTCTGCTTTCAGCCTTCATGATACCCTTTGGAAAGGAAGCTCTCAACGGCGATAGGGAATTGCGATCAATGGGTATCCCTGAGTTGATATGGGCGCCATGTTCATCGTCCGCTGGCGGGGTTGGAGTGCGCGGCGGAATAGGGAGAGGAAGGTTCGAAGCCATCGCGCTGGCTTTGCGAACAAGATACCGTTGTCAATTGGTTGGCTATGTACATATAAGTAGGTCGAGTTCGAGGGTGGCTATCTGGTTATCAACCCCCCCGGACGGCCCTCGGTGTTTCTGCCGATTATCACGTGGGCGGCCTCAAGGTACCCTAATCTACATGTACATAATAGGTGCATACATGTACATGCAGATGATTAGCTTTCTCCTACTCCGTAGTTCTTATAGTTCCCACCCGATTTGCGTGTCAAAAAGATATAAGAAATCCGAACCCCTTAGGAGGACCTCCCAGTGAGAGATGGATTGGAGATGAATGTTGATTTAGTTGCCTAAAAACCGAACAAAGCTGCCGCCATATGGAAAACGCCTATGTTACCCCCGAGGGTCCAGCGACAGAGACACCGAAAACCATGGCAGCATGAATATTGGCGAGCGCGCTCAATATGTTCAATAAAATTTCGATGCAATTCATATACTGCGTCTTCCTTGATCTGATGGCTCAAATCAATTATTCGGGATTGGGTAGTCTATGAACATAGTGTTAGCAAATCCGCTCATGTAGCCATCATCCGCTGCTACTTCCATCAACCAGCCAAGTGGCCGAGCAGTAACTCAGCCATCACATCTTCCTTGGTCTAGTGGTGATGATTTCCGCTTGTCATTAACACCGATAAGCGCGGGAGACCGGGGTTCGATTCCCCGAGGGAGAGATTTCTTTTTTGCATTTGTTTTTTTATGCAAATGAAATTCCTGTTTGGTTTGGCTGCATTGCTCGACAAATATTCCATGGCCCGGCTTCAGGCGCAGGTAATTGCCATATTGCTTCGAGAATTAAAAGTGTGTCATGGCTTCCGTTACTGCGTTTTCCACAAGGCCGCTGTACATTCGATCCCTAATATGGTGGAATCCTCCTAATGAGGTGTACTCTCCCCGCTTCGACATCCCAGTCTAATACATACTAATATATTTGCCGAATAAATTATATTATAAACAGATTCCAAAGTTAGGTACGCATTTGTATGAGCGATAATCAAAGCTGACGAGCTACATAGTATGCCTCAGATTAAGATTCATTTGACAGCAAATGGGTCAGCACAATGTTATTGCACTTATCCAAGAAGGCCCGGGCCTCGGCTTCATCATGCCACACATCATTATATGCTGCACTCAGGCACAAACTTCCACGGTATGTCCCAAGGAAAACACCAAGGCCAGTCCCGAGCTCTTCTCCAGTCACCCAAGGGTCATCCAATTCAAACTTCCCCTGTGTTGGGGACAGGATTTTGTCGACCACTCCCATGCTAGAAATCGAAGCTGAAGGGGCCTGGTTTGGGGGAGGTACTGGTGGTGCTTCCGTGCCTGAGGGATATGGAGGAGTCGAAAATGTCCAGTACGACGGAACAAAGAAAATATGTTCTTTATCGTCCCGGATTGCGAGGTAGTAGTCTTTCACCTTCTCAACGGTCTGGCAAAATTCCAGGCGCTCTTCATCCGGTGAAGAGCCTGAACTTGCCAGGCCCGGCACTGTTAAGTCTATCGCGAGACTTTGGCCGGACACGGAGTGGTATACCGACGCTGCATGCTGAGGGCTGCTGTACGGCGATTCGCAGTGGCTGCGTTCATTGATAAGGGAATAATTGATGTAGCGGACTTTGCGCTCCGCGGGGTGTTTCTCTTGCAGATCGCGAACGGAAAGAGCAAGTGCGGCATGATAGACGTGTGTCACACTGGCGCCTAGCTTCTTGCAAGCTAGTAGCAGCCTTTCAGTATCTTCTGGGGAAAGAGTCATTGATACTCGCTGATGACGTCCAGGAACAGTTGGGCCCTGCTTAAAAGGCACTGTCGCAATTTCAGCCTTGCGGATCGAATCATTCTCCGCCATGATAGCTTTGAGCCTTGCTTCTTGATCGGGTGTCAGGCTTGCTGGAATGGCAGCAGCAACACGGAATGGGGGACTGAGGTTTTTCCATTCGTCTTGGAATTGGGGAACTTGGAAGCTTTCCGGATGATCAAAGGCCTGGGAAGCATACTTCACAAGGTTGTTGAGTAGGTGAAGTGATCCGATTCCATCAATGATATCATGGTGCGCTCGGAGTACAATGTCTGCTTGAAACAGATCGTCATCGGAAGCGACCGGGTGGTTGAGCAAGAAAATAGTGGGCAACTTGGGGACGGGGGGATCTGAGTTGCACCATTGTGATCCTGACTGGCTAGTAGATATCGCCTTGAATGTCTCCTCCAGCCAAGTAGACTGCTGGGTATCTTCTGCATCCGAGAAAGCCTGATAGATTTTCTTGCATACCTTGGCATCACGGTCTTCCTCGACCCAGGAAGCAATAGTCGGATGGTCGTACCGGAGCCGCAGCCACGCAACTCGCAGAGCATTGGTGAGACGCAGCTCAGTCGCTTGGTGCGAAGTTGGATCTTTTGCAATGGACAGAGACACATGGGCCGTCATGGCAAAGAAAGTGCGGCCAGATCCTTCGAATCTCCTTGCCAGTGTAGTATAAAATTGCTCCACCTCATCGATCTCACGTTCCCACCTGCCGGGCTTGGTCTCCTTCCATGTGAGGTGTTTATATGTAGCGGACTCCATGATTTGCGCTTTGCTGAGCGTACACTCCTGTGTTTGAAAGAGTTTGAAGGATAGGTCTTGGGATGCTGGGTGCAAGCACGAGAATAGATACCCCAGGTCATGTGTTCTATTGTATTGACCCTGCACGCCAAGCACCTTGGCTTCTGGGTTACCCGAAGATTACCCGACCTCAACAACTCCACTGATTGGTTTCGATGCTGATTTCAATCCCTTCAATTCCTAAAAGAGCACGGTGTACGGCCAAACCTCCGTATATTAGGACCTCTGGATGGGTGAATCTGCAATCCTTAGGGCCGACATTCCGCGGTGGAAGACAGACGCTTTGCCATCTTCATCCTTCACGGTCATGATTCTCAATAATCTCCCCGAATACGGAGTAGTAGCCTCCTACTTGGGAGAATTTCATTTGACCAGTCTATCATACCGAGTCCGAGTCCTCACTAAAGATCTCTTTCTCGAAATGAGCGGGGAAATCCCTACCATCTGTGTGAATGCACTTCCGAGTCCCCGGCCCATTCCCTAGAAGGAAAACGAGCTGGAATCTGATTACTCTGTACGGAGTACGGAGGATGGAATCAGAGATTAGATCAAGTTGGCTGTTTTACTATATTTGGTTAGTCTCATAGGGTGCTTCAAACGCTAACGGATGCTAACATGCAATGATTTATCACCGATCACTACTTAATTGGACCCTGATTTTCACGCTGTTCTTGGCACCAGGAGATTCAAATTTCGGCCCTGTTCGCCTACACGATGTGCCAACTCTGGGTCGCTTTTTCGCTGTGTCTGTGCGAACCTTCACTGGCAATTTAAAACACTACGACGGAACAATAAAACTAGGTAGCATTTACTTCTCGTATTGGAAAGACAAGGAAGGGGCCTACTTGCAAACATTTGTGAAACGAAATCATTACCCAATAGTTTAATATCGCTCTTAATCTTAGCCATAAATGTCCATACCTGGTGATGAGGGTGTTCTTATCCTTGAAACCATAAACGAAGCTAAATTTGCAATAAATGAGGTGATATAGAGAAGCTTAGTTGGGGTATTCGGCTAAATTCTTGTTATATCTATTGGGGGCAATCAAGACCATGATCATACCTAGATATCTAGCAACTTTCCAATCCAATATATATATTATGCTTGCTTGCTAAAAAGTCACCCGCAGTTGGGAATTTGAGCTCCAGACAAGCTCTGAGCTCATTCATAAGCAGAAAGGAGATATCAAAGACAACTTCAACTCAACATTATCTCGTACTACAAAGACAACATCCAATTGAACGAGTGATCTTAACGTGGGACAGATTTGGACAGCCTACTCTCGCTCAGTTCCACCATACCCTCCTAAGCAGCAATGAAAGTATTAAGTCTGATGAGTGCACAATCAGACCTATTACCTTGCTCTCTATAGTTAAAGACGGTTGCTAGTTTATTAGAACTCACCGAGTTTAGTGTGAAGCGCTGACGTTGGGCTGACTTATCAGAAGTCAAGTCCATACCTGATAGTAGATACTCAGCTCTCGAGATGAACCCATGCGAAGCTATAGTCTTGCCCAATCTTTCGTAAACCTCTTCATTTACGATACTTGAGTTCATTAACATTTTTTTGAGCAAAACCTGCCAACTTGTGATACAATGAGCCTTATAATGCCACATTTATCGATCTTATATTCGACTCGGCCTACAGGTGATATGCACAGTGTGAGTTATAGCAATGGCAGATATTTTACCTACTGAGGTAATGAAGGAGCTTGAGAGAACTACTTCAAGATCTTCCTTATGAGTCTTGAATGGCAATGGGATGACCACGAACCCTGTCAACTGACGGTGTAGACCGAGAGTCCGAGACCCAAATCAAACATCGGACTGCCGAACATTATCGGACATCCGAAGGAAAATTTCCCCATGACACGTCATGTACATAATTCTCATATCCTAAAACTAGCCAGATCGACCTGTTCGGACTGCAATACAGCGTAAGCACAGGGAATACTTCCAGGGTGGCGGACATTGGCGAACCGCCACGAGCATCAACAACCAATACGATATGTACCGGAACCGGGATAACTCCTGTACCGGGGTCCCAATTAGGCAAATGGTATTGGCGATCATGTATAACTGTGTATAAAACGTGACTTATGTGCCGGAGATCCGGAAAATGACGCCTAAGGCTGAAAACGGAGGCACGGAATACCGCTTCTCTCCACACGGCCGTCTCAACACAAATGATGACGGCTCAGGCCGCCAGATCCAAGGCATTTTGTGACTCTTGAGGGGCGAATGGAGTCTCGCCAGGATTGACCCTCGTGTCAAGCTTTAAGTAATAGCCAATGGCCATGCGTGAGATTGGAAATGTTGGAGACAGTGGGGATTTCACTAACGGTGTTAAGGTCCTTTTTCTCCCTTTATCACCGTTTGCCATGGGTTGTGCATTTGAATATCTTCTCTGATTCGGAGATCCGTGTCCTTCTCCCTTCTTTCTGATAGCTTGATATGAAGACGTTCCCCGCTAGGGAATTCTGGTTCATTTTCTTCGTGACTCAATGTCGCGTGCCGATCTACATAGTTGGCTTCACATATAAAACTTTTGATTGCTTTTTCCTTGCTTATTCTTGACTGTTTTTGTCTTATGCGAATTAATTATGTCGGACAATAAAGAATCTAATCCGGCCAAATCACGGCCGACGTCATTATCCAGTACGGATACCCAGTCTCGGGCCTCAAGGACTCAGTCGCGACGTCAAAGTTTGGCTGGTTCCTTGAGGTCAAGGCTGCGATCTTTCTCGAATCCAGGGGATCAGATAGATCGAGCCTATTCAGGACAACATATCAATGACCAGTCAGTGTATCATAGCAACGAGGGATCTGATGATGGTGAATCCTCTCCCGAAAACGATGGCACGACGGACACTATACGGGAAATGCGAAACGGAATCATGAACGAGCGCGATCTAGACCTCGAAAGAGCTGATACACACCCCGAACTGGAGAAAATCGGGACCTCAAAATCGAATCGGTCTCGCCATGATCCAAAACTAGTATGTTATCCTGTATTTCTGAATCTAAAGTCCTATACTAACAAAATTTAGGTGACATGGGACGGTCCTGATGACCCCGAAAACCCGAAGAACTGGAGCATGAAGAAGAAATGGGCTGCGACTATCACCGTATCACTGTTTACATTCATCTCGCCGGTCTCTTCGTCAATGGTTGCACCGGCACTGTCATCACTCGCAGCAGACCTCAAAGTCACAGATGAGATAGTCTCACAACTCATGCTCTCAATCTTCGTCCTCGCCTACGCCGTGGGCCCTTTATTCCTCGGCCCATTATCAGAGATCTACGGTCGCACCATCGTCCTGCAGCTCGCCAATCTCTTCTTCCTAGTCTTCAACATCGGCTGTGCCGTATCACAAACCAAAGTCCAAATGATCGTCTGTCGATTCTTCGCTGGACTGGGAGGCAGTGCCCCGCTCGCAGTAAGCCAAGCCTTCAACTCTCCCAAGAAAAAGCTTATACCTAACCACCATCCAGATCGGCGGTGGAGTCCTCTCAGATTGTTTCCGCGCCGAAGAGCGCGGAAAAGGAATCGCAATCTACAGCCTCGCACCCCTCCTAGGCCCAGCCCTAGGCCCCGTCGCCGGAGGCTTCATCGCCGAAAACACAACCTGGCGCTGGGTCTTCTACTCCACCTCGATAATAGACGGCCTAATCCAAGTAATGGGCATCTTCTTCCTCCGCGAAAGCTACGGCCCGAAAATCCTCCGCCAGCGCGCCATGCGTCTCCGCAAAGAAACAGGCGACAACGCCTACCAAACAGAAGCAGAGCGCCAAAACAAGACCTTCTCGCAAGTCCTACGCAGCTCCCTCATCCGTCCCTTCCGTCTCCTCTTCACCCAACCAATCGTCCAAGTCCTCGCCCTCTTCATGGCCTACATCTACGGAATGATGTACCTCGTCCTCTCCACCTTCCCAGGCCTCTGGACCAGCCCAGAATACTACAACGAATCCATCGGCATCGGCGGCCTAAACTACCTCTCCCTCGGACTGGGCTTCTGGCTCGGCTCCCAAATCTGCGCCCCGCTCAACGACCGCATCTACCGCCGCCTCAAAGTCCGCAACGGCGGCATCGGAAAACCCGAGTTCCGCGTCCCCCTGCTCTTCGTCGGCGCCTTCTTCATCCCATCAGGAATGTTCATCTATGGCTGGACAGCCCAGTACCGCTGCCACTGGATCGCGCCCAATATCGGCGCCGTCCTCTTCGGCACCGGCAATATCATCGCCTTCCAATGTATCCAGACCTACATGGTCGACACGTACACGCGGTACGCGGCGAGTGCGCTCGCAGCCGGTGCGACGCTGCGCTCGATCGCCGGTTTCGGATTTCCGCTTTTCGCACCGTACATGTATAGCGCGTTAGACTACGGATGGGGGAACAGTCTATTGGCGTTCCTGGCTGTGGCCATTGGGGTTCCGGCGCCGGTGTTTCTGTGGAAATTTGGGGAACAGTTGAGGAAGAAAAGTACCTTTGCGGCTGGTTAGCGCTCCTTCGGGTGAAACTGTCGGTTGCTTTTTAGACAGGATTTATCTTAAAAAAATACTAATTCAATAATGTGTAACTTTTCTTTTTCATTGAATCAGGAAGCTATGGCGACTATATCGGGCCAGTCAGCTTTTGGCATGTGTAGTACGACTCTGCCTCGGCTTTCCGGTTTCGTTGTTCGGTTGATGAGACTTCCCTTGGATTGGTCTTTTTTTTCAATGAGAGTATGTTGGATCACATGCTGGGTTTAACATATGCGATGTAGTCTGTATGCTGCACAATTTTTCTTTTTGTTTTGTTCTCGGGTTTCGCCGATCAACATTTGATCTACAGGGGGTTTCAAGGTCGCCAATTAGGACGAACCTACGGAATATTCCGTACATAGGCACGTCGAGCACGCAATGGGATGTTTTTACAAGGGAAGCCCGATTCTATTGAATGCTATGATAGACCAGTTCCCATGAACTCCTGTGAGTTGAATGATATTGCCAAGTCTTTATACAAAGTGTTGACTTGGCGGCTACAGGGCTGAGGAAGCACATCGGTGGATCTACATGCAAGTGTTTAGATACATCATAATTTGTAAGGAGAAAATTGAGAGTCAAAAAATATGTATTTAGATCAACAGGGGATATACGGAGTAGAGAAAACAAAAAACAGAGAGAGCCAGACAGACTATGTACATACTAATCTGCCCGCTTTCTCGACATCCGGGGTATAGGGAATCTATGGTCACATGATAATATGATATGAGATCCGAGACAAAACATGATTAATCGGATTCGCTCCGCGAATCCACACTCGGGTTCAACCGAGGGTCACCAATGGAAGCATTTAATCGGAGTGCTTGGTCTCGCTGCCGCTGCTCATGGCGATCTCGACCTTCTCGGCCTCAGAGTTGACCTGGTGGTCGGGCATATCGAGACCCAGCTCGGTCTGCATCTGGGTGATCTGGGCGAAAGTGAGCTTGGGAAGCTCCTGGGCCACCTGGTAGGGCCATTTGCCCTCGATATGAGCCTTGGCGAAGATAATGTCGACTTCCTCGAGATCACGGCCGGCGGTCTCAGCATAGAAGAACCAGGCGAAGGGGATGGCGACGAAGTTGACGAGAGCGAAGAAGAGGTAGATACCCCAGTCGGAATGGCTGGAGAACACGGGAGTGAACATGACGACGGCGAAGTTGGTGATCCAGTTCACACAGGTCGAGGCGGAAGCGGCCTTGGTACGGGTGCGGAGGGGGTTGATTTCCGGGGGGTAGATCCAGGGCAGAGGCAGCGTAGTAAAGGCGAAGAAGCAGATGAATAAGAAGATACCAACGATAGCACCCTTAGCGTTCTGCTCGTTCGAGTCGATCAAGCAGGCCATGGTGATAATGAAACTGAGACCCTGACCAAGGAAGCCAATCAAAAATAGATTGCGACGACCGACCCTCTCAATCATGAAGAAGGAGGGGATAGTGGCAATGGCGTAAACGGTAGCGAAAACACCACCCAGAATCAAGGGAAGCTTTCCGTCCATGTGCAAGTTCTGCTGGAACAGCAGAGTGGAGTAGTAGATAGCCGCGTTACAACCAGTGAACTGCTGGAAGAACTGACCAGAGCAACCGATCATCATACGCTGGAAGTTCTGAGTCTTGCCGCCAGTGAACAGAATACCCCAGCTACTAGCCTCAATACCCTCGAGGGCCTTCAGATCAGCCTTCATAAGATTGTAATCGGTAAGCACATCCTCGGCATCGATTTCACTATCGTTAAGCTGGGCGAGGACCTGGAGGGCTTCCTGGTCGTGACCCTGCATAACGAACCAACGAGGAGATTCAGGCAGCATAAGAGCGCCAGCAGTGACAAAGATAGCGAAGAGGATCTGGAAAGCAACGGGGAACCGCCACTGGACAGAGCTGTCGACATACGAGAGTCCAAAATCGATCCAGTATGCAATGAACGTGCCGACGGCAATAATAGCACCCTCGAAGCAGACGAGGAAACCACGGTTGTGGGCGCGCGAGCACTCAGATTGCCAGACAGGAATGGTAGCGGTATCCATGCCGTTTCCGATACCAGAGATGACACGTCCAATAACGAACTGACCCAAGCCCCAGTGAGGACCAAAGGCAGCAGTGGACATAACTGTGCCGAGGATCATGAGAATACCACCGGCGACAAGGAGAGGAGTACGACCAATACGTTGTCCGTAGACGAGAGTGAAGATAGCGCCAAAGAAACAACCGAGCTCATAACAGGAGGTGACAGCACCACGCAAGACGGCAACATGCGCAGTATCACCGTAGAGAGGAGGGAACTCGGAGGTGAATTGGGGACCGGAAATGATACCGGACATCAAACCCTGATCATAACCGAAGAGTGAGAAACCGACAACGGATGTGAAGGTGATGGCGAGATGGAGCTTCTTGCCCCGCAAGCCGGAGGTTGTGGTCCACATGATGAACGTCCTCTAGTAGATGAAGAGAGGAAAAGACCAAAGCAACATGGAAAAAGGAAAAGCTCAGACACTGAGGGGGAAGGTCTCCGTACCTTATATGCATTCGTCTCCAGGGCCCCATGGATTGCCCATGGTTAGTTAGCGCCAAGACGAGAAAAGTTTCGAGTGACATCGGCGACGCCACAACGTTGTAGAGGCAAGTATCGCGACCCGCCGTGAGCTGAGATGGGCTAAGGTAGAGGGGCTAAGGGCCATGTGAGTGGGGGGTTGCGGGGATGCAATAAGAAAATCCCGCGGTTTGCCAAGTGCCCTGAGCGGCTTGGATGATGTCGTTGGAGCTTGATCATTATATCAAATTGCTCTAGCTTCGCGGTGTATTCACTACTTTGGGGACGCCTTTCACGGCTTTGTGGGGGGTGGATCAACTGATTCCTGGGGAGGCATGGAGGCGTTTGGAGGCGTCGCGGGCGGCGTTTTGCTGTCTGACTGTGGCCGGAAGAGGAATCTTATCCGACCCTTCATGGCCCTCCATGACCCTCCACGACCCTCCAGGACCCTCCACGGGGAATGGGAGATTGGGGGAGATGTGGGTCAGGGGTCGAAGATTTCTTTTGGCCCAATGATATCCAATCCTGACAATTGGGTAAACCATTCCTTTGTGTCAAGCCCGAGGCCGACTGTGTGTAGCCGAGTATTACGTACTCAGAAATACTCCTTTCAGTTGCCTTTTTTCCCTTTTTGTCCTCCCCGAGGCTCGCTATGGCCCGATACCCGGCCGGATACGGCCACTCAGCTGTGCATTCATTTTCCCGGGGTTGTTGTGGGATGCCGTCTTAAGCAATGATCGTCCGCCTCACGAGGCGTTGACGGAGTATACGGAGTAGCGTGAGGTCTGTGGGATATGAACTGCAACTGCACGGGTGAGACACCTCTGTTGGAGTTAGGCCTAAGGGCTTCCCTGTTGATTTGGTTTCATTGTATACCGAATCCTGTATATCAAATCCAAGCACCTCAGGTTCCTAATTTAGAGTTCGTGGGATCGTACTTTCGACGTCGGTATATTGCACTCCCACGATGTCTCTCTGTGTAGCCCTTCGCAAAGCGATGCTCGGGTATTGCTCGGACACGGAACGACAACACGCGGTGAGGTGTTAATCACATTAGTTGAAGAAATCGAGTCAAGATGTTCGGCAAAATCGACGAGCTAAGGCGGAGTGGGTCTCTCCGCCAAGAGGATTGCCCGATTAGGAAGGGATAAGCCTTGCCGGGCCAAATTGAATTTCGGACGGGCAGCTCTCCGAAGACTGGGCATCTTGGTATTTGCTTACCACGACTTGGCTTGTAAATCCAAGAGTGCCATGACGTCTCCCAAGAAGATCTCCCATGCTAAGCCTTTGAAGAAGCCTTGGACAAGCATCTCTAGACCCTAACCAGAAAAATCACAATCAAAATAAAGAATGTGAGATGTGAGAAAGCACCCTCTCTTAGGTTTACCCGGGCCCACAAATCGCAAGATCCCGGGTAAACAACCAAAAAAAAAGCCATGTCCCTTTGAATCCTCGGTCTTGGCGCTCAAGCGGTCGGCGGGCGTTGTCGGACAATTTCATTTAGAAACCGACCAGTAAAACTCTGATCCCGGGACCGAAATGCGCGGCATCTAGGGAGATTAGTATGGAGTAGACCTCGTTGGCGATGCCGCAGATACGTCTTTGATGAGGCTATTGCTGTGGGAGAGAAGGAAGCTATGATCCTCTGGATCTATGAAAACAGAGCACTTTTGATAGTTCCCTAAAGACTAGCAAACACGATGCTCACTCAAATGATACCTTAGGAATCGGGCATCAAGAGGCATCTCAACAGTGTTTCATATTGACTTCTCTTTCATTGGTTGAATAATCTCCTTCCTTGGTTATCCATATGGAGCATCATCTTACTCGGGATTCCTCCCCTCTGAGAGAAACGCACTGTCCGCGGTAACGCTTCGATCACACGGAGTACTCCGTGCGTTGAATTTGGTATGTATGGGGTCATTCCTGGGTATCCAGTCATCATACGGCAAAGCGGGCGTTTTGTAAGCCAGAAACCCAGATTTTGCGAGACATGGCGTGCAGATCTTCAGCGCCAAAGCCCATGAACACAGTCCTGGAGTCAATGCGACGGACGTCATTACAAATCCTCCATTTACCTCCGGTGTGTGGCGCTACTTAGATCCTTGGCGTCCCCTCAGGTTCCTACGTGAGAACCTTGGAACATGTTTCCATGTGACAAGGGAAGCTGGATGATTCTCCGGTAGAACGTACGGTGACCTTACATCAAGGTTGCTACGGAGGATGATTGGTTTGTGGGTATCGAAAATGTACACGGGAGTTCGAGTGGGCATGTGAACCTAAAAGCCTGATAAAAGTGCATATGTTTTGGGGCTACGGCGGACATGTCATTAAAGTTATGGATGAGGTGGAACTGCTGAAGCGGAGAAAAGTAATAGGGCTGACAATTCAATGCTGTATGTTAAGGCTCATGCATTATACTGCAGTAAATCGAATCTCTTGTAGAAGCCATCGACTTAAAGCTCCAGGGCTGGGAAAAGCGGAGAATCGTCTATGGTTCTAGCCTGAATATACACACAGGTAGCCGCAGATATTAGAATTTTAGAAAGAGAGCAGGTGAAGAGTACTATCCAATGAAAACCGGCTTCCATTCGAGTAAATTCACCCATTAAGCCGATCATTTACATACATAGACTCCTTTCATGATGCCAAACATGATTGCTGGGACAATATAGGGTCAAAAGTGGAGATATATGGTTGATGGGGTGCGTGTTTGAGGTTCCCCATGTACATCGGCGTAGGTTGTACACATACACTGAGGGTTGAAAAGAAATGGCAATGTTCAGATATACAACTGGAGAGCCGTTGCAACATAATCGGAGGAAGTTTTGTTCTTGTGTGGTCTCAACGTAGCATTCATTGAAGCTTGTATAAACAGAGACACAAGTGCACATTCATAGGTAATATGGTAGGGACAGTGGATGATATAGATATCATTGGTTTACCCAGTGATACCGTGTTCCTCCCTGCCATTCTTCTGTTGATTTATCAGTATTCAATCATCGAGCAGAGAAGCAAGTGAACAAGCAAGAGTTTCATACCAGGGCACGGTGATACTTGATGCCAACATTCTTTCCACTGGCGGCATCATATGGCACGGGGCTGGTGTAGTCATAAGTGGGCTGGAGTCCGTTGTAAGTTTTCTTCACGATCTCTGCAATGCCATGACCAGCAGAGCATGCACCCTTGGTAGCAGGAATCGGCCAAATCGGAGAATACTCTGAAAGTTCATTGTTGGACAGAGGGCCAGGATAGGTCTCGTTGAGGTAAGCGTTACTGGTATCGACCTCCCAGTTAACATAGCCGGTCTTCTCAGCGACCATGTTCAGCAGGTTGGCCCCACAGTCCCAGCGGCCGAGTGAAGGTAGACCCCAGTTAGCGGAAAGAGAGGCGATGATTGAGTAGTGTGTGTAGAAAGTGTCATCAGTGGTGCCCTTCAGGTGCTTGGGGATGGCACCACCAACCAGGAAGCTATAGACACGATTGGGGTAGGAGTAATTGCCCCCCTCATCAAAGGTCAGCAGTACCAAGCCGTCCTTGGTAAAGTACTCGTTCTTCAGCAGGGGATTCAAGAAGCGAGCTACCCAATCGCCGGCCACAGTGATGTCCGAGTCATGGGCATCATTGGTCATGTTGGGTGTGATAAACATGTGCTGTGGCAGACGGTGGTGCTCCAAGTCCTCATAGAAAGTAGTAAAGTTCTTGATCTGACGCGGGCGCACAGCATCGTTGGTGACCGAATCATAAAAGATTAGCGGGTTGTGCTTGCGCACGTACTGGTTGGGACCACTGAGGGGATACCGGTCACCCTGGTAGCCGGCATATGGCATATCCTCTTGATATTCGCCCCAGGCAATGTGTTTAGTGTCAAATAGATCAGCAATGGTCGAGACATTGGCGGGGACTCTCTTGAAGTCATCATTGTCTATGCCAAAGGCCTCACCCCCGGCGGAAATGCAGTAGTTAGGTGCCGAAGGGTGAGTGATGGCAAAGTAATTGGTCAGGAGGATGCCCTCCTTGGCTAACTTGGACAAGTTCTCATCCGCAGCACTTGTATCAAAGTCCTGTACAGAGGTGAGCACGTGATGATTGACACCTCATATGCAAGGGGTTAACCAGGGGCTAGCTCACAGTGTTCTCAAGCCAGATGTTCACAAAGCGGTCAAAAGCCAACCCCTTGACGTTGGAGACAGGCGAGTAAGGTAGAACTGTAGCACGGGCTGCATCGATCTCAGACTGAGTTGGAGTCTTCACAGAGTCAGTCTTGGCCGCAGCCATAGACAGGGCCGCGACGAACGCAAGAAGTGCCTGTTTAGTGAACATGGCCGAAGATTGGTGATGTGACAGCCAGGATGAGGGAAAGGGGAAAGATGAGCAGATAGAGCGGGCAACCCACGCGATCTTGTACTCCAGCCCTAGCGGCACGACATTCCCCTCACCGGCTGGAGGAATCCTGTTAAGCGGCCAAGTCCGCCTGGAACATTGCTGCAGATGAGGGGCATTTGGACCGATATCACGTTGCGATCGACGCGGGAGTGACTGGTTGCATCTTCACGACCTTTTGTCGCTAAGAATCAAGGCTTGAGTTACACTGAAGTGCATTAGAGTCGACGCCCCAATCATTTGATTGGTCAACACCGTAAAAACCCACTGGGCGGGGAACCTGGGTGTTCCAATTTCGCACGTTGCCGTCGGCGATGTCCTCACTGGTCCTCCCCGGTGGATAACGGCAGTGAGCACCACCTGGGCACTTCTCCCGTTTGATGAGTCTGTTATCTCCGTGGTAGTCCTTGGGTAAGGCTATTAACAAGATTCTGGACAGAGGTCTATGCCAAGATTCCAAGAGTTTGTCTCAAGGTTTCCCCAAGCCCTCCTCAAGGCTTGTCCTTTGAAATTAAGCACTGAGCGGGGGATGTGTAGGTATCTCCGGACTATCCTCAAGCGAAATGTCCGCATGATCTTACCAAATAGGCGGTCAGACCCGTGACACTTATCGACTCGGTCAATCCTCATCTTTTCCAAGGCTCTCTCCAGGGCTCGTTGTTTGACTTACTATGTACCCTTAAAGCTATACCCACCAAACATCACGTCATTGACCTAGAAAGACGCCGAAATGTGTAGTTACTTGTCCAAATCATTGCAATCGTTTTTTATGATTCGATATTAGCAAGGAGTTTTCCTGGGCACCCAGGATTGTTGGGGAGGCTTCTACATGCATGTCCTGGAAAACACATGGTGTTTAGGTACCTACCTAGATCCTAGCAATAGGATAGTTACCTGGATTGACATCACCGTCTGCCTCCCTTCAACGGCACTCTTAGCATTCATTTGAGAAATGCACGCTCTGTTTTCCCTCCTTTTTCTATCGTCTCTCGAAGTAACCACCTAGTTCTTATTTTCGGGCGGGAGTGACATCACCAAATCCTTCACCGTGTAATCGATGCAGAGCAAAAGATCGAAGCGGTTTCATAGAATATCAAGCTAGACGAGGGATATATAGATGACATCCTGCGCGTTTGCTCCGATAACCAACCAGTGCGAGGGTGGACAACGCTCCGTTCTGATTAAATTTGCTGTTTGAATATGCCTGGTTTTGGGCCGCTTTCGGCACATTCATTAATGTGTATGGTAAACCATGGTCCCTGGTTTCAGCTATTCCCATAACCGAAGCTATCCCGGCCGGAACCCGTAGATTGATATACTGGAACACATTCCAGAGCACGCAAAATGTTGACACTTTAGATCAAATGGGATGGTCTTACGTCTGCTTTGTCAGTTGCTATTCTCTTTTATGCACGAGAGACTTTTCGATACTCTGGAGCAATCTCCATTAACGGATATACTAGACTCAACCGGCCAGGAAAGGAAGTCGGGCTCAGGGTGGAGAGTGATTGGCGCTGTAGGCATAGGTAGCTTTGGATTTACCTAAGCTGCTCATGCCTGGAATGGATGGCGCGTTAGCTGCATTGGTTGATTACAATTGAATATCCAGGTATTTGCCCCATCTTGAACTCACTGAGACATGCATACTACACCTAAATAAGCTCCGAGTAGATCGAGGAATTCGATGCACTTTTGATATGCAATGTTGGCATCTTTCACGACCTCCGGATACTACTTTGCTGAAGTCATATTCATGCTTCTGTTGCTAGCCCCACGACCAGTGTGGAGGTGAAGAATACAATCCTAACCTAGAGCTAGACAGATCTCGTCGCATCACGAACTATGTGATAGAACTTATAGACAATCGAAGATAAACCGATAACTCCAACTATGAAAAGGGCGGGTAAAAGGAGGGAGTAGGTATCGGAGGCAGGCATATCCGCCAGTGTACTCGTCACCTGCACTCTTTCCATTGCATGAAAACAAAGCATGTGAGATTATATATAGACTTTGGGGAACGTATCAGAAACTGGTTTCATCTCTTTGAAAGGGAAGCATTGAGATTAGAAAAAGGGGGAGAAATTCCGAGATCATGGTAGTGGTCTTAGGTTGAGCCACTAATTGCCTCATGGCTGAAGAGATGTGGAGACAAGACTAACGATGTGGATTCTGTTTTGATTGGGAACCCACTTAGTTTTTCAAAAGTACGGAGTACGGAGATAGGGATTGTTTGTCGGTGGGCTTAGATCTCGAGTCTCTATTCGGTGTACGGAGTAATTTCCTACGGGTGAAGACTCGACCCATGCCACAATGTCTACAAGCAGCCTACGAGGGAAGAAGGCATAAAGACATGAACTTCACATTACACGAGCATAACTGAAGGAGCGCAGAGGGCATACAGCATATATAAAAAGGGGGAAAACATGGTATAAGATGCAAAATCTTAATCGACAGAATCAAAAAAGCTCATATCCAGGATCCCAAATAAATTAAGCCTTATGATAACAAAAAAAACATCATTCCAGGGCTTGTAGAAGAAAGAAAAGAAATGCCATGAGCGCGCTTCATGTTCGGAGAATGCGCTTAGAGGGCGAAAGCGGCAAGAACACCAGCCATGACGGCACCGAAGCTGATGACGTTGCGGCCAGCAGCGCCGGTGTAGACGGGAGAAGAAGCCGCAGGGGCAGCGGAGGTAACACCGGTAGGAGCAGCGCTGGTGGTGAGACGGATGGAGGTCCAGGCGCGGCTGGTGGGGGGGTCCAACGGGGGACTTGCCGGTGGGAGTCACACGGGTGGATGTAACGGCAGGGGCCTCGGTCTCGGTCTCGGGGCAGATGGTGGTGGTGACCTCGGTGCTCTCGGTGGCGGTGGTAGGAGGGGGAGGGACGAAGGTGACAGCGGGAGCGGTGGTCTCATCCTCAGGGCAGAAAGTGGTGCTCGAGATAACCTCAACGATGGTGGTAGGGCCGACAGTAGGGGCGGCAGTAGGGGCAGCAGGCTTAGTCTCGATGGTGGAGATGGAGGTGTGGACAGGGCCAGCAGGAGCGGAGATACCGAACTGGGTGGAGTATTGGTACTGGCCGGTGCCTTCGACAACGAGGAGGATACCGTAGTGAGTCACGTCGGCCTCCAGGTCAGTGCCAGGGGTCCAAGTGTACTCGCCGCTGTTGGGGATGGCTTCGGCGATGGTCTGGAGAGGCAGGACATTGGTAGAGGGGCCGCGCAGAAGGACCAGAGAGATGGGGCCGGGGGTAGAGGGGATCCACTTGATGGTGTAGGCCTTGCCCTCGGGCACGATCTCGTTCAGGCCGGGGGAGGTGATGGCATTGCCAACGGGGCCCTTGGTGTAGTCCGGAGTGGTGTACACAGCGCTAGCAAGGGCCGCAAGGGCAGTAAAGACGGAGACAGTAGAGAAACGCATGATGATGGTGTCTAGATCGACAAAGAGTGACTGGGGTGGGAAAAAAATAAAAGAACGGCTATCGTTAAAAAACGAAAGAAAAAAAAAAGACAGTAGAGAGCGAGGTTAAGAAGAAAAGAAGGAATGAGGGAATGAGGGGAGACAAAGTACCTTTCTATGTTGTACATCGAAGTGCCCATGTGGGTCTACACTAAGTAACCTCAAAAACCCAAAAAGGCCAACGCGCAGACCAACCACATTCATTGTCACATCATTCTGCTCGGCAATTTTCCACAAGCGAGGTGTGGCTTTGATCTCTTCGTCTTACCTAGTATTTTTTAAATTACAATGGTTCTAACCCATCACATCCAGAGTCCTTCCACTCTTCTCTACGGGGTACAGGTCTCAGGCAACACGAAATCCAAGGGGGAATCATTTTAAAATGTGACAGCGTCAGGCCCCCATTCTCCTCATCTCCTCGTGGGGCATATGCGGGTCGGTTGTGGCTCAAGGAGTAATATAACGCAAGGCTATGCGTTGCAATCTTAGTGGCCTAGACGGAATACGGAGTTATCCTAATCATAATTACCAGGCACCGAAGCTGATTGGTACATGACCCCGGAACTTAATTTTATTTCCAGTCCTCCGTAACGGCAGACCCTTAATGTAGAGAATGTCCCGACCACTAAAATTAAAAATTACCATACCGAGTCCAAGGGCGAGGAATTAGCAAGGAATGCAGGCATTGATCTAGATTGCCATGGGCAAAATAGAAGGTAACCGTTGCCATGTTTGTTTACCTTAAAGCCTTCCCCCTCAGTTGGACCCATGGGACTCTTGGCGGCTCAGATATGATCCGACGTTTACCCATGGGTACCTCGGAGCCTCTTTGAGACATCTATTATTTCCCCCCTTTAGTTTCTTCTCATACTCCGTATACATTGATCAACTGGTATGATCGATATAGATGGTACATTTTCCAAGGCTGCCGTTTTCTTCTCCTAGGAACGCCACATACGTTCTAGAATTCGTGAAAAAAAATGTGGAAAATGAGAAAGGTTAACTCGAAAGTGACGGGAGATTGCGATGCTGTGCCCTCAGGTCCCCGCAGACCCCGGTGACAGGCACCGTACGGGTATTATACAGAACAAGGTCCTCCAGTCAGGGGTTTGTGTCTTACCTAGGTACTTCGCATGCAGGTACGACCATGTGTGCGTCCTCCCCAAGAAACAGGATTTTGAATCAGACCTGCATTGTTAGATTCTGATATTCAGTGATATTCGACACTATCTCGAGCCAGCTCCACAGCGATAGGCCCGTGGACATGGGGCCGTATCAGATGCAATCGTGCTGTCGATCCCGTCGGTTCATCGGGTTTTGTTGCGATATCTCTGGAAAAGATCTACGAGCAGATGTTCAGGGGGGTGAGTGTTTACCAGTTTTTACGCAGTACGATGTGCGGAGAAGACACCATATACGGAGGACAACAAACAGAGTCCAAGCCCCTGCAAAGCACGCTGCAGGGTTTTGTCTCGCCCATTTCCCACTTAATACGGAGTGCATAGCTCGTAATCGCTAGAACGGGTAAAAATAAAATGAGCGAGAAAGGAATGAATGGATTTTGTCTCACTCGGTCATTTGTGGTGATTTGTTGTGGAGGTCGTGCCTGAACTGCCAAGGGGCGTGTTCAGCCAGCGCCTGTACGGAGTACTCCGTACGGAGTACTCCGTACGGAGTACAACTATCAGAGTTTGTTTGACTGGCCAAGGTTGCAGCCAATTCGGATGATTCAGGGCTATCTATAGCCTCAAGTTCTTTTTCCACCAATTATTTTTAGATTTAATTTAGATCGCATATCTTGGGAGGCGAAAAAAGGAAAGGCAGATCACATGATGTTCAGCCTCACGATCAAAGCGAGACGGCTGTAGGCTCCGAGCCAAGAATCATGAAAATGGACAGGAAATCCCGTATACCCGTATCCGTATGCTACGTTGTAAGCCGTAAGCCAATGCAACAGGTCATACTCCGTACACCACCTAATCAGTGTGTACGCGAGTCATTCAATTCGTTCACATGGTCTAAGCCGGATATCCGGACCGCACCCATCTCTATGATGTAGTACCTCCAGGCGACGAGAGGAAGCCCCGCCATTGGTTGTATTATTAGCTGCAGGACCAACCTTGGCCAGAATAAGCCCAGAACCAAGCCCTGTCAGAAATGCACACCGAGAAACAGTCGCCGGTGGCGGCCCAATCCTACCGGCCGCCAGACGGGGGCCGAAAGGGGCCAATCCAACAAGTCTGCCCCATAAGGAAAAAAATTGTATACTTCTAAAGTTTGTACTTAACAGCCTAGACACCTTTTACTCGTGCCAGGTAACCGTTTTGGTCTGGAGGAACTCGTTGTACCCTGAAATTCCTCCGAAGCGACCGAAGCCACTGCTCTTCCATCCTCCGTGAGGGAGGATAGCCTCATCATGCACAGTCATGGAATTGATATGAACGGCGCTAAAGCAAATTACAGTCAGCGATGTTCAAATTTCCACCATATGATGTGATGTAGTCGAAGCTCGGAAAAACTCACCCAGAATCAATCTGCTTAGCCACCCGCAATCCGCGGAAGAGGTTGTTGGTGAACACTGCCGCAGTGAGACCATACTCTGTGTCATTTGCCAGTGTGATCGCCTCGTCTTCGGTATCCACCACGAAGAGAGACACGGTCGGGCCGAACGATTCGGTCGCGTACATGTCCATCTCCTTGGTGACACCGTCGACAACAATGGGCCGCATGGCCGTGTTGACGGATTCATTAGCGTTGGCGTCGCCGAACAGCAGCTTAGCTCCGCGAGACACTGCGTCCGCCACAAGCTTCTTGTTCTTAGCGGCGGCCGCGGCGTTGACCAGAACCAGCGCGGGCGCGTCCTTGCCAAACAACTTCTCCGCTGTCTGGACAAGCTTCTGACGGAACTCGTCGGCGATCGCGCGCTGCACAACAATGCGCTCGGTTGACATGCAAATTTGTCCGGACTGTTCATCGCTTGTCAGTATAATGTATTCTTATCCCGATTGGATTGACGCTACATACGTGCATGAAAGATCCGAGAGCACAGTTCATGGCAGCCTTGTCCAGGTCCGCATCGTCCAAAACAACTGCCGAGGCTTTGCCGCCCAGCTCAAGTAGCACAGGCTTGATGTGTTTACCTGCGGTGGAAGCGATGATCGAACCGACCATAGTGCTACCGGTGAAGTTGACCTTGCGCACAGCCTGGTGGGCGATCAGAGCGTTGGTGACGGCCGGGGCATCCGAGGGCTTGTGGAAGATGACGTTCAGACATCCTGCGGGAAGACCAGCTTGCCGGAAGATATCGCCCAATGCCCAGAAACACTTGGGTGAGAGCTCGGAGCCCTTGAGAACAACAGTGTTACCAGCCGCCAGAGGGAGTGCAACAGCACGCGTGCCAAGGATAAATGGAGCATTCCTGGAAGCTATTAACAAAAACGGTCCCAGACTAGGTAATAACTTTTGTCGATCAGGTCATGATACTTACCAGGGGGCAATTGACAAGATCACTCCGTACGGCTCCTTATAGACGATCGCTCCCTCACCTTCCCTGGTGACGTTGGGCACCACACCCTCAATTGTGGAGATCCGGGCCGCGAAATCTTTAATGAAGGCCACACCTAGATTGAAGGTGTGCTCGGAGAAAGGCCGGCCGGCACCTGTTTCCTCGCGCTGGTATTGGATCAGTTCCTCTTTGCGTGAATCCATGATCTCAGCGGCCTTCATCAGGATGTCACGGCGCTCATATGCGGTGGTCTTCTTCCATGCGGGGAAGGCAGCCTGTGCCGAGTCGACTGCCCGGTTGGCTTCTTCAACTGATACACCTGCACAGTATCCGTGTACCTCGCCAGTAGCCGGAGCATAAACCTCGAATTTGATGTCGGTCTCGATGGACTCGTTGTCGATGATGAGTGGGGTCACCGCCGTGTTCGATTGCGGTTGCGCCATTGTGAATGTTTCTGTGATGGGGGAAAGGGATAGAGGGGCACACAAAGAATTAGATTTTTGAGCAAAATGCAAATATTTGAATGGAGGGGTTGGACTATTTAAAAGAGCTGCGATCTCCCAAGGTTGGCCGAAGCGAATGCGAAAGGGCGGGGAGGATGGTGGGGACTCGCAGTGACGGCTCACACGTTCAGTGAAGCACCGTAGATCGTGCCTTAAATCCGAAGGGTTGGAGACTGATTTCAATAGTTTGATCAATTATCTCCGGTCTGGCCAACGGATTTGCAGTCCTAAAGCCATTCCTCAACTCCCTTGAACAAGTGCCGAGTGGGGGAAGAAGCCCCCGAAGCTACCGGACTCGGGAGATCGCAAGATGACAAAGCCCGAAGTCTTGAGATTCCAGTTATATTCTTATGGGAAGATCTTTCTTTGTATAATCGTTCAAATATCTATTTCTGACCAAGGTATCTCCAGGCTCCCAAAATTCCAATTTACCAAATGCCAACACCATACTCCATATCCCAAGCGCCCGGAAAATGCACATTGTGACCCGCACAAAATTCAGGGGCTCGCCACTTAGTTCGCCCAAATCTTGGTCTCTGTCGAATTGCTTTGGGACATTTCTGCAAAAGGACACACCGAAGTCTTCGACATGGTGGACGGCGCCACACTGTCAATCGAAGGTGCCTGGCCACTCGAAATACTGGATCGGTCATCCTCGGCCGAGCTGCTAGAGCTGCTTCCAAGGATGCGCTTGTCGCCGAGGTATCCCTCCTGATCGTCGTAGTTGAACTCGGACATCTGATCCGCGAATTCCTCGCCATCGCTCGAGTGGAACCGGGCGAAGAGATCGTTCTGGATCCAAAGGATCTTGTTGACCGCGCGCACAAGGGCGATCTTGCGACGCAGCGAGAGGTGTGGGTGCGACATCATCGCCTCGATCCAGATGTCTTGGATGTATCCCATGCAAGCGCCGATGTGAATGTACTCGATATTCAAGGGTGTCCGGCGTGCTTGTCCGCTGTGCATCAAGCTGTGTAATCAACCCCACGTTAGCACGTACAAAACATAAAACCCACGGTCCCGGCAATCCGGGTCGGAAAGGCGGGGGAGATCAACTTACCCGACTTTGTTCAAGTACCGCCAGAAGTCCATTGTAGTCGGATCCTGGCACAACCGGGTCAAGTACCATCGCAGGAACATCTTGCGACGCTTAATCTTGGGTGTGTCCTCGTGCAGGTAGTCTTCTTCGGGCTCATTCTCGTCGACTGTTGTGCGTGTGTGGAATGCCCGAGATGTGATGTCGTATTGGAGGAGTTTCTTGTAGACCAGGTTGACGATTGCGGGAATCAACTGCTTGATGTACTTATTGCCGGTCACCAGTGCTTCGACGTCGCCTGGAGATGAGCGTTAGTAACTGTGGCACGGCTTCTGCGAGAGGGCCACGGTGGGAACCTACTGGAGTTGAAATCGAGGAAATCATGAAGGTACTTGATTCGCTCCTCCAAGCTTGTGTAAAGCAACTTCCGGTCGACGTGCTTGGGCTCAGACCCCAATGGCATACTGCGCTCCATAGTCGGAAGAGTGTCGCAAGACTGTCTGGGTGTAGACTGCTGCTTTTGAATGTACTCAACGCCCTCCATGGATACTTCGATGTATTAAAGAGATTTAGAAAAGAGGTATATGAGTGAGAGAATATCGGAAGCTTGAAGCTGAGAAAAAAAATAAAACCGGGGTTCCTCGTGGCAAACTCGTGGCGGATGGAGTATTTATACGTAGCAGTCGATGCAATGACACCCCGTTAGAATCCTCCGTACACCGTTCTTTTTATATGATATGTAACACGATTAGATTGGAAGCCACCAAACTGTAAAACACACCCTATTGAGGATCCGCAGTACGCAACCCTGGAAACCGAGAGTCCGTGAAACGTAGCTCGAAAAGCGATCTTACCCGATTTCAGGCGAGTACAATATCAAGCCGAGGCGAGATGACTTCGGTTTGCGTGAGTAAAGTGCACATGGTCGAATCAGACCACAGTACGGAGTATTAAATTATGGAATCGATTCCCCCGAAGTAGAAGGTTAACCTAGGCATGTGTGGGCTGATCCTTTCGGTGAGGTCTCCTCCACCAAGCTAAGGAAAAAAAAAAAAAAGAGCGACACGCGAACAAGTGCCAAAAACGGCAAAGATCTATGCTATGCTTGTGGTACTCGATAATCTGAAACTATAGGTGTACTGGCCTTGAAACGCAGGATTCCCATCTCTGGCAAGCCGGCTGGCCATGGGACCTCTTTCTATCACCGTATACATATTCCTTTATGGTCGCTATATGGTTCCCCGGCATTTTCAACATCTACAACATCGAGATTAGGACGGCAAATAGCCCCATGAACTGGTGCTTACTGGTGTCAGCAGAGCAAATTAATATTATATTGAAAATGGATATATCGGCATTTGTATCTACTTCCCGCTGACTGGCTAGAGTGCCTAGGAGCTCCGCTACGGTCCCAACGGGTTTCGCTTGAAAGCCGGAACGAAGTGGGTTTCAATTTCGGGTCCGACTGATGTTGTGGGCCTACTGCTATGTATCTGGATGAATGTACGGAATACGGAGTAGACGTTGCAATATTAATAGATATGTACGGCGCAGCTGCATCTCGGGGAAAGCAGTTCGCTGATCAGAGGCTTAATTGAAAGGATTGAGATTGAAATCACCAACCTCGAACCTTAACTAAAAACTACATCGCGGCAATGCATTCATCTCCCAAAGTCATCTCAACGCCCCCTTAATCATTTCATCTTCTAGAATCCACCGAACTGGTGGTCGGGTGGGTCCGTAATAACACGGATGCAGAACAATAGTAGGGAGCAATCGGAGCTAAGGGGCGATAGTAAGGAAAAATCAGCACACACTTGCATATCGAATCTCGGACTGACTCTAAAGTCCGCTACTAAGATTTCGCTAAACCCAAAAACTTCCGTCGGGTGATAGACGTGGCCTGACCAAAGCCCCGATTCGGATCGGCTGTCTGGGCTTGTGGATATGGTCTGATCTGGAAATTATCCTCCGATGGAAAAAATTTTCGCAAAAGGGGGCCAGAAAAAAGAAACAAGGAAGCGGGCCGAATCTTGTGAAAGCTTTGATTCTGTTAATTCTCCGAAGCAATTCCTTCTACTCCGTATGGAGTACGCCGTTGGATATTGCACGTTGTATTCCGTAACTGTATGTAGATCAGAGGGGCAGTTGCTTTCTTCACCCTGGCAGATCCGGTCAATCTGAGACGTTTCTCAAACAGCCGAATAGGCGATCACTGCCACTTTACTGTGCCGTCCGAAATCCAGGGTCTAGAACCGACGTCTTTTGGCCCCATTTGGAGAGACTCAGTCCCCACGGTATCAATCGTTCCATGTTCGCCGTCCTCCTGAGCCAATCTAATTTACTTTCCGGGAGATGACAGCCGCTGTCGGCGGTTTGACAGCGGCCACGGCGGCTATCGGGGCTCAGCGGAGTTTGTAGCCAGTCAAGATGTCATGTGATATTCGGAATCGAGAGCAGACTGTGAGATCTGGGCTTCAGTATGTTGTACAAAGATATACTCAGGTCGACAATTTCAATCTGAATCCCATCATGAATGTCTGTGGGGATAAATGAATTATGAGCCAATATAAAAAAAAAACTATATACACCGGACTCATCACATTCATCGAAAAAACAAGGCTTGGATGACGTGGCATATCCACTAGATTCATTATTCATGAGCTTGCCGTGGTAGCCTTGCTCCGTGCGGCGGCGGCGGCATAAAGCGCTTTGATATCCGCCTGCCACTGCTCCACGTCGACTCTTGCCAAGCGACGGTCGTAAGTCATGAGGCCGTTGACCTCGCCCTCGACATCGGTCGTCTGAGTCCAGACGCCTCCACTACACGCGTAGAGACGGGTCTGCTCCTCGAGCTCACCGAGCAGGATGTGACTGCGATAATTCCACGCCTCGATGGTGGCGTCGATTTCGTAGGTTTGATCAATAGTATCGATGGCTGCCTGGTTATTCCAGAGATGTTCGATGGAGACATTAGTCCCGATGCCGCCGAATTCACCTTGGAACCCAATGCGGGTTGGGTCGTAAGGACTTGACGGTGTGGAATAGAATGGTGTGCCACATTGTGGATTCGCGTAGTGGTGATTGTCCTGAGCAATATTAATATGTAACACACACGTGGATTTCTTCACGGGAAGGCATACGCTAAAGTCTCCAGCGCCGTGGTCGATCCAGCCGCTCGTCGAGTCCACGAGCCGAGTGGGGTCAAGTTGTCTAACCCGCTCCGTCAGCTCAAACTCGGGGTAGTAATGTGTGAGCTGCCCCCAGCCTTCGTTGTAAATAACCTGCAGAATATTAGTTATTAAAAATAACGTACCATGCCAAGCGCCTCGACTTACCCAAGTTACGATACTGGGGTAGCTCTTGAGCTGGTTAATCATCACGTCCAACTGGCGTGCGAACTCGGTCTGCTGTTCTGCGTTCGGTACCACGGAGTGCAGGCGCAAGGATGGCATGTCCTGGATTACCAGCAGACCCAGCTCGTCACATGCTTGATAAAATAGGTCGGTCTCAACTTTGATCTGCGTTTTGATAGGTATGAGTGGGGGAATTATCTTGGAGAAATATCAGATATGACGTGACGCGGGGAGTACTCACATGTTTGCGGACCATATTGAATCCCAGCTTCTTCAGCATCTGCAAATCGTACACCATCGCCTCCCGATTCGGAGGTGTGTATAGTCCATCGGGCCAATAGCCTTGGTCCAGAGTGCCAAACATGAAAATGAATTCTCCGTTGAGCAAGGGTCGCTCAACCCCGTCGACCTTGGCCCTAGAGATTGTACGGAAACCAGTATAACTCTCTACCTTGTCTTTGCCCAATTTGACAGTCACATTGTACAGAGTCGGCGAGTCTGGAGACCAGAGCTTGGGTGAAGACACGGTGAACTGGAATGGCTTGTTGGTGGGGCCCTTGTGGGTGGCAACGGTTTTTCCATCTTTGTGGACAGTAACCTCTGCCTGGGCAGAGGAGTCCTTGGCAGAACTGTGCACAGTGATGTTTACTGTATGCGGTCAGAATGGATCCAGCATTTTCCTCTATTGACACCAAACACTTACCTTGACCGTCCATGTTTGCGTCGAGATCCAATTGGGTGATATGATTGGATGGAGCCGCCTCAAGCCACACAGATTGCCAAATTCCACTGCATGGGGTATAAAAGATGTGACTCGGTCTCAGGGTCTGCTTTCCAATGGGAATGACATAGTCGCCACTATCGGTAGGATCATGCACAAAAACAAGTCTGTGTGTACAAGTTAGATATGCAGTTGGCGGGTTACCTTCGATCCTTGGGATACTCACAGCTCATTCTGCTGATTGAACTTCAGGTATTTTGTCACATCCACGGCAAATCGGGAAAAGCCACCACGGTGGAAGCCTGCTTGCTTGCCATTCACAAAAACTGTAGCCTCATAATCTACGGCTCCAAAATTGACCACTACCTGCTCACCCTTCCAAGAGGAAGCTACCTCGAAAGAGGTCGAAAACCACGAGTACAAGGCCGATTCAGCTTGGATTCCTGTGGATCTTGGTCAAAGAGTGAAAATGACATGGCAAACAGGGTAAGACCTACCAGACAATCCACTCTCAAGACACGATGGAATCAGCACATCCTGTTCAAGCTCCTGCCCAAAAGGCGGGCTTTGAACAGCATTAAGGCCAGAGGCACTTTGGTATTTCCACACGCCATTGAGGTTCTTCCATTGAGAGCGCTGCAGCAACGGCCTAGGATATTCAGGCCAGGGGTTCGTTCCGACCTTATCAGTCCACGGGGTGGTCAAAGGAGGCTCTTTGGGACTGTAGCCCGCACTACTGCGAGGCTTAATTGCAGGGTTTTGGATAACCTCACTGCTGGGCAACGCTAGACCAGTCGCCACCAAGCAGGAGATCACAAAACTCCGAGTCAAATGCATGTTGATCAGGGACACTCAGATCGTCTGATAAGAGTACACGCACACGACTATGACAGGGCCGAAGATCTTCGGATTACAATGTCACATTCTGAGCATGATTGGGTTAGTGCCTGGATTTAAATACATCGGATCTCGCGCACGCGGGAGTCTCAGACTCATGGCACGGTGCTTCCCTGCATACGAGCAAGAAAGCACAACGGGATCGACTCTCAAGCCCCTTGGACTCGGCCAAGCAACATCTCCAAGGGCAGTAGCATGCTCACTTGGCAGAGACACCTCCACAAGGGCTAGTCAACCCCGCAGCAAGCATGCAGGAAGCCCCGAAATTCCACCATGAGTGTGTCGGTCGCTGGCTGGACCCCGATCACAGGGGAGTGTCGGCCAATGCTTGGCATTATTGGCAATGATGGTGCCAAGAGAGCCGACGGGCAGCAATGATGTCGATTTGCAGATGGTAAACACAAACCTCATCGAAGGGAATTGAGCTGTGACCAAGGATCTCTCAGCACTCAATCGTCGGTTCGATATGGGACAAACCGGAATTATCAGGTGTGCGCTGACACGCTTGGTGCATCAGGTCGGCAGTATTCACGAGCTAATTTCATGTCCGAGTGCAGAGAGTGACAAATACATCGATGATAGGTATTTAGTGGAGCATTTCTCCTAGGAAAACACCGATTCTAGCCTAATTGAGGATTTGTTCACGCGATGGAATGTTCGGTCGGTACCGACAGCTCTACGATGTTGTAATACTGCGAAAATTTCCAGGGTTCAGCGCCGATCGCAATACACGGGCGACAGGCAAGCTCTCTTGGATGTTTTACCCCAGGCATATGGAGTACAGTACTCGTGACAAAGAAAGTTGTGCTGTTTCATCCGCCCGATATGCAGCGCATATGCATGTCTAAGCCCAAGTCCAAGAATGAAGTCATATTCGGAATGGTAGGATCTTGCATATTTAATTCACCCAGCAAGGGTCGCGTTCACTGCTCAATCCCTTGCGTCTGCTTTCCATGGCCCTCCAGCGTCCCCGCTCCGAGTGGGATACTCAAAGGCCCTTCAAGACCATGATCTGATGACATCCGTAAATCCATATTACATCACATTTTTCATCAACTCTTCACGAAACCCGCACCACCCCGCTGTCTCCCGCCAACGTGGTAGCTTGAGGTTGTATCAGCATTCAGTATAAGAGTAAACTGCCCACTCCGACCCCTCAAGGCTGGCTTGGCGTGGCGATCTCGTCTTCTCGATTGGTGGGAAGACTTCGGCTTATTGCTGCCGCCTAAGCTCAGGGCTATGGCTGGTTTTTGGGGCTTTTGATCTTCTTTCCCCGCGTGTAAAGAGCGGGGTCTGCCAGATTGAGACACGTGCTGGACTTGGATCATCAGGAAAGTCCCGCATTGTTACCTCAATACAACATAGAAGATGAATCAATCTTCTCGGATATCGTTATATCGTTAGGGGAAAATTCCGGCGGGTCACGTTCACCAATATCTTCCCTGGGAGACTCCATTGTGTGTTAGCTATTTACCCGACCCAAAACTCACCCCTGGCATGGCCATAAAAGCGCCATACTTGCCGAGACAAAGTCTTGGTCCAGCGCAAGAGAGGAGACGTATTTGCGGTCCACTGTTGTGGATTAAGATTACTGAGGAACCACGCAGATTATGAGGTGTACCTGAGAATGTGGGAAAACTAAAAATTGCCTGTTGCGTTAAGAATATAACCAATTGCCAACGTAGTAAAATAAGCCACTTCGGTCGAAAACCAAAGATTGGTCTGTTTTGATCATCAGCACCTGGGCCGGGATATTCTATACGTGCGGGTAGCCGATTGTCCGTTCCGGCGACGGTTGCACATGGCTAAGATATACCGCGGCAGATCTCTTCTACAACATGGATGTTCAAAGACAATGACTTCGGGATGGTGGGCAGCCCTGAAAGGTTGCTCCGATCCAAACCCCATGTAACAGGTCTGCGTACAGACCAATGTTCTATAGACGTGACTGTTGATTTTGAAACATGCTCTAGCTGCGGCCAGAGAGCAATTATCTGGGCAGTTCCAAGCATCCACAGGGGAATGCTATCGACTGAGGATATTCGAAATCTAACCAGAGTCATTGATCAAACATAACACCGTGCCAAGCTTCTGAAAATGGTGCCAGCCAGCTGGATTATAATATAACGTTTGACAAGGAATCCACACAAAGACACGAATACATAGCAAGCTCAGTATATCTGCAAGGCAACAACACGCAAAACATATGTATGTAATCTTCTTCATATGAGCGCAGACCTCAGATATCTGTAGCCTGACTAATCTCGGTGCAACACATCGGGATCTATTTGATATCGGGATTTGGGCGAAAGGTGAAACAACCCGACCAGTACCACCCGGGATCAGAGATCCGGTCACTGAGACTGATAGAAGACAGTTCTTCCATGGCGTGATTTGAATTAGAGTGAGCCCTAACAAACCCCGGGCTCATTCTATTCGTGCTTATGTGCAGATAGTTGAGCCTCCGGGAACTGTCCTATGGCCTGATACCATATCGAAGCAAACCCCGGGTTGGTCGCCAGGAGCATTGACGCTGGGCTTTGCTACTCAAGGTTATGGTCATCTCCATAGAGTCTCGAAATATTGCCCGACTCCGAGAGCTTCCGGATCTCATGATGTTGGCCTTTGTATCGGGGTTTGGGGCGGTCATTGTTTCGAACAAGAGTGCCTGAAAAGTTATAAATTGAAGCTGTTCCTGGGATTGAGAAGATTCTCAGTATCAAAAGCAAGATTCAAAGCAAACCACCTAGCCTCAACAACCAAAACCAACTTTTCAATATGGTCCCCGTTCTCAAGAAGTACAAGGCCGCTGCAGTCAATGCTGAGCCCGGTTGGTTCGACCTGCAAGAATCCGTTCGGCGAACCATCCACTGGATCAATGAAGCAGGGAATGCAGGCTGCAAGCTGATTGCTTTCCCGGAGCTGTGTCCGTATCCTATCTCACCAATCCAATATAATACCACTAACGAGTATAAACAGGGATCCCGGGCTATCCATACTGGGCTTGGAAGGTGAACTACCAGGAGAGCTTGCCACTCCTGAAGAAGTATCGCGAAAACAGTCTTCCCTCGAACTCGGATGAAATACGTCGCATCCGCGAAGCAGCCAAAGCTAACAAGATTTGGGTGTCTCTCGGATACTCGGAGCTCGATCTCGCCAGCTTGTACACGACGCAGATTATGATCAGCCCAGCCGGGGATGTCATCAATCATCGTCGCAAAATCAAGGCCACCCATGTTGAGCGCCTTATTTTCGGTGACGGCACCGGTGACACCACCGAGTCAGTCATGGAGACTGAGATCGGCCGCATTGGACATCTGAACTGCTGGGAAAACATGAACCCTTTCCTGAAGGCATATGCCGCCTCACTTGGTGAGCAGGTGCACATCGCTGCCTGGCCTCTCTATCCCGGGAAAGAGACCCTCAAGTACCCGGACCCATATACTAATGTGGCCGAAGCAAATGCAGATGTATCTTCCCTTTTACCTATTTTTGGATGGTTGATCTGATTGCTGACAAGATGGCACAGCTTGTTACACCTGCGTATGCTATTGAAACCGGGTCGTTCACTCTAGCTCCATGGCAGACAATTACCGCGGAAGGAATCAAGCTCAATACGCCTCCCGGGAAGGAGCTTGAGGATCCCAACATTTATAATGGAAATGGCCGCATCTTTGGGCCCGATGGGCAGAACCTGGTCCCTCACCCCGACAAGGACTTCCAAGGACTCCTTTTCGTTGATGTACGTTTTTTTTTTTTTTTTGTTTTGTTTTTTGTTCTCTGATGTTACTCATACTGATTGATCGTTAACCAGATTGACCTCGACGAGATCCATCTGACCAAGTCTTTGGCTGATTTCGGTGGCCACTACATGCGACCAGACTTGATCCGTCTTCTTGTTGACACCAACCGCAAGGACTTGATTGTTCACGAGGACAGAGTCAATGGTGGCATTGCTTATAGCCGGACTATTGACCGGGTCGGACTTTCTAGTCCTTTGAATGTCTTGGCTACTGAGGTTCAACCTGAGAGCAGCTAGAGATTTCCACTGAAATCAGAGAAACATGCATGCACTGAGTGACTTGGGAGATGTCTCAGATCATGATATTTAACTACCAGATGCGTGAAACATTAGAATCCGTATTTTGCTTTGTTGATTGATCTCACATTCCTGAAGATACTGTCTTGCGTAAGTTCCAAGTTATAGACCCACGGTCCCACAAGCTCCAGGTACCATGCGTAAGCCCAGGCTCTATCCGAATCGTCGACGGGCCGCTAAACAGGATGGAGGCTTAGGATATGAGCCCCTGCATGAGACAGATGTAGGAATTTAAAGGTGATCCTTGCGGCAGAAAAACATACGTCATAAGACCGGGTGTTTGGTAGACACGATACACTTGTCGCCGGAAACGGAAATGCCGACAACAGATCTCAGTCCCTCACAACTCAATTTTGTTCGAAGGCCTTGTCTACAAGGGCTTTGTCGCGGGTAAAAATCATGAGGATGGTTATGCCAGTATGCATAGAACAAGTAGTTTACACAGCTCCCACCATTCCTACCATAAACTCTGTGTCCTAGAAATCATAACACCCCCAGTATATGCGTGTCTTGGTCCCTGGATCCTTTTTTCTGCCCACATTACTCCGTACATAGCTTGCAAATTGAAGCTGGGAGTCTAGAAGCTCCCAAGAAATCACATTCCGCAAGGGATGTCGGAGTATCGGCCACGTGCTGATCACCCTCGCCTCACGGAATGTGGCCCTGCAAACGGATTCTTCCCGTAGATTAGGGGTTTGGACATGTAGTGTCCGCTGTCTGGTCGATATTGAAAGGGTCTGGCCCAGTTACCAATGGTAGCGAGCTCAAGGAATCCTAGTATCGCGAGAGGGCAGTGGGTCGAGGCTTCCTCGGATATCTTGTTGTCGTGGTTTCCGCTGTTGACGAAAATAAAAAAAAAAAAACATATAGTGACGAATGAGCCGCTTCCAACGTGCTTTGTATCTTGTCCTCCATTTTCTCACGTGTTTCCCGCTTTGCCAAACAATCCAGACCTAATCCATATTCTTTGTGACATTCGACTCCGTGGCATTGAAAAAGAGGCGTTCTGGTCTCCACTGCCCGGAGTGAGCTTAGGCATTCTTACCCTTGTCCGACGAAGAAAGCCATTGTGTCTTTATCAACCCCAGACCCCAAGCCATCTCGACCCACCCCCGGCTGTTTTCGGCCAATCCACCTGCCTCTCTAGAGTCAAACGATTTGATCGCGACCACTGCAAGTAAGCTTTCCATACAGATGTGTTACTTTTGCTTTTGTTTCTTGTGCGGATTGTCGCCCTCGTCCGAGTAACCTCTCGTTTGTCTGCATCCGGCCACCTGATCAACCACCTATCACCATAGACTTACTTATAGCACCTGACTTCCATGCAATCAATCCCAATCCTCATCATTCCTCATTCCCAACCTCCAATCACCTGAGTTTATCCAGGTCTGACTAAGTTAGGTCTTTTCAACATGCCGTCCATGTCCAAATTCGTGCAGAAGACCGTGCTCGGACTGTCTTTGTTGGCAGCCTTGGTGCAGGCCAGACCTTCGGCGTAAGTAATAGATCAAAATATCAACTTTCTAAGGGTCTACAAGCAAGGCTAACTTGTCATATAGTAATCTCAACTTCAACTATGGTTCCGAAAAGGTCCGCGGTGTCAACCTAGGTGGTTGGCTTGTGTTGGAGCCTTGGATTACGCCATCTATTTTCGACGCCGTTGGGGATTCTGCCGTTGATGAGTGGTCTCTTTGTCAGATTCTAGGGGCGGATGAATGCCGCTCTGTCCTCTCTCAGCACTGGCGCAGTTTTATCACCGCGGAGGACTTGAACCAAATCGCCAGGGCTGGAATGAACCATGTTAGAATCCCTGTGGGTTACTGGGCTCTCAGGCATTTGAATGGTGATCCATATGTCGACGGTCAGCTGGAGTTCCTTGATCAAGCCATCGGCTGGGCCCGCTCTGCTGGGCTGAAGGTTATGCTTGACTTGCACGGAGGTGAGTTTTCTTCGTTTTTGTTATTTTCCGTTCACATACTATTGGACGATATCTGACCCAGCAACAGCTCCTGGCTCTCAGAATGGCTTTGACAACAGTGGAAAGCGCGGTAGTGTTCAGTGGCAGCAGGGTGATACAGTTGAAAACACCAAGGAAGCACTTAAGGCGTTGGCTGCGCGCTACCAAGGTGACGGAGACGTTGTGACTGCGATCGAGGCATTGAACGAGCCCAGTATCCCTGCTGGTGTTAATCGGGCTGGTCTGGAGCAGTACTACTACGACTCATGGGGCGTCATTCGTGAGGCAAGCCAGGATACTACACTTGTCATTCACGACGGGTTCATGCCCACTGAATCCTGGAACGGTTTCATGAGCCAGTCCTCCGGTGTTTGGTTTGTGATGATGGACACTCACCACTATGAAGTGTTTGACAATGGTATTCTTACCGCAGACACCAATGGCCACATCAGCAACGTCTGCAGCTTTGCCAATGACCATGTTAAGACTTCCGATAAATGGACTGTTGTGGGTGAATGGACCGGTGCTATGACTGATTGCGCCAGGCACCTGAATGGAAAGGGTGTTGGTGCTCGCTATGACGGTACGTTCCCTGGTAGCCAGGCGATCGGCAGCTGCGCGGGCAAGTCTACTGGATCTGTGGGCGCTATGTCGGAGACTGATCGAGCCAACACCCGTCGCTTCATTGAAGGCCAGCTCGACGCCTATGAGAAGGGTACTGGCTGGATCTACTGGACCTGGAAGACTGAGGGTGCTCCCGAATGGGATATGCAAGAGCAAATCGTTGCCGGTGTCTTCCCCAGCCCTGTTACTAGCCGTCAATACCCCAGTCAGTGCTAAGCGCGACTATGCATGTGTTTTTTCGTTCGCTTTCCTTCTTTTGTGAGTATAGCATATTGCATGCTATGCGTTTCCTATTCGGATTCCCTTCTTGATATTTGTTTCACTGAGCTTGCGTGTGAGCGGGATAATTCCAGGTGTTATGGAGTGTTTTATTTCTTAGGCTTTCTGACTCGGTCAGACATTGTGAATTCAAGAAATTGATTATTTCTTCTCTTATTTCTTCTCTTGTTTCTTCTCTTCTTTCTTTACTCCACTTGGTAGTCTCCCTTTCGGTTCGCGGACTCGAGCCAGTCTCGGAATCGAGCAGGTTTATGCTTCCGCACTATTCTTTGCTGTAACTTATCGCTGGACTAGTGGGGGATTTTTGCAGCGGTCTATATTACTACCTGGTATAAGTCGTTATGTTTTGGTGTCATAGTAATGTATAGTTCTGCGAGGGAAAGCGTTCACGCCTATCTGCTTATGTCCCTCCATCCAAGGGGTTATGCGGGAAATATATATAGCGACCACACATCGGTTTCTCTCTCGTTTCCCACAGAATATAACTGAATATTGAATTTATACAAGTCCATTTTACCAGTACTCAGACAGTACCACACGAAAGCCTATTGTTCATAGGACTGTCCAATGCTTTTAAGATGTAGGAGTAAAAACGCGTAAAGGAAACTGTATCGGAGTACTATAAGTTAATATATCTATTTAGGGCAGCTCCTTCCATCAAATTGGGCTTGTGGTTTAGTGGTATAATACTCCGTTAGCATGGGAGTGGTCCGGGGTTCGATTCCCCGCGAGTCCATTTTTTTGTGCTTTTGCTTTTGCTCTTTCGACCGTTGTTCCGATAAGGTCATTAGAGAGGAGGCATTTTTTTTGAACCAAGTATATCAAACAGGTGCTGAATACGTCAGCCGATGCACCACGGAGTACGGAGTATCTCGCATGGCAAACAGCGATATTATCAGTCTGCCAAGTCCCACCGATCGGCCCAAAGATCCTCAGACAAGACCGCGAAGCCACTCCTTGGAAAGCTTGGCATCAGAATCTAAACCGAATGGCACCAGTATGGGATTTTAGATTATACTGACTATGAATAGCTGTATAGTATCACATCGTGCACGCCAAATCTAGCCGTGGAAGGTAACAACCGGGAGCATGATCCACGAGGCGTGCGATGCATCTTCGAGGTTTATGCCAGGGGCTTGAGCCAGAGAGGTAAAACTACCTAGATACATCGTACTCGTCGTTTCCACGTCATGCCGATGCTACCGCTGCAACCCGGTCATTCCCAATCTGCTCCGTACAGTCAGGCAACATCTTTCACCCAAGCGGGGCTGTAGCCTGCTGTGCAGGCCACAATGCTTACGGAGTAGCCGACGCCCAAACACGGGGATAAGAGGTATCCCAGGCCAATAGAAAGCTATCCCCGCTTCTCATACACGGAGCTCGATATCCCGAATTGATTGATAGATGTCGATCTCTCCGGAATCCGTCGCCCCGTCCGGCCCAGGTGATATCTGTGCACTGGTTGCCTCAATTTGTTCCGGCAATAACCATTTGTGAAGTCCATGTCCACAGCACTCCGTATTGTTGGATACATAAGTTAACATCAAACGATGGATTCATTGAAACGCAGATCATGGGCGTAAAGAAATAACATGGATTCACGAGTAACCTTCCGTTTCCGGTGTTGACCCCGCCTGCGATGGCCGAAGCCGATATCAGTGGACGTGCGCTGTCGACAGGGATTAATGGCGCAGAGGTAGGGACAGTAGCCTGGACACAAGCATTTCTTCCAATTATTTGATTCAAGCTTTTTGAGTTTGACGAGGAGATATTCTGTTAATCTCAGCCAACTTCCACGGTCAGGGGTTATTGGGTTTGTATTTCCCTCACCCGGTGTATATAATTGTCCTCCCCTCCTCGAAGATAAGCCGACATATACCATTTACACCATACTGGCTAGTTCAGGATGTTGCTCAAATCAGTCCTGACGTCCGCTCTCCTAGCACTTTCGCTAGGATCGGATGTGGCAACAGCTGTAAAGCATGGACGCTTCGCAGAGAAATCTCGTGCGCCACAGGAGAAGGCGAAACGAGCAATTGAAGCTCGTAACCACCACCACGAGAAATCAGATGAGAGCTATCGTTTCTTGAACAAGAAGACTAAGCGTGAGTATCGGAGTTGATTGTTGTCAGCAGCTATACTGATCAAACTATAGCATACTTGGTGGACTCGCTGCCCGATGTTCCGTTCGATATCGGCGAGATGTATTCCGGTCTGGTGCCGATTGATATGGATAATAGCTCGAGAGCGCTGTTTTTTATTTTCCAACCTACTATCAACGAGCCTGTCGACGAAGTAACCATCTGGCTTAACGGGGGCCCGGGGTGTAGTTCGATGGAGAGTTTCTTGCAGGAGACTGGCCGGTTCTTATGGCAGCCTGGTACTTTTGCTCCGGTGGAAAACCCGTATGCTTGGGTTAATCTGACCAACGTGCTGTGGTGAGTACAAAAACGATAAAAAAAAAAACATAAACTTACTAACATTTCGCAGGGTCGACCAGCCTGTCGGAACAGGCTATTCTATCGGCACGCCTACCGCCGACTCCCAGGAAGAAACAGCACAGGACTTTGTCAAGTTCTTCAAAAACTTCCAGAAAATCTTTGGGATCAAGAACTTTAAGATCTATGTCACTGGTGAGAGTTATGCCGGAAGATATGTGCCCTATATCTCGGCTGCAATGCTGGATGAAGATGACAAGGAGTACTTTGATCTTGATGGTGAGTACTTCTGGATTCAAAATTTTCTGATGATTGGTCTGATCATTTATCAGGTGCATTGGCATATGACCCATGCATTGGACAATTCGACTACGTGCAGGAACAAGTGCCTGTTGTCCCCTTTGTCCAGGAGAACGCAAACCTATTCAACTTCAATAAATCCTTGATGGCAGAGCTAGAAGCGAAGCATAAATCCTGCGGATATGAGGAATTCATCGACAAGTACCTCACTTTCCCACCCCCGAAGTCCAGCCGCCTAAAATGTTCAATTACACCTCGGACGCTGATTGCGACCTGTTCGATCTTGTCTACAATGAAATCTTCCACATCAACCCATGCTTCGATCTCTATGAGATAAACCTGATGTGCCCGCTCCTCTGGGACGTCCTCGCCTTCCCCACCTCCCTCGACTACCAAGCACCAGGAGCAAGCGTCTACTTCGACCGCGCAGACGTCAAGCGCGCTCTACACGCACCTAAAAGGGACTGGCACGGATGCTCCGTAGACCCAGTGTTCATCGGCGGCGACGCCGGCCCAGAGCAAGAAGGCGACATTTCAGCAAACCCCATTGAACACGTCTTGCCGCAGGTAATCGAAGCCACCAATCGCGTCCTTATTAGCAACGGCGACTTTGACATGGTTATCATCACCAACGGTACGCTCCTAGCTATCCAAAACATGACCTGGAACGGCCATCTTGGGTTCCAGGAGAAGCCCGAAACGGCGATCGATATCAAAATGGTAGATCTCATGTACGCCGATGTCTTTGCTGAGAATGGTGCTTCCGAGCTGGATGGTCCCCAGGGGATTATGGGGATTCAGCATTATGAGCGTGGCTTGATGTGGGCTCAGAGTTATCAGGCTGGTCATATGCAGCCTCAGTATCAGCCTCGCGTGGCTTATCGTCATCTCGAATGGGTGCTCCGGCGCACGGAGGAACTCTAATGGTCATGTCTACAGAAGCTGGTGTAGTTGACTCTTGGATATGACTGAGTATATAACAGGATCTTCGCAGTGGAAACGATGAAATATGTTATATTCCTTGGATAGATCGCTCATCTACCATGTGCATCACCCCGGAAGTGAAAAATGACTTGCATTAGATCACCCCCATCCTGATTAGAGTTGACAACATGCATAAGCTGTCGACCTATTGAAGTCAAGCTCTACTCCGTCTAACGCCGGTGCTAGTATTTTCTAATTGTCATAATCACCGGGGGCTTAATTGCCATTCGGCAATAGCTCGGAAACCCATCTTATTTCCTCTCTTCTCCCATCGGAGGTTAAGTGTGAGCACTACTTGGGCTTTCGGTAAATAACAGATAAAACTCGTTAGCAAATAGCTATGTTTTCGGTGACTGCAACAAGCCAACTTCTCGTGCCAAGAGATAGGGTGGTTTTTAGGTTGTCGTTTAGCAAGAAGACCTTTTAGCAATCGGAGAGTTTGATTACCACCTCTTATTGTGGCCTAGTTGAAATGAGACTGTCTAGCCTCTTTTGATTAGCTCTTCATTTACATAGAGTACCTGAGTCACTGGTGGGCTAGGGATCTCCTTCCGCCTGTTACATAGTCGAACGGGCATTTTGTCGCGATCGGCAGGCGGCTTGTTTAATTTAATTGCGGCCGAGCTTGAGAGAGAAGACTTGCAAGGTAGCAAGATTTCAGATACATATCGATTTATAGAGTTCGTATTTAGTCAAAAGCCGTACATAATGCACTGGCTATCGCTAACCGCCAATGGGGCTTGCGCAGTGTGGAGTTGGATATTTAGTTGGGACTCTAGTCAAATGCCGTAGTTAGTGAAAAGTAACACTTTCGGCTATTAACCGGCCCCTAAAATTTTATACCAAAATTACGGACCCTCGCAAGCGAGGGTCCGCCACCCAAACCGTACATCCCACCCAAACCGTACATTCTTCCTACATTTTACCTTAACTACCATTTTCTATATAATAATATAGGAAATTAATAGTTTAAAAATCATAGATAAATCAATTCACCATTTGACTATTAGTATATAAGATTATATCAATTTCCCTTACGTTTTTGTGCTCGCCCATGCTTCCTGATTTCGATCAACACCTTCTTCCACTTCCGCCTCGTTTTATCTTAATTAGCTTTCTTAGTCAATTTGAACTCTTTTCGCTTTATCTCTTTGACTTAGGATGAGTTAATAATACCAGTTATCTAGGTATAGCGCCGAGAAGTATTATATCGGGCGTGGCGAGCACCTATAATAGCACTTATTAAGTCGAATTCCCGCTGTAGTTCGTGAGCTAGTATAGCTTACACTTTAGCACACTTTTAAAGCTTTTCTAGTGCCCTTTTGAACCTCTAACTCCCCGGATCTAACTAGTTAAGCTAGTCGCTTATCCTTCTTACTTTACTAGTAGTTTTTAGAGTACTAAACTCAGAGTTTTAGGAGGTAGTTAAGGGTGTTCTCGACTAAGGGAGATTATTATTATATAGATTATAAGACTCTAACTTATCCGTAATAAGCTTAGAATTAATAGGCTAAAGGCTAGTTAATTTAAACCTAAGCTTAATTATATTCGGCTAGAAGGTTTTTCGTCTAATTTCTCTAATTAAGTATAAAAACTCGTCCTTTAAGAATTTACGGTATCTAGTTATTATAGTAGCTTCTATAGCCTTACTATACTAATATTTATATATACTAAATACCCCGATATTAAGAGGCTATAGTATATAACTAGTATACGAGAGTAAGAAGAATAAAATAATATTATTCTTCTTATAAAATTTAATAAATTAGCGTATTAAATACGACCTAAAACGGTTATATAAAATAAGTCTTTTCCTTCTAATTATTCGACTAATTATCTATTTATAGAAGAGTTAGATCTACTAATATACTAGAGTATTATTAATATATCCGGTATTAGTTATAGAAATATACTTATTACCTTTAATAATATTAAACTAGCGTAGTAAAGCCTATCGAGTACTTAGAATTATAAGTAGTAGATAGGTAAAACTATTAGTAGAAACTACCTCTAAAATAGTAATAGATTTATAATTAGTAATAGATCTATTAAATAGCTTCTTTTTTAGATACCTAATAATAATAAATTAATTACGTCCGACACTAATTTAAAAGCTAGTTTTATCGAAATTATAGATATCTTATTAGTATATACTATATTTAGATATAACGCGCTAATAATTATTAAACTATCTCTTAACTATAGTTTTGTTAAGTGTAGTAGCTCGCTTAATATTAAGAGCTCGCCGTCGTCGTATATAGTACTTAGGATTGCGTTTAAGGAAGCGTTATAGCTAGTAGTCACTAATTATTAGAGGTGCTATAGTTTTATTATAATAGTCTTCTTCGAGAATTAAATTGGCTACTATAGTAATTTAACGGCGGTTTATCGAGGCTCCGACCGTATCAAAGTAGTCGATATAGTCCCGCAAAGCTTACTCCTATGTAGGATTAAGCTTCCGACCATTAGGTTATCGTTGAAAAAGCGACTTTCCTCCTTTCTAGCGGTGTCGTAGTCGGTTCATAGGAACCGCGAATTCTCGCGCAGTTTTCGCGATATTAGGTTTAGACTGCTTAGAGAGAGACTCGAGAGCTTTGAGAAGCTGATCCTCTATCTCCTTATTGTTTTTAGGCATTTTTAGTGGTATGGTTTATGATCAAAGTGAGAGGGTAGGATATGGAAAGAATGTACGGTTTGGGTGGGATGTACGGTTTAGGTGGCGGACCCTCGCTTGCGAGGGTCCGTAATTTTGGTATAAAATTTTAGGGGCCGGTTAGTGCACGACTTGAACAATTTTTGAAAGTTTCGTTATTTTTTTTTAGTTCATCTGCCTTGAGAAAGGTGTTCAGCTGTGGCAACAAATGCTGTAGTTATATAGAAGTTGGAGTTTATTGTACTTCCAAGGGACTTCAATACAATATCACATCATGGAAGTAACTTCTGTACCTAAATCAGCACGATGTAGGGCTATCGGAGGAAATCATTTGGACCGGAGCATCTCCGTAGTCCGTAGTCCGTAGTCCAGAAACAAGTACTCCATAGCGAAAGGTTAATTAGCAAACAAAAACATATCCCTCAGTGGAGTTCCATTTTTACAGAGTTTTGTGCCTGGATTTACTTTGCTAATAGACTTTCGCTTCGGATATCTTCCAGGTCTTGTTTTAGCCGAGAGTCATTCCCAACACAATGAACTCGATACAATCGGAGGACAGCTCTCTATCTCTCGGGAAGCCAAGTAGAGGAGCCGTGATCACCACTTGATAATATGGCCTCATCACCGAGCTTACCCTAGAATGGATGAAGGGGGTAATTTATCCGTGGAAAGCAACAAAACTACCACCCTTTTAGAGGGCTGTGATTGGTGTAGAGGGTCATTTCATTTTATGTGAGAATTGATCCCAACGATCATTCTGAATGCGGCATAGATGTACCTCCGCCAAGACTCATATTACGACCGGCGCGTCTCGAGCGCGAACGGCGCGCAGTGATTCGATGCTTTTTTCTTCTTTTTTTCTTCAGTAGGATCTGAGATTGTGGCGTCTGACTCATTTTTAACCTACAAAACCATATCTTCAATAGCCGAAGGGAACGAAAGAGTAAAGCACAAGGTGCGATCTATGGGGTAACAGCATGACGTTTCAGCTGGGACCTCGCATGCGGTTCCCTGATCTCAGGTACGGAGTACTCCATATTTTGCCCCCAAACAAGAGGACGGAGTACTCCGTATAACATCGGAGAGGCGAGGCACGTTGGGCTTCCGGCAAAAATTTTCCTGGTGGATCGTGAGGGCCAATGGGGCTCCTGCTTTAGCTTAACTCGCCATGCCCCGACTCTTTTGTTGATACAATATGTTACCAAGTTCTATGGCAACTGGTTGTGTTCTGATTCAATCCCTATATCTACCTACTTAGAGAAATCCCTGAGATTGAATAACATGTGCCCACACGAAGTATTATACCCCGTACTACCCAGGTCGTTGAACGAAGACCGTACTACAAATGAAGACCGTGCTACAGGGCTAAAAGCGGCCCTTAGTCACTAACGCCTGAGATTTCAAGCTATGCCCTGTGCGGATTTGAATTATATGAGATTTGCTTATATCAATACCCATTGCGTATATCGTACTCCTTGAGCAAGATCTAACATTCCTCTGCCACACATACATGTTAAGTGTTTAGGTATGTTCCAATGCTTTATGACTTACTACAGCCCAGAATGATATGTTCTACTCCAATATTCCATACTCCGCACCCCAGTTCCGGTCTGAAGTCCCATTTCCGGTACTATCATTACCATTTTGTATATGTATTTTATATCCTGTCAGATTGCTTTTCCTCGGAGTCCCGCTCTTCGGCCTCAGCCAATTATGGCTCTATCGCAGCTTGCACCATGAAAGTATTGGGGAAAAAAAGAAAGCAAAAAAAACCGGGAAGATGAGATGGGATGCGCCAAACGTGGTATATAGCAACTGTAGCATCCCACCTCATTCCCTTTTTTCTCTTTCCTTTTCCGTCAATCTTTCTACTCCCCTTCCCTCTTAACCCATCGAGAGGTAGAGCTATCCTTAGCTTGTCTCTACTTTTTTGTTCTGCTAGGACCTTGTTCCCTAGCTTCTCATCTCATATCTTTGAGGCCAAACCATTGATGCACTCTCTTGGATCCTTCCTGCTCACCTGAGATCAAAAAAAGAATTCGTCCCAAGGTATTCCACGCTATTCAGTAGCAAGCGATCTTGCATTCCCGAAACAATCCAGCGATTGCGACAAGTCGATAAAAGCCACCAGCAATCCGCAGTATTCATTGTCCTCGCGCCACTGTCTGCCCACAGCGAATTGCCCCGGATATCGAACCCCAGTGCAGCTCCACCCCCATCTGTAGAATTACCCTGAATCGGTTCACTTCTCCCTTGCGACATTTGAAACGATAGAGAACGTGCGAAAAGCGACAAGACCCGGAAAGTAACAACTCCCAGAAGAAAGAAAAAATCCAAAGCGCCAAATAAACCGCCATCATGGGATTCTCAAAATTCAACCCGTTTAAGACGGACAACCAAAACTTCCCCAGTGTTGTTATTCCTCTTGCCGATGCACCTGCCCACTCACCGGATCTCTCAGAGAAGGATAACAAGGGGTTTAATAGCGCTTCTTCTTCAGAAAATGGTGTCGCTTCGCCTAATGATTCGACCACTCTGACCCTCGAAGCCCTCCGCGCAGAAGTTGAGGCCGATATTGCCACATCTAGTCACGATTCTGCCTATGACCGTATGTTTCTCGTGTTCGTGGGGTTTCTTTCACATCTAATTCGATACAGGCAAGGCGAAGGTGATCAATAGGGCCCTGTCGGATATCGGCATGGGTAAATACCAGTGGCAACTGTTCTTCCTTTGCGGATTTGGTTGGACTGCAGACAAGTAAGTTGATATTTGAGACAGCTGGACAGATTTGATCAGATTACTAACAATTTCTTCAGCCTCTGGCTTCAGGTGAGAAATTGATGCTCAAACTAGATCATTTCGGAATTAACCATCTCTGTAGGGAGTTGCCCTAACCCTGACCCCCATCTCCTATGAATTCGGACTCTCCGGTACGTGGGTGCGTTTCACCACCTGCGCTCTGTTCTTGGGTCTCTGTATCGGTGCCTCATTCTGGGGTGTTGCGTCTGATATCGTTGGCCGTCGTCTGGCTTTCAATATGACTTTGTTCTTGGCTGGTGCTTTTGGTCTGGCTGCCGCTGGCGGTCCCAATTGGATCGGGTAAGTCATTTTTGCCAAATAGCCATTTTGGATCTTTCGGCTAACCATGAACAGCACATGTGCTCTGTATGCTTGCTTGGGTCTTGGTGTGGGTGGTAATCTGCCCGTCGACGGCGCTCTTTTCCTAGAGTTCCTGCCTTTTGTTTCTGGCAATCTGTTGACCATGTTGAGTGTCTGGTGGCCCGTTGGCCAGCTGATCGGTAGTTTGCTTGCCTGGGCCTTCATTCCCAACTTCAGCTGCACTGATTATGAAGGCTGCACGAAGGAGAACAACATGGGCTGGCGCTACCTGGTCGTCACCCTGGGTGCTATCACTTTCGTCATGTTCATTCTGCGATTCTTTTTCTTCCACCTGTACGAGTCCCCCAAGTACTTGCTCTCCCGTGGACGTCAGGAAGAAGCCGTTGCCTCGATCCACGGCATCGCCTACAAGAACGGCACTAAGACCTGGTTGACCAACGAAATCCTCAACGAAATCGGCGGCCACGTCGACGTCAGCGATAGCAGCGCAGGACTCACCTACACCCAAATCGTGGGCCGCTTCTTCTCCAAGTTCTCCATGGAGCGCATCGCCCCTCTCTTCGCTACCAAGCGCATGGGCTTCAACACCGCTCTCCTCTGGTTCTGCTGGACCACCATCGGCATGGGCTACCCTCTCTTCAACGCCTTCCTGCCCCAGTACCTCTCCCAGTCTGGCGGCGAGACCAACTCCAACTACACCACCTACCGCAACTACGCCATCACCTCCATCGTCGGTCTCCCCGGCTCCATCCTGGCCTGCTGGACCGTCGAGATCAAGTACATCGGCCGCAAAGGCACAATGGCCTTCTCCACTCTGATCACCGGTGTTTTACTCTTCTGCTTCACCGCATCCACCAACTCCGACATCCAGCTCCTGTGCAGCTGTCTCGAAGCCTTCTTCCAGAACATCATGTACGGTGTCCTGTTCGCTTACACCCCCGAGACCTTCCCCGCCCCGTTCCGCGGTACCGGAACCGGTATCTCCAGCTGCTTGAACCGTATCGCCGGTCTCTGCGCACCTCTCGTCGCCATCTACGCCGGTAGCTCCGACCCCAATGCGCCCATCTATGCCTCCGGCGCGTTGATCCTGGCTTCCTTCGTGGCAATGTGTCTCCTGCCCATCGAGACTCGGGGCAAGCAGTTTCTGTAAGAAGCTTCAAACCCTGTCGGATTATCTTGTACTTGCTTTATGCAATGCAGGATGAAATCACACCCCAAAAATGACGGTAGATGCACATATCGTGGATCTGCTCTTTCTTCCATTGCGAGATCAATGGATTAATAGACCTCCCCCAATACATTCGGGGGGATATATAGATCATATAAACCTGTCTCCTAATGAACCGTGACTCTTTGGTCATGGGGAGCTTGAACATAGTGCTACTAATCCAAGATACCAATTTCATGCTTTTTTCTATGCTTTCTGATGCTATCACATGTTTCTGGTAATATTATTCAATCTACTCGGCGTATTTTGCTAGACTCAAGAGTAATATGGAATTCTTTTTCCAAATATATGTACTGACCTGCACCGGTGTATGTCTACATTGGAGACAGCCCAAGGGCGAATGTACTAGGAGACATTTAACCAAGTACCAAAAGAATCCGCTGCATTAGAACTAGCAAAAGATGGACCCCGATTACTATTGAAAGCGTTCAAAAAAATATGCTTGATCAATCCTTAACGCATATGTAAACCCTAAGATAAAGACAGGAAAAGAAGAAACAGAAGATAAAACTCCATTCCATTCCAAGAAAGCTCCGCAATAAGTCAAGAGAAAACGACAAAAAGAGAACCCACTTCCCCCATTTTCCAATCGTGACCATGTGGCATGCAAGTTCCTCGATGAAACTGATTCAGTAAAGAGATGACAAATAAAGAAAAGCGTAAGAGGTCCGTGAAAATATCGCTCATCAACAAGTGCAAAGAATTTATGAAGAAATCACATCATGGCCCTTATGGGGGAGATACATCTTGTCTATACCACCTGTTGGTTCCGACGACCACGCTTCTCAAGAAGCGTAGCACCGTTCAAAGTAAGCTCAAATGGCTGCTGGGGCTTGCGGATCGAATTCCTAGCAGCACTGGCCACATTGGCGTCGTGCATCCCGTAGCCTTGTTTCTTCGGTTGGTGGGGTTGTTGCCGTGCCTGTGCGGCACTACTTTGGGCACCGAGGTTGGTGGATCGGAGCTTGGCTTCCATTCCGGCCATTTCGCCTTGGTTCTTGACTACTTTAGCTGGAGGTTGGCCTCCAAGACGCTGGCTGTATTCGGGTTCATCGTCATAGCCTTCGTTGAGAGCACCGAGGGCCGACTGGAACCCTGCTGTGCCGTTGCGGTTGGACTGGCGCATGTTCACACGACGCTTTCCTTCCTCTTCTTGTCGGTGCACTGCATAGCCGACGTCGAATACTTCGCGAAGGTTGAAAGCGCCGGGAGATCGGAAGTCCATGCGGCGCTCTGCGGTTACAGATGGTTGATCAAGGAAGCGGGCACTGGCAGGTTGGTAGGGGCCGTGTTCGGCGCGGGAGGAGTCGAGTTGTTGCGGTCCCGTTTCGGGGGTTTGGAGGTAAGGTGTTGCTAGAGGGGGTGCGTCTGCGGCGGCGGTAGTCTCCTCATCGGTACCTCGGATCCAAGGATGTGCGAGGAATTCCTTGATAGTGAACCGCTTCTCGGGGTCCACAGTGAGAAGATGCGATATCAGGTCCTGAGCTGACTTGGAAATGTCGTCCCACCAGGGAGACAGGAAAGTGTATTGGCCGCGCGCGACCTTTTCGGTGAGGACTTGGATACTCTCATCGTAGAAGGGGGGGAATCCGCAGAGAAGGGTATAAAGAACACATCCCATGGCCCACATGTCCACACTCTTAGAATATCGCTCATCCTTGACGATTTCTGGAGCTGTATACCCGACTGTACCGCAAGGGGTCATCGTCTGGCTATCCCAGATCACCTTGGACAACCCGAAGTCTGCAAGCTTGATCCTGCCAATGCCACCCGCGCCAACCCCGGGGACGAATTCCCCCTCGTCGGCCTTGTCTTCGTCCCCTGGTTGTTGAGGCTTGGGATTCTTGCTCGGAACGTGGGGGGCTGGATAGAACAGGAGATTTTCTGGTTTAATATCACTGTGAAGAGATTAGCGACGATTTTTCATTGGGGTCCGAGGATGACAAACCGGTGAACAACACCCGATGTCTCATGTAGATACTCGATCGCTTCCGCAACTTGACGGATGACATGACGACTGAGGTCTTCGCTGAAATATGTCAATCGTACAATCTGGTGGAATAATTCACCTCCAGGGCAAAGTTCGAGGACGATATAGTAGTATTGCCGTGACTCGGAGAAATCGATTAATTTGACAATGTTGGGGTGGTCAAGATTGCGCATAATCTGAACCTCCTTGAGAATATTTGCTCGCTGTTGAAAAATGGAGTCAGCGATGACATGAAGGCAGGGGAGGTATGGAGTTTCGCGAATCGAAGCAGAGCATCAGGATTTTTTTGCGCACCTCCGCAGCCTTTGGGACTTTTTTGACCGTTGGATAATGAGGATCGTTCTACAGAACGTATTGGCCATGTTTTGACAGAGCACAGGAGATGACACGAAGAAAGAAAAAGCCTACCTGGTTACTATTCATTTCAAATTTGCGGACGACCTTGATGGCCACCTCGCCATATTCCGTTGTCGAATCCTTGGCACGATAGACATTACTGAAAGCGCCATCACCCATCTTCTCTACCAAGATCCAGCGTTCTAGACCGGGGTATTTGGGCATTTTCGACCGATTCATGTTCTCTTCTGCGACTAGACGTTCGATTTCAACGGAACGATCCTGTCGCACCTGAGAGTCGGGCTTGTGAACTGCATTGGCTCGGCCTTCCGGGCCAAAAGCTTCGAGGGCGGGAGAATATTGGCCGCGCGGTTGGCGCTGCGGCTCGGCATGGATGGTGGAAACATCGGTGGTGGGCTCGGAGTGAGGGGTGACAAGGCGGGCCTGTTTGCCGTGCCGAATGAAATTCTTGATATTCTGTATCGTACTCATGATGCTGAACAGGGATCGTGATTCATAAACAGGTGTATGGTTTTCGGTTGGCCGAGAAGAAAGGAATAGAGAGATAGACGTCGCGACCTTAGCAGGGATTTTCACGAGTGTGATTCAGAGAGATTGAAGACCGGGTTGACCCTCCTGAAGAACTCTACAAAGCACAGAAAAATCCAAGAGAATAGAACAAGAGCAGAGCACCCGAAATGCACGGAAGAAAAAAAGGAGAGAGAAAGGAGATGGATGGCGGGGGAGAGCTATGACGAAATGCGAGATCTTCCCTGCGATGTCATCTGCCAAGACTCGCGATCAACCATCTTCAATATCCCAGGACGTCATGCTACGCCACTGATCCACTTGTGCTAATGAGCCCAATCTATTGAGTTGTAGGAGACTGTGCTAGTTATGACTTTAATGTCTCTCATATCCAGTTTCTATGGAGTATAATTAACTCGGTTCTCCTTATCTCCTTATTGGGACCCCAGGGGCTCAAAACCCCCCATACTCCCACCTTGCAAACAACATGACCAGCTGTCTACGGATCACGACTACCTAGGTACCTCATAATCCTGTCATGTCTGTCCTATGCGCTGATACCCAGGTTCTTTCCCTAACTAATGGCCTCTGTGGCCTGAGTTCCAACCCCGGCTGTGTGGAGATTGATATCGTCATCACCTGTTGCCACATGCTTGGAATCGTGCTTGGAATCGCACTAGGAATTCCAGATTCACATTGTCACTCTACCACTGGTAATACCAGTGTTGCATTGCCCGTTGAGAATATCCACGCTCTGAGCCTCTGACTCGTGCGGAAAGCTCTGAGATGAAGACGTAGATCTCAGCCCTTTCCGATCTGGAATGTTGGATTTTAAAAAGGCCTGCATCAAGGGCAAACATACGGAGTACGGAGTACGCAGTACCAAGTGAGGAGTAAGAGCTACATCATTATACGAAGTTCCCCGGTTGATCCAAAAACAAGTTGAGAGATTGAAATGGGCTGTTGACTTCACTGGCCACGACGGTGAAGATCACACAAAAGAAAACCCCCTGAGGGCATACGGAGTAGACGACTGGGCGTAAAGGGCCCTCGGGGCAATGAAAACGGAGTGGACAAAAAAGCAAATAGCTCCACATTTTGCCCTCGGGTGTCTTGAAGGGGCTAATTAATTCAAGCCTAAAAGCTTGGAAGCCAAGTGCAACATGTACAGAGTACCCACACGGTGTTTTTCCTTGCACGCAGAGCCTATCCAGAATATAAGAAGCTTCTATGACCGTATAATGAGGCTATCAAGTACATATCCCATTTTCCCATCTCCACTCAACAATGTGGAACCTACCGTTCCGTCGGATTTTATAAGGAACTCCCAATACAAAAGTACATAAATATGACATAGATCGACTGCACGATCTGCAGGTGCCCAGTGCTATGGAACATGCTTTCGAAAATCTCTTTTACTGATTGATGATCCAGTCTCTGTTTATCACAAGATACACCGAGCCATCAAAGTTCTAAAGCCTTCCCATTGAACTTGTCAAAAGACCCGAACATACTATGACATCAATATACATATGCATATCATGTCCATTGGCCTGAGATCTCATAGCTTTCCCCTCTTTCTTTGGCATGCCTGGCCCTTTATGCACGTTGCAGACCTACATTCTAGTTCTCAAGGGATTAATATGTACATCCTCATTTCGCGATTCTCGTTATAGCTTGTTGTACCGTGGTATTGTAGTCTATTCATGCGTTTTCTGAGACAGAAGAACACTTAATAGTATTGACATGAATTTGAATGGTTCAATGCTTGTTTGGCTTTACTGCATAGTTTGCCAACTGCCAGCTAGTTCTATCCAGTCTTGATGATCCCAATTAGGCGACAAAAATATATTACAGAGATATTGAAGATTCCAAGGTTGATGTACCTCAAAAGGATTTGCTGAAGAGCATTAGCCAATATCAAGCACATTAGGACTATACAGCGTATAGGAACACTCGTCAACAAAAAACGCCACATTCAAACTTACGTCGGAGCCGACGGCGTAGTTCAAAACAACTTCCTCTGATATCATGCAATATAGAACCGAGGTAAGACTCGAGGACACAATGCAAAGGCGAAATTTACCTCCAATCATACCCTCGGGCCTACTGGGGTTCTTGAATTTCCCAACAGCTGAGGTGAGAGCTACCCATTAGTCTTCATCTCTTTAAACTCCCTCGGCTTCCTCTTCATCTTGATTGTGGGGACTAGGAATGACTTTTTGGACTGAGTCTCTGTTTCAGTAAAAGAATATGAGCGTAGATGTCTTCTTTAGCACACTATCGTTAGGCTCTCATGAAAGCCTTTTCATCTTAAGCCGACCTGATATACCCCAGTTTAGGTAAGGATCTCGTCGAACATGGTCTCATGGTCCCAAATTGTGGTACCCGTGAGATTAGGTATAAAGTATCCATGGATGCCCTAACCTTGGAAAGTCCACGGCTGTTTAGAGCTTGGGTAATCAGCGACCTTCCAAGATCAGGGCAAAGCTTGGGCAAATAAGAACGACCGGCTTGTTTGACGATTTCTGATCGAAATGGCACCGGAAACGCGCGAAGAAAGAAGATATCACATTAAACGAGCAGAAGGCGTGAGTAATGTGATAAAGGAACGGGATCAGGCTCCAAGGCATCAACCTTGCTTGAACGGGAAGGAAGCGCTAAGCAGCGGGAAGTGGCACCAAACACCCCCAGCGCCTTGTTCTTCCAACTTTCACTGGAGGTAGATATTGGGTTATCTGCCTTTACTGCTATTTTGGGGGAAGGCTTGTTTCTTTGCCTACAGGATTGAAACACAAAACCACCCAGGCCTGAGCCTGGACACTCCCCAGCCACTCGCCAATATTATCCTTAGTCCCCACCCTTACGGCTCACATCACACAGAGGCAGGTCGAGCCAACAAGAGCCTTCAATCGCAAAAGCATATGCACACTCGGAACCTTTCCTTAACCAATGTGGTGAACGTTGACTTGAATGTACCTCGGACGATCGGCCCCCCTGCATCGCACAGAAACAAAGGCTTTGCGTCTTGGGATTCATCGACTTTGACAATTGGTTGCAGCCTGGTCGCAGAGTGCTTGCGCGCGCGATGCGACCCTTGCAACCCTCAAACGAGTCATTTTAATCAGTACTATGACACAAAAGGATATCACAATACCCTTTGAATCGACAAAAGCGACCGTGCACACTTAGATCTGTTTTGCAGAACTCTTGTGTCTGCTGTTCCCAACATGCCGGGTGTGGAAGTGATGGAGCCATCGGAGGATTCGCAAGCAGTTGAACGGCCTCTCCTGAGGTCTCACAAGACACTCCCTCGGCGGGGTGTAATTGTTCCTAGCATCGAGATCGTTCAACCGGTCTCCCCAGATCCAAATGGAAAACTCACTGCGACGCCCGCGCCTCCCTTGACTCCTCCGGGTGCAGGCCCAGAAGAAGCCGTGGTTGACGAAAGAACACCTCAGAAGATGGAACCATCCCTCTCCGACCTTCCAGCATCTGAAATGCTGACTCCTCGCCGTCCTTCTAAGCCTCCGACTCCCGATGTGACACCTCCTCGAACAGACTCGAATAAGCGACCCACCCTAAACCAGTTCAGTTATTTCTCATCCTCGTCTCGAGCCGATTCATTTCAGACAGCTTTGGAGAGTATCTCATCTGAAGATATGGACACTCCGGGTCGCATGTCTCAGATTGCGAAGCCAGCCAGACAAAGGATACAGCCATCAAAGCCAAACGCCTCAAATGGATATCATTCACAATTTGCAAATACAAAGTTGCCACCATCTGCTTCTCAACAAAGCGATGCAGGATACGATGGATTCAAGTCTTTTGATGGGGATTGGGCCGCAAGCCTGGTCGATGGGTCGCCAACGCCGTTAGCTGGCAAGCGAAACACTACACATAACCACACCCAATTAGCCCATCAACCAGAAATTACCGCGCTAGACATCGAGCAACTAAATTCTTCGTTGATGCGGGAAAAAGCACTGCGAGACCGCGTGAATGGCAATCAAGTCAAAGCAAGTCCCTCGATGGAGCAGTTCCGTGAGAATATTGGGTGGCCGTCACCAAAGGGTCCGGCCAGGTCGGCTGGATCCGATGCTCGTCCTTTGTCAGTCATCTCTTCGACATCCACCGTCGAGGCTATGATAATCGACTCTCCTAGACAAACTCGACGAATGCTTCGGCATACCGAAAAGAGAAGCTCCCTCCGGTCTGTCAGCTCTCCCATCACAAGATCCGAGCGCACATCTTATGATTCACAAACACAACATCGTCTGATTCACAAGGACGCTCGGATCTCTGATCAGGATTGTCGAGGCAGATCATCAGAGATATCATTCTCGACGCAGAGAAGCAACAGTGCAATGCAGCCCAAAATCGAAACCATCAATGTAGTGGTCATACCCGAGAGAACCTCGTCCCTTAAGTCCCGACCTAACAGCCATGCTTTTTCCAAACCGGATTCTCGGCGATCAAGCCGTTCAACGGCACCGCGGCAAACCAAGCAATCCGATTCAATGTCGATAAGATCTCAAAATGATTCGAAGATTCGGCCCATGGAACGTCCTTTCATACCACAGCGAAGCTCGTCACTATCGGCGCCGACAAGTCGGAACAATTCTCGCACGACTTCTATCACATCCAACAGTCTGCGAAGTCGACCCATGGAACATCCTGTCATAACACGGCGAAGCTCCTCGCTTTCTGCACCAACGAGCCGAAATAATTCTCGCGCGACGTCTCTCACTTCCGATAGTCTGCGCAGCCACAATCTAGCCATGGACCAGGAGATGCAAAAGGGTCTCGAGAATCAGCCTCTGTCTCCACCTCGCCACAATATTTTGGCTTCGCCTAACCGTCATGATTCACTCGAGATACCAAGTATCCTCTTTTGTGCCTCCAATAGTGATATGGTAACGCTGCGTCCACCTTCATTGCCTTTTACCCAAGGGTCGGTTCCTTCGTATTCTCCTGGACCTGTCGAAATTCAAGAGGCTACTGCCGTCAGCCTGTTCTCACACAACAACCGATCACTGTTGCTTGTTGATCCTAGGGTGCAGGCTCCCAGACGCTCTCTCCAAGCGCTTGAAATTCCCAATGGCTCCCCTCGCATACCTGTCAATAATTTGACGAAAGTCGACTCTCCTTTGAGGAACCCCCGTCCTCCACCCAAACCCCCCGTTGGTAAACCCCTTCCTCCAATTCCCTTGCAGGACGCCCAAGATGAAAACAAAGGCCTTGGTCGACGATGGGGCTCCGTTCGTCGTCCCTGGAGCTCACGTCCTCGGTCAGATTCTTTCAACAGTCTAGCACGATCATGCTCCATGAAATCGGCGAAGAACCGAACCGCAGGCATGGAAATGGACAGTCGTCTGCATCCATTTTGGCGACCGCGCGGGTTCTGGGAAGACATACCCGGGTCACCAGAGAAGGAACCCTCGCCAACGCGGCAACCTTCTCCACGACACGATGAATCCTGGATTGTCAACAACTCTCTAGGCCTGCCCCAGCGGCGCATTGCCTTCCAAGGTCCACCTGCTCTGGCCCACCGGGGCCCGGAAATGAAGCGTTTGCTCAATGGAATGACCAGTAACGGTAGTTTGGTTGACCAAGGCATGTTCCGAAGTGGATCTCCACTCACCCCGACTCACTTCCGGACTCTCTCTCGCTGGGGACTTCACCTGCAGTCAATCTCGTGGCGCAATATGCGAAATCGTCTGCGACGGGCGCGTCAGCGACGCGACGAGAGAAAACGGGCTATGCGAAGGGAAACTCTCAAGCAAAGTATCGGTGGCCCTGTCTACATAGCGTCGAGCGCTAGTCCTACGGCCGGAGTGGCCATGATATGATTGAATGTGTTATGCCCATATTTAAATGATTGGATATGTTTCACGAATTTCAAACACTCACCCGACGATTTTACGATGCATCTGGGAATCATTTCCCCTGTTTTTCTTTTGGTTTACACAATTTTTTTGATGCCCTGATACGATCTATTGATATGAGATCTATGATGATTACGAAACATGAGCCCATGATGATTCCATTGTTCCTTTCCTGCTTTATTCCAGCTTTTGTTGGCTTTTTTGAGATGTATCATACGCTTTCTGTCTGGCATATGTATCGATCTTCCAGCCTGATTGTCAGTTCAGGCCTCAATCGGAGAGCTACCTATCCCTTGCCTTTCGTGTAACACAAGATGGTCCATGAAGCAATCCTTTCGGCTGCGTACTGGATGTAGAAGAGTACATATGTAGTTATGGATGCGTAGATTCGATGTACAGAATACTGTGGTATATCTATATGTCGAAACCTACGATCGCATTTTCGACCTTGACTTGCATTAAGTAGTTTTATATTCGGATAAAAAAGCTTAGAATACTTTGCATTAGAGGTATATATCGGACTTGAAGACACATCCAGCGCATCTATACCCCGTAGACATCAATGCCTACCGCCCCAATAGACATTCCCACTTCCCCGACCTCTCTTCCCACGCCCCCGCACACTCGACCGGCCCCGGATAGCCATAGATCCATACTCCATCTCGCGCTCCACCCGTTGTCTCGACCTCTCCGCCGATTCCTCTCCCTGGGCCGCGTCAGAGTCCGGCGCATCCACTACTGACTGTACTGCTTTCTCACGACTGCGCTTGAGCATCGCCTCCCAGGTCGGCGGATCGAGGAAGGGCTGTGGCGGCATAGAGAACGAGACTTCGAAGCGCGGCGGCTTGTAATCTTCTTCTTCTTCATCTTCACTTGGGCTTTTGTTACGTGCCCTTGAATCCGTAGGTTTAATTCTCTTGCTGGCGACCTCTTCGTGAGATCGTTTGATGCATGTCCCTGCGGGCCTGGCGCTGGGATTGAGAACTTTGGATACTCTGGTTGAACTAGAGATTGGCACAATGGCGCGTTTATGTGTGATGATAAGAGGCCGGGATTTCTTGGGCGTTGATGAAGCCATAACCACATGTACATGTACGGAGTAGTTAAGGTGGAATGGGAGACGTCGAGACGGGGCTGATAAGTGGGCTTATCTTATCGGACAACCCAAAAGGGCAGGTTATGTTGCCTGTGAACATAAATCAGTTCTTAGATTTGCTACGGAGGATTTCCCAATGTGCAGATACGAATATGTCCCAGTTGAGAATACAATCAGAATCCCACCGGCGTCTGTGGACGCTCCCGGGAATATTTTCACCGGCGCTGGCGCAGAGTGATCTTCAGCCCGAAGTTGGGTACATAGAACTCCTCGAATGAAAGTGAGCCTGTCAACGGACCGGATGACGAGTCGGGCAGGAGGATGTCATAGCGACTGAGGATATGCGCGAATGCGAGTTTCATGAGCGCGCTGGCCATCCATCGTCCAGGACTACAAACACGGGTTAAAGTCAGCCGATGCAGTGTGGACGGTTGGATTTGAAACATGAACGCGAGGGAAAAAAAAACAAAAACAAAAGGGAGGGGAGAAAAACTTACCAGGCATGCGCGCCCATGCCAAAAACCAAATAGTCAGGACTCAGGTCGACCAGTCGAGAATCCTTGCGCCCAGCCGCTGCATGCTTGATGAACCGGAACCCATCGAAGGTGTCTGGGTTCACATAGTACTCGTTGGAGCGCTGGATGATTCCACTTGGGACGGCAACGTGGGAGCCCTGCTTGAGTGTGATACCTGTTTATGGCATGGACTTGGTCAATATGTTCTTTGGTGTGTGCTTGCTAGAACAAACCGTTGGAAAATTTGAGGTCACTGATGCAGACCCGGTGGGCTGAGACTATGCATTCGCATTTGCTGCATTAGCTATGTACATCGCCCAGGGGTTGATATGGTGACGTACGGGCTGATGGGGGATGTAGCCGTTGGCACTCCTTCAAGAAGCTGTCCATCCGGACCATTCCATCACAGGCTGCAACGGTTGGACCCATTTTGGAGAAAAACATATCAATCTCCTCGCGCAGGGGTGTAATGTACTCGGGTCTTCGGGCTAGCTCGGTCAGGGCGCCGTATAGCCCCTGATTGGGGGTTAAATCAGTACATGAATGATGGTTTTGTTCACTCACATAAGACGTGGTGTAAATGAAGGCGAATTGCAGAAGTAAGATCTCGCCTATCACCTCTGTGTATGTCCACCTGTCTCGAAGCATACACGCTTCATACATCCAACGAAAGATCTCAATCTTTAGATTGTTTTAGCACCAGTCTGGGCAACAAACACAAAAGACATACCGGCTTGTCCGATTCATCGATCTTGGTCTCACCGGGAGTTCGAGTTCCGTTCTCACTAAATATCTCGGCGTGATACTCTGCTGCACGTGCATCGAAGTGTTTGAGTAAAATCTTACGCGAGGCGTTCATATCCCAATTAGTCCCGAGGGTAGCGAGACGACTGACCAACCCCCCAATGTATCTATGATTTTGTTAGTCCCAACGATTTAGTCAACGCAACATGCACTCACCCTTTCAAGCATTCCGGAACAAGAAATTGTAAGCGAGCGGTCACTATCATCCCCAAAATGTGATCCTTGGCAGCCTTGAGATATTCCTCATCCTGGGAAAGCCGCGAGCCGACAAGAGCAAAACTGCCACTGCGAGCTACGATCGAATATGCCAAATCAAAACAGCCAATGTTGCATTCTAATCCAGCATCAGCAATGACCTTCGCGATAAACTAGTACTCACCCTCGCCGCTAAAGTCTAGAGTTTTCAGGTGGGAGACAATCGCCTGGTTCATCGAAGGCATATACCGATGCAGGTTCTTAGAAACCGTAGCACGAATCACGCCAGGCGTAGTTTTGGCAATTTTGGGCCATCCTCCTTTGGGAAAATAGCCAGGCATGACATGAGAGACCTGAAGCAGCTGTAGCGTATCTGCTAGTTAACAAATGCATAAGCAAAGAACCCAAAAAGACAATGCCCACCTGATCAACCCACGGCTCAGGCGAGACCAGTGAGTTTCGTTTATTTTTCAACTCTTCGATCAACTTCGGCTGGCATAGAATAACCTGACCAAAGCGAAATGTCCGTGGAATCTCGAATAAGCCGTTGGTGAATTGCTCATAGCCCCGTTTTATAATTGCCGGCCCATCCACGACAAATTTATACTGCTGGTATAGGATCGAGAGATAGTCTTTGCGCGCTGGGAAAGAGACGTGATTCTGCCGGCCCATATCTTAATATCTTGACTTTGTACTTTGGTCATTCGTCACCAGAGTCAAAGAGGAATGGGGGAGATCACCAACATTGGCCAGGCGAGATGAAGTCACAGCTAAAGCGGCTGCAACCACAAAGCAAAATATAGAGATAAATAGACATAGCACCATGGTTGAAACACGAAGATTCAGTTCCTCGCTCCAATTGAGGGTATATAGGAAACTCATCATTTGTCGAAGATAGGAAAGCGAGGAATGAGGTGAGGATTGTATTGACAGACAAAGAGACCAGCGGTGATCGAGTTTAAGTAGCTTTCGCCTATAATTGCAATGGAAGAGACCAATATTGAGCTGATTGATTACGCGGAGCAAATCCGGGCTTGCAAAAAGATGCGACAAAGAATAATTCGGTGTGATATACGTACATGCAGAATGTACTTGCTGCCTCCATAGGTTGTTGTTCCTATATCTGCCTCTATAGCTTGCTTGTTGAAGCCTGTGATTAGTTGCTCTCTCCAAAGACCACGAAATTCTCTAGCTCACTTGCTTTTCCCTTCCAGCGCTTGGTGGACGAATTCTTTAATCAATTGTACCGAGTCTACATCCACCAAGGGTCGCTCATCTGGCCTCCATTCCATCTCATCACATCTTACAGCAGAGACAGGGCTATAGTGACAGCCCAGGTATATATGCATGTATCACATAGGCCTATCGCCCATTGAGGCAGGTGATCGACACTCGCATCAAAGAGGGATCACGCTAGTCATGCTCTTATTCCGTTGTCTCCGAGGCCTCGATATTGTCCCAATACTCCTTCACGAAAATCAAACTCGCATGACTAGAGAAACGGTTGGGGCCCAACATAGCATCATATTGATAGAGATATAAATCGAGGACATCGTACAGAGGATTCGTAAATATAGACGGACACAGAACAAAACAAACTCGCCAAGAGGTATCAGCGATCGAATGTGGTATAATGATACAAGCACGCAAGCCACGCCGGCAAAAGGGAGAAAGAGAGCCCAACAATAACGCCAGGAGAATATTAGGCAAAGGCCAAAATTTAAGCAATGCCCTGAGGTTCCATTCCGCCCATAGTTGAGTATGAATAAGGCAGGTCTACCAGACCGTCAAGCAGCCAGTTCAACGGATCAAAGACTTCGTAGTTTGGTTCAACGAGACCGCTTGGAAGACCACTGGGTTGGGTTGTGGGTGTTTGAATCCCAAGAGTAGCCTGGGACAATAGAGGTGCCGGGGCAAGGCTTGGATCATTCCCGGAGATTCCAGGGGTGGCTGTAGCTGGGTGTAGAGGCCCAACGGACGAAGCGACCGAAGAATCAGCCGCCGAGTCAGGGTTTGTTGGATTTTTCAAATAGGCTAAATGTCAAAAAAATTAGAGAGTGTTCTCAAAATCATGGAAATGATACTGACCTTCAAGGTTTCGGTCCTTTGTCCGGGCATCTTCCCGCCAACGCCACACAGAGTCAAAAAGTAAAGACATACTCATCCGGCAGCGTACTTTGAGCCGCAGAGAGTCATCAAGATCGGTACCGTTGGTAGACCGTTGAGTGGCTCCTCCCAGTCTCCACATCTGGGCCAAGACTTCAGCAAGGCGCTCGGGAAGATCATTACTGGACGCCGAAACTCCTCGGATGGCCCAGATTGTACGGTTGAATAGGTGTTTGGTGTAGTCCATGTCTATGTGGGAGGCGAAGAAGCTTTTGCATAGCTTCAGCAGGGTGCAGCCGGCGGCTACCATCATCTGATAAACATAGTACGGGGTGTAAGACAGGACTGGGCCGACCTCAGTCTCGAGGTTTAAGACAACTTCGAGGAACGTTGTCGTTGCGACATAGAGTGATGAGACGCGCTCGCGATAATTCTTTGCACTCGGCTCGTCAAAGAAGGCCGAAAGATGCAAATGGAGGTTTCCGGCATGAAGGAACAAGTTCGTGATACCTGGTTTCTGTTAGTTCGCGTCCGTATTAGATTCCAGACCACCGGGGAAAAGCATACAGTCATTCTGCTGCTTGAGTTCTTCTTCTAACTCCTCAAAGTCTCTGGAGAGAAAAGAAATCATTGTGGAACGTTCATGATCACTAGTCAAACCAACAGGATCGCGTCGGTTTGTGTAAAGTGCTCTAGTGATCCTGTCACAAAACTTCTCAATCTCCAATCTTCGCCTGATATCTTCTGGAAGCTTGAAGCTAGGGTCTAGTGAATCGCTCGAGGACAATGTCCAGTCATAAAGAGTGGATGATGGCTGTCCATAGCCGGTGGAAACTCTGCGAAGAAAACATAAGTCACACGCAAATGAAAATCGATACTCGATTTTTACATACCTTTGAGCAACAATATTGCAAATGGCCCATGTTCGCACCTTGTCTCTCAACTCATCCTCCATAAGTTCTACTCGGAACTTACTAAAGTCTTGCGCGTAAGACGGCCGGTGGAGACCAAGCTGCATCGCAACCTGTACCATCATTCCACACAACATGAACGTTGGATCGGTTGAGGTACTGCTTGTGGGGAACGGCCATGAGCATAGTAAAGCGAGCGCCTTGACAACATGATAGCTTTGGGGGATATCTGCCAAAGTGCTCCAGACAAGCCGGCTGACAGGACCAGCAAGAGAATTTAACAGATTAGAATCGCCCTGATAGCGTCGTGCGCCGACACTGATGATTGTCCAAAAGAGTAATGAAGAGGAATTATAATAGTCGTCGGGCGACTGCTTTCGATCCAAAAACGGGAGGAAAGGGTGGTAATATGTGAAAAATCTTGACAAGGAACAAAAGTTAGATCATTCGTTAACAAGACTCGGCAGAGCCAAGGACTCACAAATTGAACAGTTCCGCCACTTTCTCGGGACCAATCATGACATCTTCAATTCGTTTGATTTGTGCGCCGTTCCTCATAAAATTGGTACTGTCGAAGCCCGAACGCAGGTCCAAGAGGGACGCAACAGCTTCTTGCGATCCCATGTACTGATCGGCGGACATGGCGGATGGAGTTTGGTAGACCGCAGGACTGACTTGATTCGATTCTTGCTTGGGAGTCAATTGTCCTCCTGACAATGTTTGCTGCTGTTGAGACATTCCAGGGACATGTTGGCCAGTGGCAATCTGCTTCCGGAGCTCCATTATCTCCCTCTCCATCTCCGCATTGCGGCTGCGCTTGCCAACACGTTTGAAATTTGACTCGATTTTACAATCAAGCCTCAGTCGACGGCATCGCGAACAATCGCTCCATGGATCCTGAATGACGTCGCATCGAAGCTGTCGCAACCCGAACATTGTTAGCCAACGCACGGGCAAAAAAAAAAAAAAAAAAACTTTGCAGCAACTTTGCTAGACCTACCTTCTGCTGCCGACACTCATTGCAAGCGCGCTTCACGGGTTGGCGTCTCTTCTCCTCCCGCGCATCGTTGTCGTCCATATCCTCGATACTTCCCGGGAACTGTCCATCCCCGCAATGGTCATATTGCGTTTGCGACCATGCACGCCATCGGCGGCAACTGAGACAGGCAATTGATTTGCGCCCGCCATTACGGGATTTATGCCAGCAGAAGCATTATCGGTGCTCTGAATCGGTTCAGAAGGTTGGGCTTGACCCTCTCCAATGCCACTTGATCGCCCGAGAGAAGCCAGGCTGAATGACGTTTTTCCTGGTCGAGATCTAAGTTCCCGTCGGATTCACAGACACACACGCAGGTTGGGCGTGTATCTGATTGGTGCGGTTTGGTTCAAGCCTTCTGTTTCTTCTTGTCTTCTTAATCTCTCTCTCTCTCCGAACAATACCGTTTGCGACTTTCTTGACCGGTGAGCGCACCTTCCCGGAGTCCGATGAGTCAGCGCAGAGGGGCATGTCACATGACTGAGATAGCTCCACTTGATCACGTGCTAGGTCCGTCTTCCCGCACGTGACTATCGTTCTACATTTAGCAAGTGCTCTATTTTTTGATACTCTTTTATTCCACAGGGACAACAGTACAAGCATATGAAAGAATGCTAGAGCGATAATAGGAACCTTTGTACGGAGTACAACACGTATGAGATCATGATCATCAGGCTGTTGGGGGCCACATTCCCAGGCAGTGCAACCGCGCCTGGCTTCGCCCTGTGGTGTGTATCCCTCGACCAATATGTGAGCTTCTTCACAATGATCGGAATAGAAACGGATACGAACGACGGTCATCATTCACTAGAAGCTTAATTACTTCCAAGATTCTATTCGCAGAGGTTTAGCGAACGTGCTTTGGCTCTGGAACTAGTGGCAATCGTCGTCATTGGCTCCCCGCCCATCTTGGGGGCTATGGAAGGTCTGCCTTGTAACCCGATGCTCTGACTTGTCTTTGTCTGGTTGCTCAGGCGAAGAGACCGCTGTCAGATATCTCACATAGTATCTATTCATCTCAAAATGATATAAATGGACCGTCATCACCCCTAATCTTAACCAATTTCCAAAGACGTACGGCTATTGACCATCAACATGGGTCTATCAACAGACAATAAGTCCAACGAGACACCTGAACAATCCGAAGTCACCGGCAAATCACCCAGTGAACAACCTCCTTTGTATTCGGCTGAGCAAGCCGAGCAACCTCCTCTACAACTACCCCGACTAAACCTTACCCCTACAAGTTCCTCAACATTTATCACCCGCGACCAGTGTCTTGCGCATCTCAAATTTTTGGCTGTGCTCGCAGATCTGCGGGATACCATCTCTAGTGATGATGGGCTCTTTGGGATCCAGGATGCCGAAGCTGATAGATTCCCGGATTCACTAAACGAAGCACGGGCTCGTATTCGCGAGAAACGTTGGGCCGTTTATACGGCACGTGCGGTCGAGAGATATACTAAGTGGTGGTCTGTCGGTCTCCCCCGATCAAGACCAATGGCGACTATCAACGACCTAGAGTACTTTGGTTATGAGAACATCCTCGATTGTGAGACTCGAGTTGCATGGAGCACGGAAAACCTGCCCCCGCTAGGTAAGTGCATTGATTGCACAAACAAACTTCATGGCTAATAGTACTTCTCAGACATTTTGATGGTCTGGCATGCCCATTCATTGAATCCCAGAAGCTTCCTTGAAGACTGCATTCGATATGGCAAGCTGAGCACCTGGCAAACAGGGTTCCCATGGGCCATCATCGACCGCTGCATCGATAACCGCACGTTAGAGTATAGAGTCTCCGAACAAGCCCGGCGGCTATTCGAGGAGAAATTGAACTTCAAGTGGAACAACCTTGATGGCCCACCGACCAAGGAAGTCCACTGCCCGTGCTGCAACAACGTGAATGCGGTGCCGTGGACAGAAGCTCATTTTGGAGCAACCATTGGAAACGCTTTCAGATTTGGCAACGGCTACGCCGATAATTCCTTTGAGGTAAAATGCGTTCGCTGTGAACACACCATCGACCATGGCCGGCTGAAGGTGGCCAAATTCCGAAAAGATCTCGCAGCAACTCTATACGGAAACCTTCCCATGCCCGGGACCTTGACCAATCTGCAAGGAATCCCCGAGGGCCCAAGTGTCAAGATCAATCACCGGGCCCTCCAATTCAATATGTTCCCCACACGCATCGTCCAGGCCGCCGGCGAGAACTTGATGCAACACACCGACGGCCGAGTGGACTGGTGTCAAAACATCACCCAGCTCAAGCAGCAACTCGAAGTCAAGCTCCGCGATAGAAAAGTCCTGACGCACGCACGTGGTATCTACGTGAGTAGGACCAAGCCCGCCGAGAGAATCCACTTCCGACGAATGATGTCTCGATACTGGGACAATCTGGATCCCTTCGCATTAGACCTCGTGGGCGCTGTGATCCGCCAAGGCACCTTCATAGACAAAATGGACCAAATCGACTGGCTGCACTCACCAACAGTCTTCGACACCATGAACCGACTCATCAAAAAGTACGAAGTCTTCTTCCGAATCATGATGGAAAACCCAAGAGACATGGCCGTGCCCACCCTAGACGTCGACCTTGCCTGGCACACACACCAACTCAGCCCCTCCCAATACTACACATACAGCACGTCTCAACCAGCAGCCAACGGCATCCGCATCTTCATCGACCACGACGACAAAGTCGACGAAGGAAAACTCTCCGACGGCTTCGCCTGGACTAGCAAAATGTACCGCCGTGCCACCAACGGCGGCATATACAGCGAATGCACTTGCTGGTACTGCGAAGCAACACGAACACCCGACCTGTATGACCGACTCATCACCGTTGGCTCAGCCTCTCGCGCCCGCGAGGCTGCAGACCTCTTGCACGATCGCCCCGATATCTCGTCCGACCCTAACAAGAACCCGCATATCTCTTCCCACAACGCCGTCCGACCAACGAACCTGTACGACCCGAATGACCGATCCAGTTCTCTGCAGTTTTTGCGTCTTCAGAGCAACTACCAGAAAGCTGCTCGACGTGCGGAGAAACGTGGTCGGCAACGCTCTGGCTCGAGATCTTCGGGCTCGGATGTTACTCCTTACTATATGCCGTATGCGTTTGGTTTCCCCATCGTGGTGCCGTATTATGCGCCCTATATGGCGGATCCTTCGGTGAACTCGGATGTGTACGCATGTAACCCTGGCTGCATGAATACGACTGCAGGGGCAGTTGGGAATTGTTGTGCCGGCACGTGTGGTAAGTTCTTTACACTCTTCTAGAAGTATTTGGGCTGACCTTGGATTTTTTCAAAAGGTGGTGGCGCAGCTGCTGGTAGTTGCGCAGGAGGGAGTGGGAATGGAGGGTGTGGTAAGTCTCTATATGACTGTAGTCTAACTGCAACTTTGAGATGGATGCTGATTGTCTATATATAGCATCCAGTGGTGGCTGTGGAGGATCTGGAGATGGAGGAGGTAGGTTCCTCTCGCCCTCAACTGGTTAAATCACACACTGACTTGGTTATATAGGCGGCGGCGGCGGTTGTGGAGGAGGGGGTGGTGGTGACGGAGGGGGAGGTGGTGGTGGAGGGGGCTGCGGTGGCGGCGGCGGTGGTTGTTAGGTTAGTCTGATACCCCCTTTTGTTCTTTCTTTATTCCTTCTTTCAGCTTGTTGGCTTGATGAATTGCTTGATTGCTTGGTGAATTGGCTACGCGAGTGATGTAGCTGGCTCATAGTTTTTTATACTGTCCATATATGAAAGTAATGATGATTTTTCTTACAATCCTCTCCATAATCTTTTATTTTGTGTGTTCAAATGATGTTTTCGATGCTATTACATACTCTAATATACAGTGTTGATACCCCGTGACATCCCCAAATGGAAGGTACAAATATACCTAGGTACCTAGGTAGACTTCGGATTATCGCCTCTTCTCTTACGTACCTATGTATGGAGTACATAAATGTACTGAATACCATTTCATCCAAAGATCTCCCACAAAAAGCGCTTACAGGCGGGATGTTGAATACCTCGATCAGCCACACATTGGCATCCTCTTCTGACCCATACGACCCTCAGAAACGCTCTTTCTCCCAAATGCCAATCTCTCAAACCCTCAATGCCTTCTTCTCGACCATTAACCACCATGTTTCTTATAAACTCGCCCCATAGGAGCCCCAACTCTTCTAGACATTCATCGTCATCGCGCGATCAACAGAACACATCCCACTCTGATCACCGCTTCTGTTTCAACCATGATCATAATTAGAAACTCGTTGCCGATCTGATATATATGTAATTTTCACAGAAAACAAGTAATCGCACTATTACACTGTAGTGGGGGGTTCCCTCGCTTGTAGTGTGGACACTTATGGTAATGCGCGAAGAAGCAAGGAGGCGGCCTCTCGAGAGTGACAGGCTTAGCATATGCAGGGAGTGACCCTGTTCCACCGCATGGTTAGTGTGACGAAAATTCTATTCGAGATGGTCTGAGGGCTGGATTAAAATCCGGCTCTGGTTGTTTTTTTTTTTGTGAAGAATCTTGATCAACAATGTCTTTCTTCCATTGGTATACATGATAGATATCTAAAGGGTAATAACAAGACTAATAGATCTAAATGCCAGCACAAGGAAGTCATATAGTTTCATGATATATTCATTGTATGCCCCGTCCAAGGGTCAATTGACTTCCATAAGAGAGATCATAGGCGGGAGAGAGATAGAGGGTTAGGCAAGAAGGGAGAAAAAGAATGGACGAGATACACATGTGAGAAAATGGGCGGATCGTAGAATTTGTGGGTTTGGTATATATGTGCGGAGAGGCCAGAAACAGACAAAGACAAACGAGACATAAGAGAACATGAGAATGTCATGCCCCTTTGGAGGTGAGTACGGGTGGGAGTGGGGGATGGATATGCGCCGGCCATACAGAGTAGGCCATTTATAGAGGTTTCCTGAATAAACAGTGGCAAGACGAAACAGAATAAAATAAGCACAAAGCGGGCCAAAGACACATGGTTGATACATGGGATCTCAAAAGGTGGAAAGAAAAGGTCCCGAGAATTGTGAGACACTTCGTTGGTAGAAAAAAAGAACTTTGAAGCATTATTGAACATAAGCTCTCCTCCAGCTGGAGTGATTGTAAAACATGTAAACAAGAAGGGTTCAAAAAAAGAATTCGCTCAAGCTCGTACATGAGATCGTGAAGGGGTCATCATTCGGCAGAAATAGGCCGATTAGACCAAGAAAAGAAGATAGCTCGGGGGAAGAAGGAAGGAAGGAGGGGAAGGGAGGGGAGATAGGCGGGCTGCTAGAAAATTTACTCCTCCATGCGCCCAAAGACACCGTCATCGTCGTCATCAGGTGGTGCTGAGCGGTTACCAAAGTCCACATCGGCGTTGCGGCGCTGACGGGATTTCTGGGCATCGTCACCACCAGTCCGCACCTCACGCTCGTCCGATACCTTGTATGACAGCGACGGGTTGAGGGACCTGGACAAGAAGATGTTGACTTCCGAGTCTCGACGGGCAGCCTCATCTGTGCGGCGCGACAGAGGGGAGTGGAGACCCTGGTTGCTCGGGTGGCTGCTCGAGTCTAAGTAGCGCGCGGGCAGTGGAGGCACCGGTGGCACGTCGGGTGTCATGGACACAGGGCCTGTACGCGGGGTGCCGAAATTGCACAGGCCGATGGCCGCGGCAAGATCCGCCTCGTCATCCTCGTGTAACCGGGTATCCGCAGTCGAAGGACGGGTGTCAATGCTCGAGTGACGGAAGTGGGAGAAGGTAGGCGAGTGCAGCGATGCACTGTCGTTGTACGAGCTCGAGGGAATGGATTGGTAGGAGCGAGAAAAACCGGAGGCATTACTGACACTGGGGCGCTTGGTCCACTGTGCTGGCACGCCGGACATCTCGAAGTCGTCATCTTCCTCGGAATCCATCGGGGGCGGCGTGGTTTCGGCGGAACTAATCCCGTCTCGCATTTCTGACAGGGCATCCGGCGATCCAGACGACAATTCCGATTCCAATTCGGCAGACTCATCGGGTGGATCGTCGTGATTCATGGTGACCAGAACGGAGGCGGCCTCCAGCAGCTGAACCTGCTGGTGCTTGGAGATGAGGAGTTTCGAAGTTACGGCCCATGCTGGATCATGTTCCCACCTAAGATACGACGAAAAATAGACATGTCAATCAAATGTTGCCGACAGGGGTGAAGAGCGAAAAAAAGGGGAAGGCAAGTGAAGGGGACCACGAGGGCGATCTGCAGAGCTGATATGATGCATAGTCCCGATCGAGCCAGGGGAGGACGGCCGAGCGGTAAGGAGGAGAGGGAATACACACATATGCTTGGACAGGCAACTGCCATGCTTGTATCCTTTCCCGCAGCGATCGCACCGAATGGCCGCCGAAGCACGCTTTCCATCGGTCTTGAGTTGGGCACCTTCACTGGCTCGGCGGTTCCGGTTCTTCAGCTTGCCATCAGACTGGTCCGATGCCGGAGACTCCTTTCGGGCGACCGGTGATTCCTGACTGGCACCGTTGATGCTTCGAGAAAGATAGGAGCTGAAGCCAGACACATTCCCGACAGATCCAGATTCCAGTCCCTTGCGGCCTGCGAGGCTACGGCGGTGCGCACCCATAGGGAGCGAGGTGGATTCCCCGCCCTCCATGGAGGCGGCAACTGCCGCGGCAGCATTGACAGCGGCGGTGGTCACACTCTTTCGGCGAGTTACACGGTGGTTTGGATTGAGAGCACCCAGGGAGATGGAGTGCGTGTGATTCCGCTGGCTGGGGTTCGGAAGAGGGCGCGACATGGATAATTCCTGTGCACAGCCAAAGGGGGCCCAACATTAGTATTGGCAAGAAAATCAAAAGTGACCAAGCAGCAATGCTAATCACATACCTTGAATGAGGCCATAGTGATAAGAATTGAGAGGAAGCTTCCAATGGGATTGACAACCCTCTAGAACACGAGTTGCCCTCAATTCAGAGAAGCCGGTGGAACGAGGCGGAGTTTCGGGCCCGGGATGTGGTGATTGAATGGATGAGAGCAATGAATGCAAGAAGCAAAGGTCAGAGAGAGAAGAGGAAATAAAAAAAAAAAGTGAAGGGAATCCAAAAAAAGAAAGGTGGAAGGGGGGAAAAAAAGAGGAGAAAGAAGGAGAAAGAGTCAGGGCCGGTATGAGCCAAAATCGCTCAGGTTTGCGGGGGCCTTTCCCTTTGAGCATGCGGGGGGGCGCCAGCGATCACCGGTCACACATACAAAGTTCGGTATTTTTTTTTTTATATTTTTTTTAGTCCAGATGGTGAAGGATGGCTATTTCCCTATATTATTGTCTACTATCCCCTCTTATTGCAAAGGGATTTCCCCGATATACCCTCTATGGGTGAGGGTGAGAGTGTGTCGCAATGCGTGATGCGATAGTAGTGGATCCACAGTTATCCGAGAGACATACGCTGTGTTTCTAATGGCGAATACTTGCTTTCTACCTAGGTACTCTTAGGGCATTGGGAGTTGCCCGGATGGCGTTCCGTACAGGGGAAGGGTCTGCGCCCTGGTTAGAAAAGCGTAGTCCCATGGGTTCAGACTTAGCTATATAAAAGAGACCATATTCCCTTCCTTACTCCAATACTTCCAATCCGGCTTTTCTTCAGATACAAAAATAAAAACCCAAAAAGAATAATAAATAAAAAATCAAATCACCAGTTGCCTGACGATCAACCAGGGTCACAAGATGGGCCAGTTGGACTCCATAGGCAAGTACCAATCAAGTCACTGGGTTCACACCCGGGCCATGACGATTGTGTATCGATAGGAGATGACCGAACCTGAACCAGCGACTTGGAAAGTACCAGTTTCCCATGTATCGACCAGATCACCTGCATGGCCATCGACCGGTCTAGCACTTGGTTTACGGTGGGTCTGGTGGAGCCAATGATGTCATGTGCTGGGCTTAGTCAATGGCATCACCTGATACCGACTCCGTACTCATGATGCAAATCATTCGATATCAAATCCTGGCGAAGAAGTTCAACCTCTTCTGTGGCAAAGGGCTCGCTGTGGCTTATTACTCCGTCTCGGGCGACAATCAGGGCAGCGCTCACCATCTGGGTGCATTCCTCCGATCCAGGTCGCGCCATCTGGCACGCTAACGCCTGCAGGAGAGGATCATTACTCCGAGCGTCACACTACCTTTTTGCGCACGAGCACACGGAATTATTTTTGGCGTCTACAATTGTAGGCCTTGGGCCACGCTCCCCCTCTTTTCCCCCCTGATCGTTCTATTTTCTATTTGATTGGATTTCCGTTACATATTTTTTTTCAGTGCTGTGTTTTGGGCTGGTTTCTGGCACATTCCCGAGGTTCCTGGCCCGTCAGTCTTGACCTGCGGCTGAGACACCGGTCTTTGTTAGTACCCAAGATATCATTGGGCTAGGAGGCTGGGAGTGTTCAAAGCTATCGGGAGCTATCAGAGAGCTATTTCAATAACTATCTTCTGCCATTAGTCCACAGTGCGTCCACAATGCGTCCACAAATAGTCCCATCTGCCCCATTTGGTGGTTTTGGGGTCTCCCATGACGTGGTCGGACCTCCAGGGCTGAAAGGCGGAGGTGATGATATTACCTAATCTCCAGCCAAACAATGCAAACAGAGTTTCTGATAAACAAAAAAATCATGATAAAGATCAGAGCGCAACAGCCTCACGTAATAGGCCAATTCAAGACTCAATCATACAGAGACTCTGAACGACATCCAATCCTCTCACCTGGGAACTATACAGGAACTCCGATTCTGCCCTCACTAAAAAAAAAAAAAAAAACCTCCCCACTACGGAGTACAAACCGCAACAATGCTTCATTCCCGCCTACGACCCCTCCCCCGCCGCAACTATCCCACCAACACCCCCAGCGCCCCAACACCGGAATTCCAAAACGAAGATGTCGCCGAGATAGAAGAGTCCCCCGAAGACCTCTTCGGGGCATTCCTCCCCCACCTCTTCCCAGATGACGCACCTTCCTTCCACGGCGACCCAGGCCAACACCTCCTCTACAGCTCCCCCTCTACGGCGACCTCGACATCATGGTCCCCAGCTACCCCAGCTCAAGCGAGAAACGCTCCGAAGAAATCGCCGCCGGCCAAGCCAAGCCCGACGGCTCCGTGAACCAAGTCGACGAGGGCCGCAAGCTCTTCGCGCATTTCCTCTGGAGCGCCGCAATGGTCGTAGCCGAGGGTGTCGAAGAAGCCGATACGCCAACAGCACCGGGCACCGAAACAACAGCCCAGAAAGAGGCAAGAGAGCTATGGAGCATCAAAGGCGAGAGTGTGCTGGAATTGGGCGCTGGTAAGTGCGGTGCAATCTCGAGATATTGAAAAAAAAGTCTAATATATGCAGGCGCCGCGCTCCCTTCTGTTATTTGCGCCCTGGCTAATGCTTCGGTTGTGGCTGCGACGGATCATCCTTCCTCGCCTGCTTTGAGTGGTGCGATTACTTTTAATATTGAGCATAATGTGGCGAAGCGCGCGCCTCCGGTGTCTGGGTCGGTGTCGATGCATCCGCATGAATGGGGTGTGTTGACTGATTCATTCTCGGTGGCGAATAAGGGGGCGTTCACGCGGATTGTGGCGGCGGATTGTTTCTGGATGCGCTCGCAGCATGAGAACCTTGCGCGCACGATGCAGTGGTTCCTTTCGCCGGGTGGGAAGGTGTGGGTTGTTGCTGGGTTCCACACTGGCCGTACGATTGTTGCTGGGTTCTTCGAGACTGCGCTTGAGAATGGATTCGTTGTGGAGACGATCTTTGAGAGGGACTTGGTTGAGAGATTGGAGGATGGGGGTGAGATTCGGAGGGAGTGGGCTCCGTTCAGGGAAGGGGAAGGAGTAGAGAATCAGAAGAGGTGGTGTGTTGTTGCGGTTCTGAAGAGGAAAGGGGAGTAAAGAGAGTGACGCATTATGGTTATGATGGAGGGTGCATTTTTTTTTCCCCGGAGCGATATCCCATTTTCTTTGCATGATGAGCATATAGATGAGTTGACGTTGAGATGAGATAGAATCTAGTATATTCAATATATTATGTCTATACAAAACGTATTTGCTATCTACAACTCCACATATGCCGGAGAGCATCGAGATCTTCACTCAAGCATCATCCCCAAGCCTCTGGAAACAAACAGTACACACTCCCTGTCCCTCCTGCCCTCCAAATCGGAACCGGGGATACTCCACACGACCCCAAACCGCCAACCGATCCCCACTCGTCCGATCCCCAGTAAACCAATGCACCAGCTCCTCCTCCGTCCAGTTACAAGTAGTAACAATCAAAAACCCACCGCGCCGCACCAACCGCCGCGCGATATCCGGATACCGCTCACAGACACGAGTAGTCTTCGCATCATCCGACAACGAGACAGCATCGAAAGTCCCCTTATCAAGCACAATATCAAACCCACCCTGCTGGTAAGGGAACCAAGGAAGCGAGTTCTCAGAAGGCGAAGCCTCAAGACCCGTCTCCGAAAGAACAGCCTTCGAACCCAGGATATCCCACTCCTCAAACCGAATAGGAACATCCTGCACGGCCATCTTCGACCCACCCTCTACCTCATCTTCAGAGTCCTCCTCATCTTCCGAATCACTCCGATAAGCCGAATGTCCTTTCACACGCTGCAACTCCCTCGCCAGCTCGACACTCTGCCGCGAGTAATCAACGCCAACAAGAGGCCCCGCATATCCACCCCGCTTCTTGAGCAGTGCGAGCATGCTCCCATTGCCCGTTCCAAGATCCAGGACACTCGGTTGGCGGGCCGTGTCTTTGTGCGTGTTACGCGGCGACAAGGGGAAGGACTTGCGCGTGAGGAAGTGCAGGACTTTTTGCGGGGCGTTGTGCTCCGAGAACCAGGATGTGCCGGGATCATCTTCATCGTTTAGATCGGATGCGGCGGATGCAGCATCGTCATCTTCTTGTTCTGACCCGTTGGCATTGTCGGGAGTCTCGTGCGAGATGTGGGCTAGTGTGCGGGCGTAGTAGGATTCCCAACTATGTTTCGATTGTTAGATTTTTTTGGCCCGGGAATTGCCTTGAGGAGATTCCTTTAAAGAGGGAATGAGGATTTGGGGTTCAATTGGTAATTCCATCCGTTATTGCAGTGGATTATCTCGGTATATAGCACTCGTGGAGGGGTAGAAACGCGGGGTTGATCAACGCGCGACTCTCCTGACAGAGGAGGACGGTGTAGCTCAAGAGGATACATACTAGTCTTTTGTTCCCAGCTCGCTGGGCGAGAGGTATGCAGGGTGAGAATCTTCAGTCATTGTTGTGAACGTAGGACTGGATGTTCAAGGGAAAATTTATGGTTGGAGGTGAGGGGACTTATCGTTATCTTATCAACATCACTGCCCTGACCACTATAACTACAAGTATGCACTGAGACTAAAGTCCGTTGGAGACTTTGACGTTTAATATTGATCTCTATTATGAGAATGCGCTGAGGGGGTATTTATCATGCCGTCTTTCACCTATAAAGCATACCAGAAGGTCCACGAAAAACCAGGCAGCTTCATCACAAATGGGTGCTTAACACATATTAAGCCAAAACGAGTCCAAAAAAGAACAAGGCTCTGGTTGTGTGGCAAGATGGAAAGACAGAAGTCACAGACGAAAAAAAAGGAGCAATAAAGCGAGAGTTTGTGAGACCGAGGCCAGATCAAACTGAGAGAGCCTCAAAGAGATGGGGTACCCTCGATAATAGTACAGGTACCGGACCATGTGAAAGAAAGCAGTTTCCAATTCCCTTTCATTCGAGGCCAGGTTTTGGTATCAAATTTTCTCCTTTTTAGGAGACTCGAGACGCCAAGGAGGGAAAGGAGACAGGAGTTCAATAAACAAGGGAGCTGGCAAGACCCCGTAGGTTCAAACGACAAGAATATGCATTAAGTATGCAGGTTGAAGAGGGGGGAAATGGCGATGAGCGACAACAAAGCCCGCTTTGGTCATGAGTATCATCAAGCCAGTCATCTGATTGAGATGAGTGGAAGAAATTAATAAGTAAGAGCAGAAAACCGGCATCGACACTTCCCGTGGCACAAGAGCCTCCGGATGTGCGGGTGCGATAAATCTTTCCAAATCAGAATAAACGCAATGGGAGAAAATGTATCTGGTCATGGGATCGTTTCAAAGCCCTGGTCTTCGAGGACACAGAGGCGGAGATCACAGAAATTCATCAATGGATCTCAGAATCAGGGACTCGCCGCCAGATGGAGGCGAGCGAGGATCTGCCGGTTCGGTGGCAAACTGCATGGCATGAGGTATGGGAGGGGGAGAAAGAGCTGCGGAGCGATCAATTCGGTGGAATGACGATGGCCCTAAAGGTGGTGAAAGGAATTCGTTTGTCCTCGGAGAGAACAAACTACTGTTGGCATCTGGCATATCGCGTACGAACACATGGGTCTGAACGAGCGGATCGCAGCTACTGACACTGCGTGTCAGCCCTCGTGGCCGACCCGAGGCAGGTTCTACAGACTGGAACTTCTGTCGGAAGGGAAGAGGCCGGGGGGACAGACTCCGCTTAGGCGAATAAGACTTGAATTTGGAATAGGTGTTGCCATTGCCGCTCGTCGTGGGACGCATCGAGGTTGTCTCTGGGATGGACAGGCAGCTCGTTGATGGTGCCTGGGACAGTCCGCGGAAGGGTGATCTGCCTGATTCGTGTGGTGCTGGGCGCTCTGATCGCGCCACTTGGGGTTCGGAGCTTCGTCGGCCAGTTTGGACAAACCACTCCTGGGGTGGAGGTTTGGATGTGGATCCTCGCAACAATTTAGAGCGGAAGTCCGTAAGCTGGTAGATAAGACTCATGTTTGGGCCTACCCACTGGCTGCGGCCCTTGACCGCTTCATACATTGAATTGAAATCCAAATGTCTGTGTTTATACAGCCCATAGGCAATGACCAGCGAGGCTGAGCGGCTGGCACCCAGTTGACAATGTACCAGGACTTTCTTTCCTTCGGTGATTCGGTCATCGATGAGTTCACAAAGTGGAAGAAGGTCCTCGAGGATTTCCGAGTTGTGGTCCCAACCGACATGAATATACTCCGGTGTTGAGATAGTAGGACTCGAGACTGTAGGTGTTCCTGATTCGGAATCTGAGGGCTGGAATTCCCAGGCGGACTTGAAGGACAATTCTGAAGTTGCAGTCTGGGGATCGCCACGAGAAAAGCGTTTGGAGGCCACCGAAGCATTCCGCCACGTGCTCATCACTGTATCGTTCCTTTCCCCTTTGTTGACAGTAAACGGGTTGGCTACTTCTTTGGCGACGTTGATGACCACATCGAACTTGGACGCCTCCTCTGCTGTTGGTTCCAGATACAAGTAAACACCTGAGTCGTGAATCCGGATAGGTCCATCTGGATAGCCTCGATCCTTCTTGCGGGTCGACTCGCGCGAGTCCAGATGATCATCCTCTTCTTCTAGCCCAGGGAGAACGCGCCGAGAGAAACCGGATCCGACATCCGGTACCAAAGTGATAGGAGAAGCAGCATCCTCAGAAGATACGCCAGACAGATGGCGCGCACCATGGTGTGACATTGGTCGAGGTAATTGCATACCTCCCTGTGGCGCAAACGAGGGCGACGAAACTGATGCAAGTGATGGCGCTGCAAGTGATGGTGATGACTCTGCATGGCGCAGAGATGGAGTTGGGGGCACTACATCGGTGGCGATACTAGCGAACGATTGTTTGAATGTGGGGGTCTGGATAGTGAGATTGGCGGGGCGGCGCCTCGTGCCTTTGGACGGGATCGACACGGGCGATGATGGAGTATCAAAGTGGTGTTTTGAAGTTTCCACCAGTGATGCCGTGGCAATAGGTGGACGAGACTGAGAGGAAGGCATTCGTAATGACAAGTTCTTCAGATTACGTGCCCGCCGATTTGGAGAGTCTGGGCGCCCATTGTGAGGGTTCGGCAGACGCGGTTCACCGACAGGCGCAAGGCGGGGAGCCAGTTCCACGGGCCGTGTGGAAGGCATATACTTTGGATATGAGACCGGCATTGCTGATGGAGATTCTGGAGACGAGCTGGGAGAGATGTCACCTCCGCCGGGCGAATCAAAGGGCGAGATCGTTGTGGTCGGGGAAGACTCGGTGGAGCCCGAGGTCATTGATGACACACTTTGGCGATGAGGTGAAGGAAGTAGGTGTGTATTGACAGGGACATGCGTTGGGTATTGAAGAGGATGGATGTCTTCCTCTTTGTATCGCGGAAGAGGACCACCAAACACCGACATGAAAGACGGAAATGAGTCCGGGAAGGACGGTGGACTCGTTTGCACTGGCATTGTTCGAGGGGCGGGACGGACACTTTGAAAGGCGCTTTCCCTTTCAACCCAGCTCTAGTCTGACGTGTTTCAGAGAGACTAGAATGGCATTCGGATCCAAGATGCACTTGCTACCGGCGCAAATGGTCTCTATAGGACAGAGCATGAGCTTTGAATCTAGGGCGGTAACTGCTATGCAAGGGTTGGGGGCTAATGATCCGGGCGATCATGCAAATCACAAGGGGAAAAGCATTCAGATGCACGATGCTTATGAAGGAGTGGGACCTAGGAACGAGAGAAGATAGGAAAGGACCACATACCAGATACGTAGCGCGGGGATATGCCTCTCTCTCTCTCTTTTTTTCGTTCTCCTTGCAAGAGATATATGTATGAAGGAATGACAATTTACCCAAGACCCAAGATCCTCTCATCTAAGGTCAAAGGAATCCAAAAAAAAAAAAAAAAGGGTATTGAGTAGAAGGTGGGGGTGTGTGTTGACTATAGAGTCCAAGTTCCTCCGGGGAACCAGGAATGTGAGCAAAGGAGAGTGAAAGGAATCAACGTCAAAAGAAAGAGAAAGAAGAAGGGAAGTCGAAAGAGCAAGAGAGAGAGAGAGAGAAGAAAAAAAGAAAAAGAAAGACCGTTTTGGAGGCTTTGTGTTTTGATTCGAGATCTCCGATTGTACATACAATACCATACACGTACTGGCCCAATCAGCCCGTCTGCTCTAATTTTAGCCGCCCTGCCATGGACGTCGGCGTCAAACGCACCGAAATGAGAGGCTCGAGAGTGTGCTGCTCCCGCCTTAGTGTATACCATCGTAAGCTATACTGGCTTACGGTGTAATTTCTTTTCCCCCCGGACCAGATCAAATATGTTCGCACAGCCGGGTTCCACCGAGTTCCACCTAGCTGAGCCTTGTGGACGGAGTCCATGTGTTAATAGTTATACTGTCACACCAAATACACCAACGGCTCAACGTGACAAGGGGCCTCGACATCTCTTGAGACGGAGAGCCCCCAAGCGCAATCTTGATTCCCAGTGGAAGTACAACAGGGCGACAGCTGGAAGTCGGAATTGGCAGATTTGGATGAACGGTGGGCAGGCCGATCCGGGACCTGGAATGGAGAAGATATTAGGGGCAACCCAAACAAACCGAGCCCGGCATCCCTGATTGGAGGAGCTGGAGAGGAGCAGGCTCATCCTGAAACCCCATGGATCTGGGTTTGGGCGTAGCGTGAAACACGCCAAAGTGACGCTAGTGGCCACTAGTGCATCCTTGGCGCTCACTGGATCTGGCCCATTTCACTGAAGTAGATGAATGTACGATGTACACTGTAAACAATATCGGACTAGTTCACATTTCATCGAGAAAAGCCCGTGTGATATCATTTGGACATTATTGAAGTTTGAGGTCCACTGTGGTCCTCCGTGAAATGATAAATGATCGCCCAATTCCCACGTGGGTGTCGTAACGATTCTGAAACTGGATCTTCAGTGGATGCCAAATCGGGCGATGGTCAGCGTACGGAGAGGACATCATCGTATCGAGTACGGAGTACGGAGTACACGTACGGAGTATCTAACGTACAACATACATGACCCCCCATTATGCTTATCATGATCCGAAAATGTAGCCGATCGACATTCGTCGCAACCGGCCAATGACAGCAAAGCGCAGAACCTGGGAAGTCTCCAGAATCCGTGGATTGGCAGAGTTGCAGCGTGAAGCTCTGGCACCGACATCGGGTTCCAGATAGATCACCCCCCCTTTCCCTCGCGTTCTGAACCCGCGTTAGGGGAAGCTTCAGGCGTTTCACCATGAGCTCATTTCTAAAAATAAATTCCCCCCAAATTGCCCATGCGCGGTTGACGGTCTTACGTTTCGGACTTGACGGTCACATTCCATTGGTCGGTGATTATGCGATATACAGAAACAAGTTGTGGACATCAAGTTGGATTGGCTTCCTTTTGACGAAGGTAGATTGCCTTGGTGACAGGCATATTCTGTGTACGGAGTATTCCGTACAATAGAGCCCTCTCCAACTATGTACATTCCTGGCAAGATCACGCTAGAGACCGGTACTGCAACGGCGTTGAAACAGAAATGCATGGTTCACGTCGCCCTGAAATGTCTCATTGGCAATACAGTACGGAGTACGGAGTACTCCGTAGAGTCGACGGAGCTCACAGCGCTACCTATATAGAGGCAAGGCATGGCTCTCATTTACTTTCCGTTGAATCCCATATTAAAAGACATTGCGTGAGTCCACAGGATATACCAAACACCACTCAATGCGCCCCTTTATTGGAATTGCCTTGCTTGTGTCTCTACTTAAATATAGATCGTACCTGAGTCAAGAATACAGATAATGCAGTCACGGAGTCGATTGAACACCGGGCCCTCTTCCGACTCCAGTGACAGTCCACAAGCGTGGGCATTGCCCACGCTATCCGCTCTGCATTTCATCCACTTTGAGTCCTCAAGTCGTTAAAGCACCGAATCAGAATAGTCCCTTGGGTGACACCCTCTATCAGGTCCATCTAGATTTTCGGATGCGGCGGCTTTCAATCCCGAAGTAACCCTGAGCAGGTTGTTGCAGCCAGATAGCTTGCTTCCATCCCTAAATTGATTGGGGTTCCAAAGACATTGAACGCAATAAGAACGCTCAGAGGGGAGTATTTCTTAATCCACTGCAGAGAAATTGTAGTAGACCGCAAACCGTTGACCGTGGCCTGTCAGGGTCGAGACACAGGAAGGGCAGGAAGCTGATCGAAAAAGTCGAGATCTGGGTCGGTCCAAAAGAACCACGGAACCCACCCACGATGAACCACGGTTAAATTGCTGGGTTCGTGGAAATAACACAGCACAAGCAGCAGCAAAGGGAAAAATAAAAAATCCTTCTCCGTTGAGGTTTTGGGAAATACTCTCCGGATTGGGATCAATTCAATGGGAATCCCAGGTCGGGGTTGTACCATGTACCCTGAGGTCACTGAGGTCACCGAGGTCACTGAGATCGTCCCTTTTTCGAGATTTCACCAAATAGGCTTGTTTGGCTGTGTAGAAATGTGCATGCACAATATTCCAATCGGACACAGACACAGGGCTCGTCTAGATCGAAATTTACCCACAGTGTACGGAGTATATCCGCCAGTACTCCATGTAAAAACTTTGCCTTTCTCCTTTGCCGTCTGACAGGTCAAGTTCACTGTACCTCCTGCCATCGTGAGCCTGTGCATGTTTCCAACTCATCGGGAGTATGCAATCCTATCTAGATAGCTTTCCCCAGAAACATCCGAGATCGCGAAACATCCGTACTTTGATACTTGTGATACTTTTGATACTTTGATACTTCGATACTTCGCACCTCGTACCCAGTACATGGTGACTCTCGTACCCTCGGAACGATGGCTGCAGGTTCCCGTGACCATTATTTGGAGCCCAACCAGGGCAATCGCCTGGATCATCATCTCCAGCGTCCTTCTCGCTCGCGTTCTTTGTCGCTGAACACTCGCTTCGATGGCCCCACTGGTGATGAAACACCCAATCTAACCCCGAAACGCTCCTTATTGCACCGCGCCCGGCGATCCGTCCTGAGCTTCAGCTCACCCAGCCCCCAAGCTTTTGAATCTTCCAATGCGAAGAGGCCCGGAACAGACGAACTTTCTCAAGATCGCCCTGATGTGAAAGGAATCATGCCATCAAGTCTGGCTTATTCTGGAGCCTCTGCGACCAGAAATCTAAACGAGAACGCTCGCTCGTTCAACAGCACTTTAAACGGGACTCGACCAGAGATCGAGGACTTGTCTTCGATGGAGGAGAGCCGCCCGAAAAATGAGGATATATTCTTAAACATCGCAAGAACCGATTCTGATCGTCGCGATTCGATAGCTCGTTCGGATTTTAGGCGGGTGAGTGAGATTGAATCCCCATGGCGTGAGCCGGACAGAACCCGATCGCATTCCTTGGTCGCTTCTGACATTCCATCGGGTTACCCGCGTAAACATTCTTGCAAGTCCCTCGTAAGCTAATGAAGTATCTCAGTCGCGGCTTGGATATTCTAGCCAGAGTCTTCGTCCGCCTGCGATAGAACAAACCCCCTCACCCGATCAGCGACACAGCAATATCGATAACCCCTTGCTTTCTCAAAATGATGCCCCGATGACCCCCTACAGCTCTGTTCACACTCCGGCCTCATCCGTCCACCCGCTAGACGATTCAGCTCGGTTCCGCTACAGTACCCTGGGATCTGGCTCGCGGTCGACTGTTGGTGTTCCACGAAATCGCTTCAGCCGTACAAGCCCAGAGACCTCACCGCGCACTCCCTCTGCGGGGAACGCGCCCATGTACGATTCGCGCACTAATCGCCAATCGGGCCTTTCTACAATCCGAAGCAGTCGCCAGCCATCGACCGGTGAAGTGACCGGGCGACCACGAGCGGATACAGAGCGATCGCGCGCGGATGGAACGGAGTCCACATTGTCCACCACAGCGCCATCCACTGTCTGGGATGAACTTGATGATCTCAAGGATCGGATCAAAAAGCTCGAACTGACAGGCAAGCTGCCTTCGTCATCCGCGGCGGCAATGTACACCCCTACCGATGAACGACCTCGGACTGCAAACACAGCCATCACCACATTATCTTCCTCACCCAAGAATCGTCGCAGAACCAGCGTCTCGGCTGCAGATACCGAAACTAGTCCAGTGCACCCTATTCTGCAATCCGCATTGGCCAAAGCAAAAGTTGTTTTGAGCGGTGAGGTGTACACCTCCCTCGAGGCGACAATTACCGATGCTATGAATCTTTCCACGGCGTTGGGCGCCAATAGCGCACCGTCGGGCAGCATTTCTGTTGTGAACGGAGGATACACCTCGCCTGAACGACATGCCCGCCGCAAAGCGGACAGTGTCTGCCGTAGCCTGACCGAGCTATGTCTGGCCCTGACCGACGAGCAACTGAAGAAAGCTCGTCCGTCGTCAAGCCACGATGCCAACGTGCAGCCTCCGTTACCGAATGGCATCCATGCCATGCCATCGTTCCAGGATATCCAAGGAGTTGAGCGGCGTCATAGCACTAATCGTATTTCCAGTCGCCTTGAAGCACGTCGAGCATCACTGATGAATGTCAGCCCTGGGAATACGACAGATGCAAAACAGAGCCCGAACCAACCGCCCGGCATACCTGCCCCAACCAGTCGTCTAAATCGCATGTCGACTTCTCTCCGCAGCCGCAGGCTTACCATTGGCGATGAGAACAGAGAGATTGAAAGTCCATATGGTCGTTCGGTTTCCCGGTCCAATACAGAGATCAACACACCGATTGCCCCCACCGCGATACCCACTTCTCGGCATCGGTTCTCTCTGGGCCATACAGTATCCCGCTCCGTCTCCGGTGCGCAGCAGGATCAAGGTGTTTCTGGAGCGCCAGTTCCCCGCTCCCCGCAATACCAATCATCACAAATCCCCCAGTCACAAATACAACCACCATCACAACCTCGGACACCGACTCTCTCATCCAATGTCTCCTTCCGTCGAAGCTACATGAGCCCTGCCACCTATACTCCTGCCACCTCTCGCTCCAACATCCAGGCCGGGTCTCGCCGCTACGGCCTAACCCCTAGCTTCTCCTCCAACAACGTACAAGCCACCGCAGTCGAAGACCACCCCCGAAATCCGCAACAAATAGAACCCTCCCAGACCAGGTTCTCAACCCCATCAAGCAAAATGGCAACCAGTTACACGCCAATCCAAACTCCACGACTGCGAACAAACAGCTTGGGAGCCCGAAGATTCGGTCTTCGAAACCGCACACCAGCCACCTCAAATAATGTGAACCTCGACGATAGCATCGATTAACGTCTCATTTCCCATGGCACAACAGCCGATAAAACAAAAACCGGTCACATCCATCTCGAACAATCCCCCCTCCCCCCCTTTTAACGCAGCGATTTCCCGCATCTGATCCTGTTTCTATTAACATCGGCGTTCTCGCAATACTTCCTCCAAGCCTGGCCACCCATAGCAACATGGAGTCTTCACCATCCTTTACAAGTATGCATTTTTGACGAATCTCCTGTGTTTTGAACCGAGCGAAAGAAACAAAAGACACTTTCCTCCACGCCTTTCCAATTACTTCTATGTCAATTTTTTTTCTCTTTCCTGTCTTCGGGTGATGATCTCCCCGACAGAAAAAAAAAGCCCTGCCATCCCCGGACTCTCAACTCCGTTTGTGGATGCTTTTTCCTTCTCCAATTCATGTATAAACAAAACCATTGGCGGCGTCTCTTGTCCATAACACTCTTCCAGAGTGGCTTTGAGCATTTTCACCCTAGGGTTTCCATGTCATTTTATTACTTTTTTTTCCCTCTTGTTCTCTTTGTTGTTCTGTTTCATCCCTCTTTTTATGTCTTGCGGGCAGCGTTCATATCTATGTTCGTTGCCCGTAGGATGGTTTTTTTTTCTCTTTTGTCTGTGTTACAAATGAGCATTTACATAATGATGATTGAATGGAATGAATTGAATGTTTTAAGGTCTTCTTTTATGGGTTCTGTCAATTTGTGTGGTTGTATTGTTGTCTACTGGTGGCTGCTTGGATAGAGTATAGTGCAGGACATAGCCTGAGATACTCCGTATACTAGAATCGGCTCTAAGATAGGATTATGTATTATCTACACATACATTATCTGTTGTATATACCTGGTAGGTTATGTAGCTAACGGATAAATCAACATGTACTGGAAGAGAAAGAATGATATCTACCGATACATATATCAAAACCATTCCTTTCTAGGGTATTTGATGAGATTCAGATAATGTCAATGTTCTACCAACATTGACATCCGATATTCATATTCCTCAAAACAGACAAGATACGCAACGAGGAGATACATAATAGGGGAGGGATTAGGGAAGCGTTTTTTTATTGTTTCAAGGTTTCGTTTTCAAAGGTCAAGGTACACGGCAACAAGGAAAAAAAAGGTAGGAGTTGGAAGAGAGGAAGGGGGACAAGAAACAGGGAACATAAGTCGAGGAGATAAGAGTGGAGAAAAGACAAGGATCAATATACTCCGCCAGCTATTCACCGGCGGCGTACAAAGGTGGAACGAGGACAAGGACAGGGAAGGAGGTAGAGACTGGGATGGCGACGGAGTCTGTGGTTCGGGAGTCGGGGTAAAGACGAATTAGAGATATCACGGTGAAAGCTCAGCTGGATGTGGGAAGCAAGAGGGAAATGGAGGCGTGAGGCTGCCGTGATGGACGTAGTAAAGTTGGAGGGTTCTGATCGCAGGTTGCGGTTCAATTCAACGCACAATGATCAATGAAGATCACAGAGACCTGGTATTAATACGCTTGTGTAACCATCTATCCACCGCAGTGAACTTTTTTGAGCGACGGCGTCCATGGCGAGGGCCAGTGCCCCGAAAGAGAGCCGAGAGAAAGAGAGGAAAAAAGGAAGGGGAGAAGAAGGACTTGAAATAAGATAGAAGAATAAGAAGAAACACAATAAAAGAAGCGCTAGCACATGACCGCCGCTGATCGTGACCGACAGTCTCCAAAGAAGTCGTAAGGTCAGAGAACACAAAGAAGCCCCCGCTAGGACCGTCTCATCCGCACATACCCAAGAAAGGACCTGGGAGGGGGGATCTACTCCTGGGGGAGCTGACTGCGGCGAGTCTTCTCGGCTTCAAGGTTCTCATAGAGAAGGTACAGGGCCTTCTCATTGGCCTGAGCACTTCCCATGATGGTGAACATGCGCTCGCCAGTTTCATCATGGGGAGCCTTGGCAATGGAAATCCGAGCACCAGAGCTTCGGCGAATCTCCGTGATCTTGGTTCCAGCACGGCCAATGATGCAACCGACCATGTCCGCAGGGATGCTGATGTTCTGGGTCTGGATCTCCTCGCCATCTTCCGTCACCAGGGGATAGCCGCGGTTGCCAGCATCGGAGTTGGATCGGCGGTTGTAGCTACCATCGCTGAAGTCGGCACCGTTGCCGGTGCGGTTGTATTGACGGCTGTTGCTGTTGTTCTGGTACCCATTTCCAGCCGGAGCGTTGTTGGTGAGTGGCTGCGATCCACCGAGAGAAGCGCGCACAGCGGGGTTGTAGAGAACAGTACCAGTGCCACGTTGCCAGTCGTCAAGCAGGCACTTGCCGATTTCCCAGACAGCCTTCTCGATGCCCTCGGGGGTACCCTGGACTTCAACGATGCGCTCTGTCGACTGAGGAAGCATTTCCTTCTGCGCAACCATACGAACACCGGATGCATCCTGGATGTGCTTGATTTTCAGACCCTGGCGTCCGATGATTGTTCCCATTTGGTTGTGGGAGATCAGAAGGCGAATGGCTGGGGAAAGTTAGCGCAAACTCGAAGGGTGGGGTCTTCTTATGGGATAGAAAGAGATATCCAAGGGAAATTACATACGGTGAGTTCCATTGTTAGAGACAACGCCGCCCATGCCCATCTGCGGGGCACCCTCAAGGAGGCCCTTTGCCACGATCGCATAGGCCCGAGCGAGCGAGCGCAATTGACCAGTGACAGTCAGGACACGGTCATGCACACCAGGAACCACCTTGCTGACTCCAGCCTTGACACCGGTTTCGTCGCGCAGGTCAGCAACGTTCTTGCCGGCCTTACCAATGATGACACCGGCCTCCTTGGAAGAAACGATGGCACGCAGAGTCAGCTCAGCGATAGCATACTCCTCCTCAGTCTTGAGAGGGGTCTCCAGATCACCCTGATCAGCGATGTTGTCGTTGAAGTTATCGGTCATAGGCTCATCCACGACGGTGGTTTGGTGAATTTCGGTGTCCATTTTGACAGAGGTGGGGGTAGGTGTAGGAATTCTTTTGAGACCGTACGGTCGCGGGATGCGGATAGAGACTTCTCAAATAGCGGCACAGTCAGTATTGCGAAACGAAGAAGTCAAGAGATAAGCGCATGTCACAAGTCACAATGCGCAAAAGCTCAGCAAACTGAGAAAGCTCTTTGAAATCGTATGTGATTGCTCAGGTGAGGACTCACAGGAAGAGATAGAAGTGGAGAAATGGATGGGAGGGGGAAAACGGCAGAATCTCGGATCAGAGGGAGGAGAAGAGAGAAGGGAGGTAGAAGCAGAAGAGAGATGAAGGTCGGAAAAGGAGAAGGGAGAAGGGAGGTAGAAGGAGAAGGGTGAAGGGTGAGGGATGGAGTTGAAGAGGCAAGAGTTGAAGAGCTGAGTGTTGTGCCTTAAGCGGAGACGAGGCGAAACCACCTCCCCCCCCCCATATGCGAATCCACCTAGCATTTATAACCATTTTTCTTTTCTTTTCTTTTCTACTTTCATTGTTCACCATTTTCTATTTATACTCTCTTCATATCTACTGGTCCGCCTGGAAGATCACCTTTTGTACTTTCATCGCGTTAAATAGCTCATAGCCCTCGACCGCCTGCGAAAGTGGCATAATCTTATCGGCCATGAAGCTATTCCAATAGTTAGCACCCTGTCATAGGGGATGGCAGTGCACTTACCCAAGCTTGTGCTGGTTTTTCTTGAGCACCTCCAGGGCCTGGGGCGCAACAGAACGAACCGGGCATCGGCCCATCTGGACAGTGAGGTTCTTGGAGTAGGCATCGTTGCCATCCCAAGGAATCTGCGAAAGAGGTCATTGAGCAAAGAATAATTGAATCAGCACCGGCTTCTATCTTACCTCTCCGTTGTGAACACCCACACTGCTGATCGTTCCGAAAGGTCGCACCAGTTCAAAGCCAGTGCGCAAGGCAGGGCTCAACCCAACGACTTCAATGATGGCATCGGCACCACGTCCGTTTGTCAGCTCCCGAACACGCTTGTCCAGACCAGCTCGGTCCAGCTGGAAGTTCCACGGCTCAGCACCGAGTGACTGGGCAAGTTCCAGTCGCGATGGGACCGAGTCAACTGCCAAGATGTGCTTGGGCTTGTACTCCAGCGCATTGATGAGTGCACAGAGACCAACCGGTCCACATCCAATCAGGACTACTGTCTGTTGAGCGATTTGCTCGGGAGTCGAGTTCTTGAATGCATTGTGCGCCGCAAACCAGCCTGTAGGGAAGATGTCTCCCATGAGCACCAGATACTTCTCGTCGACACCCTCGGGAGCCTTCATGACTGAACCTTCAGCATTGGGGATTCGGGCCTATTTAATTTAGTACCACAGCATAGCATAAGAGCATCAGAACCCACATATTCAGCCTGTCCACCATCCAAGCTATCACACCCAAAAAGACCGTTCTTATCACAGCGAGAAGACCACCCTTGCTTGCAGTAGAAGCATTCGCCGCTAAGATAATGTCAGCATTGAACCCTCTGGAGTAGGTCTGAAAGCCACTTACCATGAAGTAGTAAAAGCAGTGACCACACGATCACCCTTTTGGAGAGTCTTGACGGCGCTGCCCATCTCAACAATCTCGCCCACGAACTCATGGCCCATGACGAATCCTGTACCTGCAGGTTCCACGCCACGGAACATGTGCAGCTCACTATACAAGAATCAACAAAAATTGTCTTAGAGCTATATATAGATCAATCTCACCTCCCACAAAGCGCAGTATATCCCACCTTGACCACAACGTCCTCTGGGTTCTGCACCTTAGGAATCGGCCTCTGCTCAACAGCCACCTTATAAGGGCCGTGGAACACAACCGCCTGCATCATACCGGAATCTGAGGGAGTAGCAACCATTCTGAGAACAATGATTAATCTTTTTTGTGTATAGGTATATCTGCCACTTTAAGTCGAGACTTACATGTACTATGTTCGGTGGGAAAATATTCCGATTCCACTTTTAGTCCAGTGTCTGGGAAATCCGATTGCAGTGGGATCCCAGAGCTTTTATCAACTAAATCCCCCGGTCTCGGGCTTGTGTGCGAATTATCTGGTGGGGCTGCTCCTCTGAGCCCACATTGGGTTGGTCTCCACTGAGAGTGGGATACAGACGTTCTGCTGGCACCGTTAGTGTTGCGAATACAAAAGGGCGACAATAAGTGTGGCCATCAAAGCGAATGTAGGTGGCTTTATCTCATGGCTCCAACAGACCTATGTATAGACTCTACGTGAAAGATATATGAGCCATCAACCTGTATTTCAAGGACGCATCGGCAAAACGGCCTGCCTAACATCTGCAAATATCTGGTTCCAGCCCCGTGAGGCCCAGAGAAACTACATAAAAAAAATCAAATGCGCTTTGCAACGCCGTTTCGCAAACACCAGAGCTGGGAAAAGAGCATAGAACAAGAATCAGTCTCGAGAAAGCGTAACAAAAAAAAACATCAAGAATGCTCAGATAATGCAGCCCGCTCGTATCAAATATCGAAACCCGAAGATCGGCCCTCCAGTACTTGAACCGAAGAGCAACAGCAACGTCAACACAAGATCTCACTCGCATTAACAAACAACACAGAGTAGTTCCTCTTCAAGAATGAACTTGCCCTCCTTGTACTTCTCACTGCTCTCATATGCCTTGTCGTACTTCCATCCTACCGTTTCATGGCACTGTCTGCAGGCGATATCGCGCACAATATGTCGACCAGTCGTCATGCTGCGCTCTACAGCTTCACGCTGGGTGACATTGACAACAGTATTGAAGAGATATGCTTTCCCATGTTGGCCTCGGAAGTTCTATGGAAATCAATAAAAAAGCCTGGGTTAGCAATAGTTCATGGAATGCGTGGCAGAGAAATGGGGGTTCAATGGGGTGGATTGGGTAGAATGATGTACGATACCCGACTTATGATGTCATTGTAGTCTGCCAGATGAGTCTTGCACCCCTTGCAGCCAAAGATTTTATTGGCGGTCAAGTAGACATTGTAGGAGAGTCCCATGATGGCTGTAGCTTGATGCGGTTATTGCCGGTGTGGTGGAGGGGGTGTGTTTCTGTAGGGATCTGAGATGGCAGTCGAGGGTCCTGGGAGGTGAGTTCGAAGTAGCAGAGGGAGAGCTGGCAACTGGGATCTAATATAGGGATGCGGGTCGTTTATTGGGACGAGCAGCGTGTTTGCTCTTTCGATATTGAACTAGTCTGGCCCCGCCCTGGCTTCGATTCGGGAGGACACAGTCCTGCTGTAGACCTCCTCAAAAGATGTTCGAGGGTTTATGCTCTGGCCAGACTGGAGTTGGAGTTGGTTTATAAGAGAAAAGTATCCAGAGCCCTTTCAGAGGGTCTATGAAAGGAAGATGTGTCGTTGGACTTCCAGTTGACGTGACGATAAGCCCGATAAGCGAATCGGAAGGAGATTCGGGATTCACGGAGACCAGACGGCCAGTATAAGAGCGAGTCAAAGAGGGGAGAATAGACCAGGGTGTACAGAGGTTACAAAAAGTCGAGCTGAGCTCGGAGGCTTAAATGTCTCATGCCTAAGGGCCCCGCACCTGGGTTGCGGTTGGTCTCAAACCCCGAGCTGCCCTTTGTGAACTGTAGTACTCCTTCTGTCTCAGCCGGGAATATACGGGAGTCCACTACTTATGAACACACTGGTGTTTGAAGGGAAGGGTAATCATCGATTCAGAATCACTGTACATTAGGCGCCGATAACATGCGCTCCTCCAAAAATGCTCAAATGACCAAATTACATGTCTGAATCAGCTGCATTCTATTTTTTGTTCCAGATCTCTCTGCTTCACTCGTAGTCCTTCACGTAACGACCAGGCAGCTCAACATCCCACATGGGTCGCTCCACCACGGCGATTTCCAAGTTCCCACTCGGGTTCTGGTCGTCGGAATCGTCACTCGATAGGGTGTTGAGAGGTACGATGCCGAGGATATCACGGTATTTATACGTGTGCCACCAACGACGCGGAGGCTGAGCTGAGGTGCCGTTGGCCTCCACCAGCTGCTTATTCGGGGTGTCGCCAGCGCCATTGGCACTAGGCCGGCTCTTCTGTGATCCCTTCTGGGGGGTCTCAGTCGTGGCCGGGGCTCCATCTCCACGTCGGAGACGAGCGAGTGTTGACTCATTGGTGGCTGCAAAAGTCTCGTCGTACTCGTAGGCCTCCTCATCTTCGCCTGGGACGCGGGTACGTTCCTTGTCCAGTGCGACCCACTCGCCTTGGGACTCATCACTGCCAACGATTTTGCGGACCTTAGTACCAAAGTGAATCTCCATTTGTGATTGTGGCATTCGGTCACCGGCACCGGTGTTGTGCTTTCTCCGCTCTTCTTCGTCGTCATCGAGAGGATCGCGCTTGCGCTTTGATACCTTAACGAGCGCACCCGCGAGTTTGTTTGTTTCGGCGAGAGCTTCAGCCTCCTCGGGGGAGGGGAAGTCTTGTAGCAAATCGAACATCCACAACCACGAGGCTCCGTAGAGCCATAGACGCTCGCGGCCCTCGAAGAGGTCCCACATGCAGCCCATAGCTCGGTCTTTAACGCCCCGGAACTCTGCAGGGAGGTATGCCTTGGGGTTGCGTCTTGACCAGTCGGATAACTTTCCATCCCGAGCATCAAATTCAATAAGCTGGTGCTCACTTGTGAGAACCATCAGTCGGTCTTCGGATGATTTGGTGCCATTGGTGATGACCTTTTGTGTAGGGGCAGACTTCGGACGGAAAGACAGCAAAGTGATACCGGACTTCATACGGGGAATTGGTGATTCAGTAGCGGCGGTAGTCCAGCGCTCGCCCTCAATCACGATATCCTCGTCCTCGTCATCGGATGAATCATCATCGGCCTCTTGACGTTTGATATTACCATTTGCGGATCCGGTGGCTGTGCCCAGGACCCAGGTGTCGACACAACCGGAGATATCACCACTCGCGAGAATCTTGCTATCATCAGAAAACACAACTGATCGTATCGTTCTCTCATAGTCACCCAATGTTCCGTGGGATGCCTTTTCGTGACGAACATGACGTGTGGCTCTCTTGAGCTTGGCGAACTGCGACAGCACTTGAGGCTTCTCATTGGATGCGGAGGCGGGCTGGATCCGTGCCATGTAGATATCACTGTTGGGACGGACAATTGAAAGCCATCGGCCATCGGGGGAAACGGTCACAAGGCGGGCACCTTCATTCGAAAGTGACTTGGGTACGTCGATCTTTTGAATGCGGAGAGTGCCCTTCTCATCACCCTTTCGCCGACGGAGAGAAAACAGTTTGACTTCAGCGATGGTTGCAACAGCGAGTGTCTTGCCATCTGAGGACAACATTGCCGATGAGATATTTTCTTCGCCCTGTATCAAAACCTTTCCAACAAGTCTGTGCCGTTGTCCATCGATATTCTCGTGCAAAGATGCGGGACCTCGAGATACCCGCCAGAGGCTCACTTCTCTATCCCAGAAGCTCATGACCAAGCGAGATGACGGCGCAGAGGTGAGCTGGGGAATTTGAGGAAGACTGGAAAGCTTGCGGTGGTGTTCCTTTCCGAATTCACGAAGAGGCAGAACGATTGGTGTGGCATCGGGACCTGACCAAAGAGTTAGTTGTGTTTGACATTGTAATAAGAAGCAGATTTGACAAACCTCCAGACACGGCGATACTGATATCCCTGGTTTCATAGACAGCGAATGTCTTAACATCGTGGGTGTGGTAACGACGGTGCATAACCTCAGCCCAGCGACCCTTCTTGTCGCCTTTCTCGCCCTCCTTCTTGCGGTAGACAACCGTCCGCTGGTCGGCACCACCACTAACGACAGTATCTCCGTTGGCACTCACTGCGATATCAAGTGTATCGGCAAGATGACCCTGTATCCGTTGAACGAGAGAATAGTTCTTTGCATCCCAGAATCGAATTTCACCAGCCGAGTCACCGGAGACGATGGTGCCATCCGGCAAACATTTCACCGACCAGACCAATAGTTCCTTCGGGCCACCTGTGGGACCCTTACCCAGGGAAATTGTGCGCAGCATCTGACCAGTGCGAATATCGAAGAGACGAATGGAGCTATCAGCATAGCCGGCGACAATAGTGTGACGGTTCTGGAAGGTAACGCTAAGGACGCGCGCTCTTTTAGTCGAGGGACGCATCAAGCGCAGGAACTTGAGCTCGTTATCGGCAGTAGACAAAATGACAATTGACCCGTCCGCACATCCTGCGGCGAGATGCTGGCCCGTAAACTCGCCCTCGGAGGCAGAAACCACCTTTCCATCCTTGCCCTTGGTTGGTTGCCAGCGCGGCTGCGCAGCAAGACACCAGATCTCCCCATAGTTTCCACTGGAGTGGCGCAGCGGGCGGCCATTTTCAAGATCCCATTCGGTCACGGCGGTAGAATATCCAATGCTGAACAGACGTAGCTTTCCAGGCAGTTTGGTGCCATCGGGCCCGTCCTCCTGAGGATCAAGAGTCCATGCGAGTCCTTCAATACTTCGGTCCTTGCCTCCACGCATCACGGTCTCCTGAAACCAGGCTCCGCGCATCGGGTTCCATATTTCGATATCGCCGTTCGCACGACCGATCGCAAGTCGGAGGGTAGGCACACCACGTCCAGCTAGATCTGCTGATGGAGGGTGAGAGAATGCAAGCGCATTGATCGCCTGTGGGTTATATGAAACGAAACGGCAGCGGTGGATATCCATGACTGAAGATATGAAAGCCTTGGGGCTGTATGGAATTGAACGGTGTGCAGATCAGAAATGGAGATGCTGAAGATCAATTTAAATATAGTTCAGCTCGGGCTGTAAGATCAGCCTCTAGACACTCATTTCTGAAACAAAAAATGGGAGGTTATAGCGTTGGTGCCGAAGCTTTGCTTGCGACTGTTGCGCGGCCACTTTTTTTTTCTGTAGTTTTCGCGGCCGGAGTATTCTAGCTAGTCGGGTAAGTTTCCCCGAGATCACGTGGGTTGTTGTGGTGCCTTGCATATCAGGCATCCATTCATCTGACATGCGACGAGAAAACAACATCGGAAGGTTAGAAGGACTAGATAGATCCTCGAGGTTACATAGGTACAAATTATCCAATGATTTGGATATAGTTAGGTTTTTGATAGTCCTACCCAAGGTCAAAAAATGGTGGTCTTGCTCACTACGCTTGCCAGGATCTCAACTTCAAAAAGGAACGAGTTATACAGAGAACACATGTATACGCAGACATATAGTAATGTCGAATGTATTACAGTGCTTGTAGGCCCGGGGCCTTCACGAGTCGTCACCAGATGAATGTAGAAATAATGTATAAAGGATTCGTGCGACTTCACGAACATTGTGACTAGTCTATTTTTCTACGGCGATTCCTTGAGATAGAAGGATATGAGCAGGTTTCAAATTTCGAATCGACCGACCGGCGAGAAGCGGTCTACAACTCTGATCCTCGGAGATCAATGGCGATTCCATTGATCAACAACCTGACTCGGACTTGATGCAGCCTGAAGCAAAGGTGTTCGGCGGCATCATTGGATATCCGAGAAACTTTTGTCGGCGCAACCACATCGTAGACATCGTGAACAATCGGGGGCGTAGTCCGATATAGAATTTCAGTGGTGTGCCATCAGCTGCATTGTACTCGTCGAAACATATGGCAGATCAATTTCAAGATGCAAAGGAGCCAGCAGAGCATCTACCCAAAAGTCCAAGCGCCTTAGAGACATATCCGCATAAATAGATGCACTATGCCATGAGAAAACACAGCCTTCTCACCAATAGCTGATTGTATTCGTGAGGGAGTCAGATGTGTTCATTTCAGTTCTTTGTATGCACCTCGACAGAAAGCAGAGACTTGTCTACCGGTGGCTTGCCACGTCAGAGACAGCCATCATTTTTCTTTTCGAGCTTGTCATGGTTGTTGTGGCTGATTTGGAGAGTAAGATCCAAGGTTCTCCCGTCTTTTTATGCATCAGATTTCTGAGATACCTGTAGATATCCCTAGAAGCTCCTCTGATAGGCTGTGACTGCGCTTGGCTCTGCAATGGACATGTCCACATCCAATTACCTTAACAACACATCACTGGACGAATACATACGAACTAAAAAGACAGGGGAGGCTGATATGACTCTGAGCATCATAATTGGATGGCCGATGTATGTGTGGGAGAGGAGGGGCAAAAGGCACGAAATCAGGAGAACCAGTGCATGACATGCGTTGTGGAAAGCCTGATGGAATAGCTCATTTAATTCGTGTATCGTAGCTAGGCGTGCTGTCATGACACATTCGAGTCCAAGAAGAAACGCCTCATTTGTGCAGATTATACGGAGTACTCCGTACTCCGTATGTTGTACATTGCAGCTGAATTCAACTCGAAGACAGGCAACAGCTGCGGGGGTGGCTATTGGCGCCCTATCAGCGTGGGCTCGGACCCAATTCCGAGAACATGGTATTATTAGCCCGCTTGGATCTTGCTGCTATTGATATCTGGGAACGAAGGTCTCCTTGGATTGATTACAGGGTCAGATCACGTTCATGTCGCGTCTCGGTTTGAAGTCACTTTCGATCCAGTGGTGCTCTTGTTGACGGGCTTGAAGGGAGTTGCCGCAAAACCGGACTCATCGAACTCAATTAGATTAGTTCCCGTCGGCCTGCGGTTGGTCCTCGCTACTCTAGCAAGAGACTGGGTGCAAGCTAGCTCCACCTTCATGTTCGTATCCAGCTGAGCGATCCTGTCGACATACAGGGGGCGGGGGCTCTTCGGCAGATCCGATAGTGTTCATGTCTTGGTGGACAATCTGCTAGATGACCCCCTGAAATCGCATGAGGTCACATCGGCGCAACCTCGATAGGGCCCAAAAGATCAGATTTAGCAACTTTCAGCTCACGATGTGTTTCATTTTGGGTTTCAGCCCATCGGCCTTTAGTAAGACCGAAAGCATCTAGCCCCGGAGGCCAGTGTTTTGGTTTTGTCGGAGAAAAGGACAAAAAGACGCCAGATCAGCAATTCAAATACAATGTCAATTTAACGCGAACGAGATGTTGCTAGGATTCGCGCCAAGATCGAAGGCTACCTATCCGGCTAAGTGGAAGGTGACCGAGCAGCCGACTGCATGTGAACGGAAACCACATTCGCTCATTTTGATACTTGTTGGCTCAGCATTGCTCTTGCTCCGCACCTTTGGTAAAACTTGGTTCATGTGTTGGCTATGAGCGCTGCATTATATGTCGAACGCGCGATATTAAAGTCAAGAAGTGTGGGACGCGAACCTGGCAATGACGGCATGGACTAAACTATGCCGAGGCCATCAGTACCACTAATGTCGACTAAGAGATACCGGGCGCAAGTGCAATTTATACCATACTTTTACCTGTATGAGTTCAAACGCATCCGGCGTTCGTGAAAAGTCCGTGGCAGCAGAAAAAACACCTAGATACGAACCCAATGTCGCTCTTTGGAACAGACCTGGGTTTATATGCATGTACAGATGCGGCATGTACCTACCTAAGTCAGTATCTAGGTACAGTAATATTCCGTACATCGTACATTGAAATTGTAAAGCTTCCAAGTGGACCTGCTCTTTTTGCTTACACGGGTATTCCCCACCCTGTTCTATGCCCTAAACCCCGTCCGGTTTAGCGATGTACAGTACTGAACAGCCTTACAGCTCCGATTACCTGGATAAATTGGAGAGGTCCTGCTGAGAAAGATCTGACCGAATCGATCAATCTAATTGACGCTTGTGTTTCTCTCCCTAGGTTCCTTGCTTATCAGATGGCCAGTTTGTGATATGCGGTGTGGCGACTGCAAAGAAAGCTAAGGAAAAGGGGCGGGGAATAGGGGAGCGAAAAAAACCAGCGCAACCATGGTTTGAGCCTCCGCTGCCCCAGTCGAGCTGGGTATATAGCGCTAGGCCCAATTCGGCCATATTGCCTTTAACCCCGATCATGGTTGATGTTCTTGATCACAGTGGGGCTTCACGAAGATTCTGCAGAATATCTGGAATCTTGACGAATTCATCGAAGGACAAGGAACTCTCCTAAGAAGATGATACTCTCTCGGTACAGAAACACTCAAATAATCATCCACGGAGATTATCGGAAATTAGGTATATGTACGGAGTATGCGCTTTGGACTAGTTGCAGGAACCTACAAACAGCCTATATGAAATTCATGTTTGTCCACTACCCTTGAAATATCTCCAACTTAAGGATCAACTAGAAAAAGATAGAAGGAGAAGAAAATCTGGATAGTGGAGCAGTTTCCCAGAAAGTGCAAAAAAAAAAACTCTTCTTAACATTGGTCTAACTCCCCGCAGAAGAACCATGAAACGTCGAATTTTCACCGGTCATGGCCACAACATATTTCCCAATACAATAATGTATGACCACAGTGAGCAAATCTGCAACTTGAAATGTCTCATACGTAATCAACTATTTTGTCCAGCCCTGTCCATGGGTGGATATCAAGATAGTCATTCAGTTCCAATATACGGAGTAGGTACCTCAGCATGTAACAGTTTCAAAACTTTGCGTAAACCTTGAAGATTGTGATAGTTCACTGTGAGCCCTATACACAGGCACAACAGAGAAATCAGAAACATACAGATGTACCCGAGATAAACCACAAATTTCAATCTCCGAGTTCTTTGTGTGCGTACAACATACGGTACCCGTGATATCCGACACCGCCACCGTCCCGCCACTTCGTTTTTTTCGCAGACGGTGGAGCGGAAATCTGTCAAACGGGGCGGGGCGGAATAACAAAGAACGTGGACTTGTATGATGTCCATACCTAACCTACATGTACTCCGTATATGATGAAACCATGTTAGACGGTGAATAGGAAAGAAAAAAAAAAGCTGGGATTTGTTCATTTCCAATCCCATGGTTGATACATTCCGGCACGGCCCTGGGATAACCGTTGGTGGAGTTTTGGTTTTGTGCTGTGTCAGGACTTGCCTACCTAAGGTATGATGTTTCCATGGTCAGAATATTGAGCATTAATTTCAACGGATCCATAGGTGAGGCGAAAAAAACGGATCCCACACATTTACGTTTTTTTGTTATCGGGTTCCCGGGTTTTCGGTGGGATGTATCGCACTAAGGTGTTCTGTAAAGAGGATTGCAAGTCTTTAAAGTAGTTTACTGTGTACGGAATGTATCAGGATGGAGTATCAACTATAAACCAAGTACGGAGTACGGAGTAGTGCCTGTACGGAGTATTGTGTGTACAGAGTGCACCAAGTATCCACTTGCAATTGCCCAACCATCTCAGCTATCAATGTTGACATTTGACGCAGAACATGCAGCTGGTGTATGATTCGATCAGATATCAAATTATCCAATCCACACCGCTCTTGAATGGGTGATATCTGGGAGGAACCTGTACGGAGTCCATATATTGGACATGATTCGTCAATGGTGTACCTGCCTACTCCGTACTCTATGTTGTACTACGGAGTACCTATATGATATCAGCTTATAACCCCTGTCTATCACAGTATGTGCAGTTTCTCCTCATGGAGCGAAACATCTATATTCCCAGCCACAAACAAAAGAAGCAATGAGACTCACAGGCAAGACTGTTGTCTTGGTCTCCAAAATCATGAGCAAGGGAGACCACCTCTACTTCGGGAACCGTCTCCCGTCTGGGGATCTCATATCATGCAACAATCGAAGTAATGGACCGAACCCACGTCTCATTCGTAGACAA